CAATGATTTTGTTACTCAGAATGTTACTACTTACAAATAATATTACTTTAAAACACCAGCAGCTACAACTTCTCTTCATGACAGAGACAAACCCTCTGCTGCTGCTGCTGACTCCTCGTCTCCTGATTGGTTTGAAGCCCGCGTCAAAGCTCAAAAGCTCAGCTTTGCTCAGCTTCGGCGTCAGAGGGATTGTTGTGATACGCGAGCGTTTCGCGCGTCAAAAGCTTCAAGTGAGCGCGTAGTACGCGCGACTCTTGAAGCTTTTGACGCCGAAGTTAAGTCCGGTGTGAACGCCCCTTTAGTCCTTCAAAGTATGTCTTCTAGATGACATAACAAACTAATCTCAGGTGATGCCGCTGCTGGATGAGGCTCTGATGGCCGCAGGGTCAAAGGCAGCAATCAGATTTGACAGGATTCAGTCAAATGTCATTTGTTCACCAGAGCGGTCTCAGTGCTGTGGCTGGACTGGAACATACAGTATTATGTGTGACTGTTTTCCTGTTCTTGTACTCTGGTTTCTGCACTGGCTTCATGTGGGTCAGAGAATAGACTTTAAAGCAGCTCTGCTCGTGAACAAGTCTCTCCATGACTTTGCATCAAAGTGCATCAGGGGAGTCAGCTTTTCAGCAGCACAAAGGCACAGTGGTTAGCACTTATGCCTCACTCAGCTGGGGTTCGATCCCACCTCCAGACTGTGTCTTTCTGTCAGTTTGCATATTCTCCACATGTCTGTGTAGGTTTCCTCCCAGGGCCAAATAAATACTACAATTCAACTGAATAAACGACCTTCCAAAGCCATGATTTAAAATCATAGCGGGAGAATAAAAAATAAAAATAAAACAAATAAAGTGCACGGCTGCTCTTTCAAGAGTCACTCACATATTGGCTGCTTACAATTTCTGGTTTGAAATGTGTCATCGTAACCAAGGGACTTGTGAATTGGGTGGCAGTTCTGATTGCCACCCCCCTGACCCAGAAATGGATGAATAAAGGGATGAAATGAAATGAAACATGCATACCTCTTTGGTATGAGTATGAGTCCCACAGTGGAATTTCCAAAGCCATGATTTAAAATCATAGCGAGAGAAGGTGTGTTAAGGCGCGTTCAGACCAAAAGCTTCAAAAAGCTTTTGACGCGCTTCAACTGACGCCGGGATAGTTTTGTCATTTTGGTGCTTGAAGCTTTTGACGCGAGTGACGCGCCTGACGCCGGTGGGAGGAGCTTCTCTGTTGTCTGTAGTCAGGACAGCGGTGGATTTTTCAATGAGCAGCGAGCCTTTATTTGTTATATAAAGCAAAATAACGTTGTTGTAGGGCTTCAACAAAACATGTTATGGGTTCACCACAGACTTGAGAGGCTGCAGTGTTTGCAGAGTTCCGTCATTTACTCCAGGAGCTGCGTACGGAGGAGTCTCGCTTTCAGCGGTACTTCCGCATGTCACTCGCCCGGTTTGAGTTCTCAAACCCCGGAGCTAGCCTTTCCCCGCCACGCTCTCGCCACTCCCTGCCACTCCCTGCCTCTCCCCGGCTCTCGCTCGCCTCTCCCTGCCTCTCCCCGGCTCTCGCTCGCCTCTCCCTGCCTCGCTCTCGCCTCTCCCCGCCTCGCTCTCGCCTCTCCCCGCCTCGCTCTCGCCTCTCCCTGCCTCGCTCTCGCCACTCCCTGCCTCTCCCCGGCTCTCGCTCGCTCTCCCTGCCTCACGCCTCCCCTGCCTCTCCCCGGCTCTCGCTCGCCTCTCCCTGCCCTCGCTCTCGCCTCTCCCCGGCTCTCGCTCGCCTCTCCCCGCCTCGCTCTCGCCTCTCCCTGCCTCGCTCTCGCCTCTCCCTGCCTCGCTCTCGCCTCTCCCTGCCTCGCTCTCGCCTCTCCCTGCCTCGCTCTCGCCTCTCCCTGCCTCGCTCTCGCCTCTCCCTGCCTCGCTCTCGCCTCTCCCTGCCTCGCTCTCGCCTCTCCCCTGCCTCGCCTCTCGCCTCTCGCCCCAGCTCTCGCCCGCCCGGAGCTGCCTTGTTCTGAGCCAGACTCATCGTCAGCCTGTTCTTATTTTAAATAAACTACGTTTACTACACAGCATGTGTACAATGATTTTGTTACTCAGAATGTTACTACTCATATACAAATAATATTACTAATAACAACTAGAAACTTGCAATGGCTGAAGCCATTGCGATTGACTGCGGAACAGATCTAATGTGGAAATCTGCTAAAAAAAATCCTTGAAATCCTTTAAAAAGCCTTGAAACTGTTAAAATACTTGATAGATATTTGAAACTCCTGAAGTCCTTGAAATTGTTGAAACCTTTAAACTCCTGAAATCCTTGAAACTGTTGAAACATTGAAACTCCTGAAATCCTTGAAACTTTTTTAAACCTGGAAACTGTTGAAAGTGTGGAAACTCCTGAAATCCTTGAACCTCCTGATATCCTTGAAACTGGTTAAATTCTTAAACAGCTGAAATCCTTGAAACTACTGAATGTATTGAAAGTGTCCTTGAAACTGAAAAATCCCCTCACCGCTGAAACAATTTGGTTCCTGTAACTAAGGAAACCTGGTCTGTGGTCATTATCTGGTGGTGGTCTGAGTCTTCGTTTGGGTCTTGGTCTGGTGGTATAATGCAACCTATTAGGTTGCATTATACATGAAAAAACCCTATTAAGTTGCATTATACTGGTTTACATGGAAAAATCCCTATTAAGTTGCATAATACTGGTTTACATGGAAAAATCCCCATTAAGTTGCATTATACTGGTTTACATGGAAAAATCCCTATTAAGTTGCATTATACTGGTTTACATGGAAAAATCCCTATTAAGTTGCATAATACTGGTTTACATGGAAAAATCCCCATTAAGTTGCATTATACTGGTTTACATGGAAAAATCCCCATTAAGTTGCATTATACTGGTTTACATGGAAAAATCCCTATTAAGTTGCATTGTACTAGTTTACATGGAAAAAACCCTATTAAGTTGCATTATACTGGTTTACATGGAAAAAACCCTATTAAGTTGCATTATACTGGTTTACATGTAAAAACCCCTATTAAGTTGCATTATACTGGTTTACATGGAAAAATCCCCATTAAGTTGCATTATACTGGTTTACATGAAAAAAAACCCTATTAAGTTGCATTATACTGGTTTACATGAAAAAACCCTATTAAGTTGCATTATACTGGTTTACATGGAAAAATCCCTATTAAGTTGCATTATACTGGTTTACATGGAAAAATCCCTATTAGGTTGCATGATTACACTGAAGTCCTTGAAACTGCTGAAGTCCTTGAAACTGCTGAAGTCCTTGAAACTGCTGAAGTCCTTGAAACTGTTGAAGTCCTTGAAACTCTTGAAATCTTGAAACTGCTGAAATCCTTGAAACTGTTGAATCCTTGAAACTGTTGAATCATTGAAACTGTAGAAATGTCTGAAAGAGCTGAAGTCCTATTAAAATGCATGGGCCTATTAAAATGCATTGCAGAATTCTCAAGCAGATTTTTGTCCGATTGCGGAAAAACCGGAAATCGCTGAAGTCCCAAAAGTAATAGCAATAATCTCCCAAACATGTGGAACGTTTTGATGTATAACTTGTGGAAATTGTTGAAAATGTGAAAGCTGTGAAACGTGTCAAAAAAAATGACGGAATAAAGAAATACAAAACCAATGGTTGACTGCGGAAGGTTCCGCAGTCAATCAATAAAACACCAGCAGCTACATGACTTCTCTTCATGACAGAGACAAACCCTCTGCTGCTGCTGCTGCTCCTCGTCTCCTGATTGGTTGAAGCCCGCGTCAAAGCTTCAAAAGCTCAGCTTTGCTCAGCTTCGGCGTCAGAGGGATTGTTGTGATACGCGAGCGTTTCGCGCGTCAAAAGCTTCAAGTGAGCGCGTAGTACGCGCGACTCTTGAAGCTTTTGACGCCGAAGTTAAGTCCGGTGTGAACGCCCCTTTAGTCCTTCAAAGTATGTCTTCTAGATGACATAACAAACTAATCTCAGGTGATGCCGCTGCTGGATGAGGCTCTGATGGCCGCAGGGTCAAAGGCAGCAATCAGATTTGACAGGATTCAGTCAAATGTCATTTGTTCACCAGAGCGGTCTCAGTGCTGTGGCTGGACTGGAACATACAGTATTATGTGTGACTGTTTTCCTGTTCTTGTACTCTGGTTTCTGCACTGGCTTCATGTGGGTCAGAGAATAGACTTTAAAGCAGCTCTGCTCGTGAACAAGTCTCTCCATGACTTTGCATCAAAGTGCATCAGGGGAGTCAGCTTTTCAGCAGCACAAAGGCACAGTGGTTAGCACTTATGCCTCACTCAGCTGGGGTTCGATCCCACCTCCAGACTGTGTCTTTCTGTCAGTTTGCATATTCTCCACATGTCTGTGTAGGTTTCCTCCCAGGGCCAAATAAATACTACAATTCAACTGAATAAACGACCTTCCAAAGCCATGATTTAAAATCATAGCGGGAGAATAAAAAATAAAAATAAAACAAATAAAGTGCACGGCTGCTCTTTCAAGAGTCACTCACATATTGGCTGCTTACAATTTCTGGTTTGAAATGTGTCATATGCAATAAATAGAATACATGCAACAAACTTGATTTTGTGTTTCTACGTTTAAGACACTTAGAGATGGCCATTTGCAACATCTCAAGGAGTAGGCCTCAAGTCTCCACCCCACCTCTGATGAAGAAAGACTTTCTCTATGACTCTGATGACACCGACCTCCATTCAACCCACTCCTCTACAATGGATTCCTGTTTAGAGGATAACGTAGAAGATACAGCTCGATTTCATGTAGAGTTCCCCACAGAAAATCCTTTTGAAGGTTTTAACTTTGCTCTGTGTGATGGCCTCGTGGCTGATTCTGAGCTTGAGTGCACACCACTACCAGATCTTATTAACCCCTGTGAAGATGTGATAGGTTACCCCTTTCTCCGGCCACTGGTCTGGGTGGTTAGCCTTTTGGCACTCTCTGTCAACCTCCTGGTGATGTTGATTCTTCTGACCAGTCAGCAGAAGTTGACTGCCACACGATTCTTAATGGGCCATTTGGCTTTTGCAGACTCCTGCATGGGGGCATACTTACTCTTTATTGCATCTGTGGACATTCACACACAGTCAAAATATTACCAGTATGCTATGGTTTGGCAAAATGGAGCTGGGTGTGCTCTTGCAGGAGTACTATCAGTGTTTGCCTGTGAGCTATCTGTCTATACTCTTACTTTAATCAGTGTTCATAGGTGGTATGCCATCTTCAATGCCATGAGGCTGGACCGTAAAATGCGTCTACGTCACACTGTGGTATTGATGCTCATAGGCTGGTTACTGTGTGGAACTATGGCCTTGCTGCCTGTGGTTGGGATAAGCAGTTACCAAAAGGTGAGTATTTGTCTCCCCATGGACACAGGGAGCACTGCTGCACAGGCCTATGTGGTCTGTCTGCTCATGATCAATGTTACAGCTTTCCTGGTGGTTTGTTTATGTTACCTCCACATCTATTGTATGGTGCATAACCCCCAGCATCACTCCAGTAAATATGACACAGGTATGGCAAAACGTATGGCCATACTCATTTTCACAAACTTTTTGTGTCTGGGCCCGATTTGCTTCTATGGTTTATCTGCAGCTCTGAATCAGCCGCTCATCACCATCACGGACTCCAAGGTTACTACTGTTCTCATATATTTCAATTGAAGAGATCATATTTTTTCTCTTCACTGTTGTCTTTCTGTTTTGTGGGTTGCAGGTGCTACTTGTGCTTTTCTATCCTCTAAATGCATGCGCACACCCATTTTTCTATGCCATTCTGACCAAGGGCTTTCACCAAGACATCTTGACGCTCCTAAATAGGATGGGATTGTGCCAGAAACAAACTCATCTTTATCGAATCCAACTATTTCAACTTGACAGCAAAGGACAAGAACCAACAATGTTACATAAAAGGTGATGGGAGTCAACAGACCATGAGGTATGTTCTTTACAAACGCTATAATAACACAACGTTATACTGTACACCACTCTTTCTGTCTTCTAGACTCCCGATCAAACAGCAGTCTGTGAATCAGAGCCATATCCATGAGCCATCTTAAATGTTTAAATGAAGCTCCATTTGTGTGATGTGTAATTTAAAAAAATAAATATCTTTACACCTTCACTTTGTTTGTTCAACAGACAAAACAAAATGCATTTATACATACAGTAGTTAAGTCTGCGTATGAAAACATTGTGCTGTTAGATTACAACATTTCTCTTACACCTGAGCTCTCTCTCACCATATTACTATATACAGCTCTGTATACATTTAAGACTTGCTGAGCCGTCGGCCGAAGTGCAGGGTCTTTTTTTTTACATTCTTCATGGATTTGAAAAAGATGGAAATGAACTAAATCGCCGCCTGTTACTCTTCCCATCAAGAACTGTGTCACTTCTGGGATCTTCCAAATGTCAGTCTTTTCATCGTAACCAGGCATGAGGTCATCTGAGAAAGACTTACGATCCGTAGTGAATGGCCACAGCTGCTCTGGCGCTACAAAGTCTCCAATTAGCTCCCGATGCCCACACTTCACTAATACGTTCTGTTCTTTGTTTACTTCAGGCAAGGCATCCAAATCATTTACAACAAGGTGTAAATCATTTGTGAGCAAAAACTGGGACAGGGTTTTTTCTATACTGTTGGAGTCGCACATCACACGGCAACCGGTAGGACTTGTGTGGAGGTAATGGAGTATGGAGATGTAGTCCATGGCCAGTCGGAGGCGCACCGGCCACGTGTTGTGTTTTTGGTAGTGTTTTTGTGAAAGAACCAAATCCAGATTGAGCAGTGAGCCAAGCGGGTGGTACTCTGTCACCATTGCATGATCCTGGATGCAGAAACCAACCAGCTGAACGACCTTGGGACCTTGCAATGCCCGCAACATGGACAAACCATGGAGAAAATCCTCAGAGTATTTAGATGAGCTTAGAAGGGACAAAGCTATTTTCTGAGCTTTCCATTCTGCCAAAAACACCTAGAGGGATATAGAAAACATAAGTTATTGAAGGTTAAGTTATTGTTGAGGCGATATAATATAAAATACCTGCTTTACTGCTCCTTGACCAATGAGCTTCAACTTGAGCACTTCATTCCTTATTTGTTCACAATCCAGCCACGGGGTGCAGTTTTTCATTGTGGCCATTTTAAAATGTCTGGGTTGGCACCTGGAAGAAGACGCCAGTTGAACATCATTGTTATTCAGCGACTCCAGATAAAAGTAGATGAAGACATTGCATAAGAGTAATGCAAAAAGGCACACCACCACAGCCAAGACACTGTGGGATAAGGACCTTGTACTGTGCCTGGTGGTGGCACTCTGCATCTAAAACAAAACCAAAGGGAAACAAACATAAGTAATGATCATCATAATTTAATTTAGTAAATACAATTCAATTATGCTGGTCCTGTCAATAACTGTTCAGGATCAGCAGGTTAAGAGACAGTTTTTATATCCCCTCTCACCCTGTTAAAGTGGTTTAACATAATACAATAATACAATATATGTATTTAACTGGGCTGTAGATATTATCCTACACTTTTAGCGCTATTGCACTTCTGGTTAGATGCTAACCTTTCATTCCATTCTTTTGAATCAAGAACATGCAAAGACCATACCAAAGACCATACAAATAGCAGATGCAGAAACTATGGACTTTCTATTTAGATGTCAAGTAGCTTCCAGTTCTTCCAAATATCCATCCATCCATTTTCTTCCCCTTAATCCATTTCTGGGTCGGTCAGAGCTGCACCCAATCCACAGAACACCAGCCCCTCTCTGATCCTCCTGCAGGTGGTGAGTCCACAGGAGCCTTGATCTTTCAAAGTGGGGTTATATGTCTTCCTAATATTGTACTATTTAATTTGACAACCATCAACAGGAGAGGGGGTTGGAATATATGTTCTAATTGTTAGCCCCACTTATTACTCTAAACCTATTGGTACATGTTGCACAATAATGCAGTATTTACTTTTCGCTGAGTACAGCAGCACATGCGATACTGTATGAGGACGTGAGGACTGTAGACCTCATAGAAAGCAGTTTGACACACGATATAATTCAGTCGACTATTTTTGATTTGAACTTACCTGACACTGCATTAAAGTATGTATGATTACATTTTAAAGAGCAAAAGAGAGGTTTCGTAGCTTGTTTGGTTCTCACTTTGCAGACACACGGAAGACAACACGTCGGAACTTGTGTTCGTGGACCTTCACAATAAGAGTTAACGTTAACCATGCATCGGTTTAATACATAGACTGTATTATTATATAGCACTTTTCAGGACACTCAAAGACGCTTCACATGTCATTATCTTTTCACTCCAGACACAGTGGTGATAAACTACTACTGTAGCCACAGCTGCCCTGGGGCACACTGACAGAAGCGAGGAAACCAGTATGTGCCATCGGCCCCTCCGACCACTACCACCCATTCAAACACACACACACACACGTTTTTGTTACCTGGTGGGTCCCTTTGACAGGGCCGTTCAGAATGGGACCCATAGACATAATCTTTTTTTACTGGGACTACTTTAAGTAATACAAAACAATAGAAAACAAACAACTTTTAAAGGAATTTTATTTTAGAATTGCAGTGATTCTATTTTTGACATAGAATTTAATGCCACTCCATGTCCGATGTCTAAGGTCATCTGGTGAGTCATTAATGCAGGCCAGGCCAGGCCAGGCAGTGAGACTTCCCAGGGACTTTTCCAGTCTGTATGAAAGGCGTCATGGTCTTCTCCACAGCCTTCACCTCAGATGCAGACCATGGCTTTCTTACACGTTCTAGGGAGAGAAATAAAAATATATTAGCAATATACACTCCCAGGGTTAGGACCAAGCAGCCTGGCTGTAATCCCCCACCTGGTACACTTACCAGAAGGGGCACTGCCACTACCATGGGGTGCATCTGGATGAATGGTTGAAGGTTCTCCGCTTGAAGTTTCTTTTAGCCCGTCCGTTTGTGAGAGGATCTCTACTGCTCTCCCTGTCGCACAGAAAATAAAAATACAAGTGGCCTTTAGGGGAAAAAAAATCATACATATATTTTAATAATAAAGAATTACCTTCAGGCTCAATTTGTATCTGGTCGAGGCTCTTTCCTTCGAATTCCGTCACTCTTCCCTGCTCCATGGCCATCAACACTTTGCTGATTTTGGCCAGCTCCAGTGTCCCCTCTGGTAGTCTGTAATATTGTCTGTGGATGCGAATGTCATGGCCGAGGAAGTTGGCTAGTATGTCCATCTCATTCTCTTTCATATTGAGAACTGTAGACATAGTAGCTATGTGCTTTCTAAGTTTGGTTGAGGATAGCATCTCTGGATGCACCGCACCACATTCTTTGGCTACCTGCCGTAGGGAGTCTGATCCCCTGATGTGGGTGTCTGCGCCCGGGCGGGAAAAGAAGTATGGGTTATGGTCAGAGATGGAACAGGCCCTTCTGTTCTCCACCAGCACCTCCATCCAAGCAATCATTTCAGGAGTCAAAAGAACCACCACTTTCCGACTTCTTTTCCCTTTAATTTCAATGCGTTGAAAATGCTGACACAGCTTTTTCTCAAGTTGGGACAGTCCCAGAGCAATGTCAGAATGGATCCCAGTCTTACTTCTTAAGGTAAACGCTGTCAGTGGCATCTTTGAAACCTCACCTTCCCTTCTTCGATTGAAAATAATGACCTCACAAAGAGTCAAAACTGCCAGTTTAGACCAATGCTTAGACGTTGGCTCACTTATTAGGGTTTGCACATATTCAGGTCGACATACCTCAATATGTGCATGCATGGCTCTAACGTCCTCAGTCAGAGGGAGCAGGTCCGGAGTGTTCCACTTGGCTTGCCGGAGGGTCTGTAGGGCAGCAGAAGAAACACAGACGTCCCACCTCTTCTCAAAAAGCAGCCGGCTTCGTTGGAGGTTTTTAATAAATAGTTCATCAACACAATGCTCCATTTTTGAGTCACATTCAAGAATATCTGCTAGCTTTCTGAGGCTATGGCCGAGTTTGAGGGCCAAGGATGGAGTCTTGTATTGATTTGTTTCCTCATCATATCCAGCCACAGACCTGACTGCATCAATCACATGGTTAAAGTTGGAAGGAATAAAGAAATCCTTAATTGTTTTCAGTTTCCCTGCGGTTTTTGCTTCGTTAATTAACCTACCGACTTCTCTCATTTTCTGCCTAATGTAATTATGCTTAGTCTTATCATGCCCGTGTTTTAAGTACAGGTGCTCTCCGAGTCTCAGAATCCCCTTTTCTGCTTTGACAACACCCGTGACCTCATCCTGATGCATTGCCCAAATTAAAGACCACAGCTTTTTGCAGATGCCCTCCGGTACAGGCTGGGCTAGGGAGCAGAGGGACTGGACCCTACTTCTACCTGGTTTAGCCTGGTTTAGCCTGGGCCTCTTTCTGTGAAAGCCGGCACCTGGCCACATGCCTCCACAGCCACTTTCGCTTAAGCAATGCCCCACAATCTATACAGTGCAAAAACTCACTGGATTTAACTGGGGAATTTGGCTGTTTAGCTGGGACTAAAGTTCCAATGCCGGCCTTTAAAACCTCAAAATTGTGCTCACGGTTTCCACTATTCCTGATCAAATCAAACTGAAGTTTACGTGCTTTAGATTTCACAGGTAGAGCCAATGCTCTGGCTACGTCACTTTCATTTCCATGTTTTCTAGTCAAATGACGGGACATTTTGTGGCAGGACATTGAACAGTAGAGGCAGAAGTGTCTCTTGCTGTAAACTCGCCCCCCATTTTTCTTCTTTTGCAGCTGCATGATAACAAGCTTATTTGCCTTTGGTTCGTCACTTTCCGAGTCTTGAAGAAAAGTGTTTTTGATTTTTCTTTTTCCATACTTTTTTACAGGTTTCTTCTTGACAGTTAAATCGTCAGAATCTGAGTCGACTTCATCAATTAGGGACTCTTGACTAAGCTGCACAAACAACAAATAATTTGTAATCATTCTATATAACAATTTGAAGTCATGACTTGTAGTCAGCACTTACCAGTGGTTTGTAAGCGTGCGCTTCAGTGTGCTCCTCCATGATTTCTTGCAGCCTAATGAACCACACACTTGCACCTTTTTCTAGCCTGACACCTGATTTCCTCTGTTGTGCTGCTCCATGATTGGCTCCAGCCTGCTGGACTGAAATTGCCCCAGTGTGCCCCTCCTTGATATCCCGCAACCCACCACCAGGGTTCCGACACATAACACACTTTTTTTTAGGAAAGTAAACCTCCAGGGGTCCTTTCCATATTTTTACAGAGACTGCATAAGGACCGTTAGAAAAGCATTACCCATTGATTATTAAGCTTGGACCAGTGGGGTCCGGTGTTCGGGCCCCACCACGTAAAACCAGTCCCCATGACGTGAGCGGAATCTCAGGTTATGGAACCCACCAGGAGTTGAAAACAAGTGCACACACACACACACACACACACACACACACACACACACACACACACACACACACACACACACACACACACACACACACACACACACACACACCAGACTTATTCTAGGCAATGTGGCTGAAGTGTTTTGCCAAGGGTCACAACAGGACAGGATTTGGCTTTAGCCTGCAGGTATAAACTATGTACTCTATCTACTTCTATCTATCTATACTTAATCTATTGGTCTATGATAAAATAAATAAATACTGAATGTGATGTACAATTGTATTCATATAAGATAAGACAAGAGAACCCCAATTTTTATTGTCCTGTGTTCGCCTGTTTGATTCTGTGATTTCTTGTTGGTGAATCAACAACTTTCTAAAGTCCTCAGAGACAACCACTGGCGTCATTCAGGGATATACAAAATACATTGAAATTAAATGAGATTTCAGAGTTGCATCACACATTACAGAACAGTATAAAGGTGCACTTGAAACAAGAGAAACAGATGAAACAGCTGTAAATATTAGAGAATAAGACAGTTCACCACAAGAACAGTTTCTTCCCCGCTGCTGTTGGACTCTTGAACACTTCATAACCTGTCCCCCCGCCCTCCAGAAGGGCTTTTTATAAAGTCACTTACTGCTCTTTATAAAGTCCCCTACTGCTCTTTATAAAGTCACTTTACTGCCCTTTATAAAGTCACTTTACTGCCCATCATACGTCACTTTACCTCACTGTACTGCTGTCACCTTACATTGTGTGCACCATGTGCACTTGTATATTGTATATAGTAATTGTACCTCTATTTTAAATGTATTCCTTAGAAGTGCTATAATTCTTTATTTTTTATTATGCCCTGTCTACCCTTACCTCTCTTTCTGACTGTTGCACTGAGCCAAAGCAATTTCCAAGTCTGTGACTTCCTGTTATTTACGTGGCAATAAAAATGATTCTGATTCTGATATGAAAATGTAATTGATAAACGTGAAATACTTGTGAGTTGTTTTTTGATATATTTATTCATGTATTGTATCTATTTGTTTAATTAAACTTTGGCCATCTTTAAGGTGGATGCATTAAACTAAATTAAGTTACTCAAGTGAATTTGAATGACATGATAAAAATTATATTTGGTGGAAAATTATCATATGGGGTAGGACTTTTTTCAGAGCGAGACCTTAACCAGTAATTCAATCTGCGGCACGGTGGCTGAGTGGATAGCACTCTCGCCTCTCAGCAAGAAGGTCCTGGGTTCGAACCCTGGTCGGACCAGGGTCTTTCTGAGTGGAGTTTGCATGTTCTCCCCGTGTCTGCGTAGGTTTCCTCCGGGTACTCCGGTTTCCCCTACCACTAAAAATATGTACAATAAGTCTGGCATGTGCCTCCTGTTTGGTGACCCCGCTCCATCTCTGTGTGAAGTGAGAAGACGAGTGCCCAAAAAATAACAATTGTAAACCGCTTTGTGACTCTGGTCTGTGAAAGGCGGTATATAAATAAAGATTACTTACTTACAATCTGGGATGTTGCAGATTTGCAACAATGGCCTGCTGCAGTGAACAGAGCAGACTGGGGAAAGAGGATAATATAATCTACAAATTTTATGCAGTTTCGGTTTCAAATATAGTTGTGATACTGGCTTGAAAATCTGAATTAAATGTAAAAACTGTTTCATTTAAACTAAGGAGACTGACGTTTTGAAAGTGAGACAGCTCCACTGCCTACTACGTTTTATTTTGAAAGTCCAGCGCTGGTGGGCGGCTTCCATTCCAGAAACTCCCGTCGCATCCAAGGATCTGGCACAGCTGCTGCGGACAGGTATCGTTTACACTTTACACTCTTCCACCATTCACTGTGTCGTGTTTCATGCTATATTATCCGCTGTGATTCGCAAATCTTTGTTTAAAAAGCTGTAATTCTGACATAGCGGTATCTGTCAGCACCACCAAAACACATACGCCTACGCAGCATTAGCATCGTTAGCACGGATTATGCCAATAAAAAGTAAATAATAACATTAATGTTTTTTAGTTGCTTTAATGGGCTTGGTTACTATTTGTAACGTATACTCTGTAACTATTCTGAAATATTATAATGGGTTGTGCATGTATTGTTCCCTTTTCATCTGAGGCGTGACATGTTTGTTTAACTAAAGTGATGGCTTGTGTGATCTGCTGGACTCCCTTTTGCAAATTACATGTGTATCTGGCCTTAATGTTGTATACTTGCTGATTGTATGTGATGCCTTCGTTTGCCTCTTGTGTGTAGAATAGATGAGAAGTGATCTGGTTTGTTTTCGAGGCTGTACGTGCCATGGTGGTCCCTGTGTTCCCAGTGGTGGCGGCGGTTTCCATAGTTTCCCTTTTATCTCCTCCAGAGGCCCGTGACGTCAGCGCATCAGCAGCACCCACCCAGCAAAAAGATATCACGGATGACTCACCAGCACCTAATAACTTGACTCGCAGTCGGCTCATTATATTGTCATAGTTTTTTTGATATGATGAGCAGATTTGGCCTATTATAGTGCGTTTTTTTATATAGGAATCATAGTAAATTGTAATTGTAATTGGGTAGATATTAGATTTAGTACCTCAAACCTCCACAAAACTTATTTCAACCATATCAATATAACAAGTACATGGCTCAAAACAAAGTACAGAGGTTGGATGAAGCACATGTTTTTTTTATTCCAATCCCACATCCCACATGCCACACATTATCCTGCTTTAATACTATCATGCAGTAGAATAAAATAAAATAAAAAAACGGTACATACAGTAATACAATTTGACACTATCAAAGATGGTATAAGACCAAACAAAAGACAACACACAAGCCCAAACACTCTACAACCCTATCCTCTGCTCTCTGTCCACCACTGTGTCAGTGCATTTTTACAGCCCATCCATGGACTTGCTATATAAATAAATGACAGTACTTGCTGGTCTATACGCCACTTCTAGTTAATTTAAATCTGCAGGGACGGATTTGGACACAGCTCTATTAGCTGTAGATCTCCAGACCCGATGATGTAGCACACATTCTCACTTCACTGTGTGTTTATGTAAATAGCAGAGAAAATGTGATTAGGACTACCGAATTCATGGACTTATTACTTTGAATCTATCAATTTCTAGTAGCTATAGGACACTCTATAATTACCAAAATTGGATGTGCTTTGATCCTCACAAGTCAACAGTGCATTTAACACCTCGTATTTAAATTGTGTTTTGATTAAAACAAAACGTCTGTTTGATTGTTGTCTCTTAACTTTGTTTGGCTCTATCAGTTGTTGGTTAGGTGTTACATTAAACATGAGCCTGTGGCTTGTACTCAAGTGCAGTAATTTTCAGATTTAGCTGGTGAGGTTTATATACAGGTGCACTAGTTCAGCAAGTACTGTACCGCTACTTTCTCATACTTCTCATCATCATATAAAATGTATTTTCAACCAAATAAAACATGATTATTGATTTTTAATTTATATAAACAAACAAACTGAAAATGTTTCTGGTGCCTCTAAAACAGTGCTGGTGCACCAGTGCAACAAACACTTGGAGGAAAAAATGTCCATAAACCAGATCTATTTCAAAAGATGTCACTGGTAAAGTGACTACTGGACACATGCACTTTTTTGGTGGTGTTACATCCTTGCAATTCCCCCCTAAGGCAACAGTAGCTCAGTTGGTAGAGCATCGGCCTTTGAGCCAGAAGGTTGAGCCCACCACAAAACTTTTTAACTGCAGGTTAAAGTGAACCAGATTAACGTGCCCATATAAGACAATTTCCATTTCACAGTGGCCTTAATATCAATTGGTATATACAGTAATTATCTAACTATAGAATTTAAAGTTTTGCTTTGGTTTTTTTATTGATTTAGTCTATGATTTATGGTTTACAGTCTCCGTCACATTTAAAACTTTACCAGTTGTAGTCTGTGTTTTGCTAAGAAGTTCATTGATCAGATGTTCTTGTGATAGAAATGTCAATTTACATGAGGGCTCTTTTGAATTAGTAAACTAAAGCAATCACTCAACTTTATAAATAAAGCAACCCAAATTTAAGAAAGTCTCAGTTTCACATCCATAATTCCTACCACTTTATACTGGACCAATGGTGAGGAAGCATTTTTATATTGTAGACTGATAGGCCATTGAGCTACCAGGGTAAGGGTTGTTGTCCTGTTGCTCCAACGAACCAGGACCTTCAACATGCACTGGGACGGTTGAGAATCAGCACCTCCAAATCCGAGGCCATGGTGCTCGACCGGAAAAAGGTGCCTTGCCCTCTCCAGGTGGGTGGAGGAGCGTGAGATTGGCGTGCAGCGTGCGCAGTGATGCGGTCGCTGTATCGGGCCGTCGTGGTAAAGAGGGAGCTGAGCCGAAAGGCAAAGCTCTTGATTTACAGGTCAATCTTCGTTCCCTCGCTCACATATGGTCATGAGCTTTGGGTAATGACCGAAAGGATGAGGTTTCAAATACAAGCATGGTCGCGAATACAAGAGTAGCTGGGCGCTTCCTTAGAGATAGAGGAGCTCAGCTCGGAGTAGAGCCGCTGCTTCTCCGTGTCGAGAGGAACCAGTTGAGGTGGCTCACTATCTCTCAGCTGGCCTGGGAAGCGGAAGAAAATGGATGGATGATGGGCCATTTATTTTTACAATTTAACACATTTTTTGTTTTTTGTTCAATGTTGGCCTGTTAAAATTATGTATAACAGGCCAGGGTCGCCCATTTCAGTCATTTTGCTGCCAAAAATGGCAGAATTGCTTTGCTTTATGAGCTCTTAAATCCTGACCTCTCACAAACATTTCCCTACATTTTTCTTTCATCTTTTTCTTTATCCCTTATCAATTTTAGAAGTCTTCTATCTCTGTTAAAGTTTTACAGCTTCACTTTTAGCCTGTCTCACATCAAATCACTGTGAAATCTCTGGTGTCTAACCTCCTACCATCTATGCTTAAATGCCAAAATGGTCCAATATGCAACACCTGTGCAAGAGGGAAGATTGTAGTAACATGAGCTGGACCAGTCCTGTAGTCGTGCTTAAGTAATTATTCTTGTTTGCTCAAGATAATTAGATCCTCATCCTTTCTTACAGATTATTTACTTACTGCCTATGGCGAAACAAGACAGAATGATGAAATTGTAAAGACTCTGTGGTCTCGTGTGCCAGTCATAACCAAAACCATCTTGGACAACAGGTAAAAACAAAGGCCTCTTGTAATATGGTCGCTTGGATTTCTCCCACACCTGCTTTTAAACCGCCCTGTGTGTGATCCAGTACAGGGACGAAGCTGAAGCGGTGAAATGGCTCTTTCTGTTTGCTGTTTGATGACTCTGGCTGTCGTCTGTGTCACCCATGGCCAGGGACTAACAGATCCTCTCCAACGGTTTAAAAGGTTCATTTGGATATTTTACATTTCACAAATACGTGTTTGAAGTTGCAATAACATGTTTCTGCCAATTCCCAGGTCTGATCCAAATGAGCCGGGAAGCTGTGGGTCCAGGTCCAGACAGCCTTTGTTCAGGGGAAACTCCAATAATTTCACAATAGATCTTCGAATGCCGAGAATTGTTCCTCCTCATGTTAGTATTGCATTTATTAACTAAATTGTACTATTTCAGATTCCTGTTTCATACAACATTTGAAAGACCCTTTTTATGTTGTCTGTTTTTCGCATTGGGGAAAATAGCCTTAGCTTCCTGTAAGAAGACAAAGGTGTGAAAAAGCAAGTCCTGATTAATTACCTGACATATACCGCCGTTGTCTGAGGTCAAAACATGTCAGGTAATTAAGCAGGACTAGCTTCGTTACACTTTTGTCCTATTATAGAACCTTCTAAGCCTTAAACATAAAGATTTCATTAACTATTTACGTTTATTACAGGGAAAAAAACTAGTGGACACATGTTGACTTGATTGAAGGTTTAAATAAATTGAATAATAATTTATGTCTAAATAAATAACCGTAATTCTTCTCAAGACCATGTATCCTCAATTAAAATCGGCTTCTATGATGTTTTTCAGTCCGACTCTTATTTGTGCATGGCTTTTCCTGTGCCAACAAAACAAGATCTCTACATCGGTGGGTGGTTGTTTTAATTCTCTGTTCATGACTATTGTTTGAAGTGATGTTGATGTCTGCTTTATTGATTCTGTTCTCAGTGGACTTTACTCCTTATGCCAGTATGGACACAGTTCATCACATGCTTCTGTTTGGTTGCCAAACCCCGGTCTCTACAACTGGCTACTGGTGAGCCTCAACGCCTACAAAAATGCTGTTCATCACTGCATGCAATGGAAAGCTTTTCTATTTACAGAATTCCACTGAATGTCACTTTATCTGCTTCTTTCCTGAACTATATGTATAAACTTTACCCTATATAAATAGATAGATGGAGATGTATCGATCAAGGGCGTAGGTTTGCGTGGGGACCATGGGGACATGTCCCCACCAATATTTGGTGAGGACTAAAAAGTCCCCACCAAAATGACATGATGTCCCGTGACCAGTGGCGGAGCCAGAGGGGTAGCCAGGGTGGCCACTGCCACCTCTAAAAATATCCTTGCCACCCCCAGTGCCCCCCTCGGAAGACGGCAATGTAATAATGTTAATCTTGAGAATCTTCCGCACTTTTTCCGGCAAAAGCTAAAAATTCCCACGGTTTCCCCCGACTGTGAACGCACCTTGACTCCGTGGAGCCGGTGCTGTATGCTAATGTTTTGGGTTGTTGGACTCACATGTGCCCAAGTCGTGATGAAAACAAAGAGGTAAGTTAGCGATGCAGAGCCAACCGTTTACATTTGACACAAAGTATAGACACACGTACTGCAGCGCATTACTTGTTCAGTTTGTAGAACTTTTAGTGTGTGTATGTGTGTGTGCGTGCCTGTGTGCGTGCCTGTATGCGCGCCTGTATGCGCGCCTGTGTGCGTGTGTCAGCGTGCCAGTGTGTCTGCGTGTGTGTGCGTGCCTGTGTGTGCCAGTGTGGGTCTGCGTGCCTGTGTGTGTGTGCGTGCCTGTGTGTGTGTGCGTGCGGGGTGCATGCGTGTTTATTTTCCATTATTAATTGCCCATCGTATCATCGCCCTCTTCCCTTTAGTCTAAACATTAAAAGAAAAGGAGGAAACATTGCCTACAGGCCTTTTTTTGTTAGGAAAAGGCTTGTAGATCAGCCTGAAGGTCAGACTCTGAGGCAGTATGTTTTAAGATGATGAGGAATTTGTTGTGTTGTATTAAAATATAGCTTATATAATTGAGTTTCAGAGAATGAGAGGGTGTCGCAGACAGGTGCAGGATCGTCTGTTGGCAGAAGGCGTTTTTTCACACACAAAAAAAGAAACAAAATAGCTAAGATTATGGATGATGTGCAGTTGCTTAACCCCAAAACGGGGAACGTTTGGAAAGTGTTTCATGAGCTTTTTTTTGAGGCTTGCAAAGATCTTTTTAATACCTGTCAGTACTGCGTCTTGTGAAATAAGTTTCTCTGTCCTAAAACTTATTAAAAACCATCTCAGAACTATGGCAGATGATTGAGTCATCTTGGTATCCTCAGTGTAGGGTAAAGGAGGGCTCAGGGCTGAATATGGATGAGTTTGTCAACATCTTTGCTGCTTTACACCAGAACCATAGGAATTTGCTAAATTTGTTAAAAGAAAAAATGTAATGCAATGTTTGAATGATGTTATTTTGCACTTTCTTTGTTCAGACTACTATTTAAATACACTTTTTTTTTTTTGCTTTGTAGTTTCCAAGTGCATGGGGCGACAGTAGCTCAGTTGGTAGAGCATTGGCCTTATGGCCAGAAGGTTGTGGGTTCAATTCCCACCTCTGCACCTTCTCCACCGACTCCCACTGATGACTGCTGTCGTTGTGTCCTTGGGCAAGACACTTAACCCCACTTTGCCATAAGCCCCCACTGAAAGATCAAGGCTATGCTCACACTCAGAGAGCAGCCGTCCTCCTGTGGACTCACCACCTGCAGAGGGTCAGTGAGGGGCTGGTGCTATGAGACTTGGGTGGCATCTCTGACTGCCACCCCCCTGACCCAGAAATGGATTAAAGGGTAGAAGATGGATGGATGGATGGATGGAGTTTCCAAGTGTGCTCTCAGTTCACTTTATATTAAAAATAATGACAAGATTAAGATTAAAATGTATCGTTTAGCCAGTTTTTGTGCGAAATAAAATTTCGGAATAGTATAAATGTGGACCCCTCAAAAAAACCCTTGCCACCCCCTGGCCACCCTCTGTTTAAGAGTCTGGCTCCGCCACTGCCCGTGACCCGGACGGTCCGGGACACATGTCTTCCGTTTGTGCACACGTCGCGCCTCCTCCTCGCCTCCAGAGCAACAGCAGCAGCAGCAGCACGTGACCCGTTCCGTTCTCTGCAGTGATTGGCTGTCTTCTTCAGCGCCAAACTGAAGCACTGAGCGACTGTTTAATTTTTAAAAGTTAGCCAGCGTGAAGCAAGTGTTTTTTTTCGTTCCCTGAGCGTTGTAGCACGTGAGTAATCAGAGGAAAGTACTGTAGATCCATTACCATTCAAAGTACTTACGTTATTTCTAATCTGTCAGCGCACTGTTTAATGTTCCGAGGAGCTCACACGGCACAGAGACAGAACAGAACTGGCTCCAATAAAGAAACAGGTTGGTTGAAAGGCTGAAAAAATACTTATTGTGCTCTTACTATCCAAAATGTATAAGTGGGTGTGTTGTGTGAATCAGGATAAACTAGGGATGAAAATATTCCACGGATCCACGATTTACAACCTTTATCTGCCGATAATGTAATTTCTGTGAAATGTGTGACAGCGGGCACTTGCTGTTATTTGCTCTAAGCACATTCAAGAGATGCACTCGAATGTGCACGTCCTGGTGCAGCTGCTGCCGCTTTGTAATGACAGCCGCGGCGCTCAGTGAAAGCACAGCTCTAACATGGTACCGAGCTCGGACCATATGCAGACAGAACCATGTTGCAAGTGCGGGTCTCCCTCGTATCTCCCCCGTTTCTCCCCTGTGTCTCTGACATGTCTCTCCCCTGACTCTTCCCAAAGCGCAACCAGCGCTTCCGAAATTAAAGCTCGGATACCTAAATTTTCCATTGCGTTAACGATGCATGCTGGTTCTGCGCAAAACACACCACAACAGGTCATTTAAGTTTTTATTTTGCATACTTGAGAGCCCTGTGAGTCATTAGTTGCCTTTTTGGGTTGAGAGTGGAATTAAAAAAAAGAAAATATAGAAAAATCCACACTGTTACTTATTGCCAAACTCTTGTTAACTCATTGTATTGAGAAATACTATGTAACTTTTGACATTGGCCAAGTTATATAAATGATTCTGCAGTTCATGTATATGAATGTCTGTTTTTGATTGTCTATACCTTCTTATATAATTTAGAAAAAATGCCACCTCCACAAAAAAAGATAAAAGATATCAGGAGCTTTTTTAACAGTTGGAAAGTAAGTAAGAGAAAGCACAAGTAATAGCAAATTATGAATTGTGATGATTAATCTTCTGTTAACATACATAGGAAACTCAACCAACAAAAGAGAACAATATAGGGAATGTTGAGGTAGAAGCAACAGGCCCTTCAGTGCATCAGGCGAGGTTGGAATTTTGTAGGTATGCATGGGACTATGAATTGTTTTTAGAGATTGATCGTATATGTCAAACAATGTAGTGAGCTACTCACTGTAGATTCTAATTCAATATTTTCTCCTCTGTTTTTATTTATTATAGGAAATTGAAAGATCAGAGCATGATTTATTTCAAGTATCGAGAGCAGTTCCTGAACTGTTAGAGCCTCAGGTGAGGGCTATTATGTAGATTTGGATTAGGTTTAAGTCAGTATAGAATGAACGCAACACAAAACTCAGAAGCTCTGATCCAATTGATTTTGTTTTAACTATTAGAAAAAATCCTTAACTGCTTCTCATTCAGTCTACAGCTGAGTTTAGTATAGAAGGCAACATACTATTGCAAATATAGTGTGTGATCACACAACAAATTCTGGGGGAGAAACTCTGGACCCCGTATCAATGGGTGTAGACTCAGGTCGTAGTGAATGTCCCCACCAAGATTGGAACCAAACCTACACCATTGGTATCGATACATTGATACTGTAGCATTTACAGCTAACTAAGAAACACAGCAGTTACTTATATTGTATATTTTATGTGCTCACTATGTACTTCTATTATTCTTATTATTATTATAAGACTGGCGCACGTGTGTGGGTTCACTATATTGGCTTGGACCACAAATAAAACCTCCTTTAGATTTTGTCTATGGCAAAAAAAATTTAATGTAGATGCTTGTTCTGTTGCTTTTCTTAAAAGAAACTGTAACTGAATGATACTGAAACGTTACATCACTTTTCCTCTGACCACCAGCGTGTGCTTCTCCTTGTTGTTTCCTTTCGCAGCAAACAGAGGGTTTATGAGCAGACATGGAAAAAAAACAGATGTGTCCAAACTACACCGCGTTACTGTATTTAAAGCTTTAAACTACACAATGTTTTTTATTTGGCAAAAATCCTGGTCATCTTCATTGAGAAAAAAACCAGAGAAGTTCACATTAAGCCGATGCGATGCAGCCAAATTAAACCCGCTCTGTAAATAATAACCTCATTAGATTTATGAGACTAACTCCCTGACTGAACTGCTCTCATGCTGTCTATTTTTCATCCATCCATTGTCCGACTATGCAGGTGTTTTAATATTGAATGCAGACGGAGAGGCTGTTTTAGAGTAACCATGGTGGAAAAATGGGTCTCTCTCTTTTTCCATAAGGGACTGTGGCGGCGCTCAAGGAACTTGTGAAGATGCTGGCTCCATTATGTACGCGTGGGCTCGCAACGCACCTGCAACCAAACTACCAAAAGGTCACTACTATTTTAATGATTTAATCCTAGCCTGGAACTATGCATTCTAAAATAAAATTCTATGTTTTTCCTTATTTCTGAATAGATGTTGGGTTTAGAGTTGGAGGCCATACAAGAGTATCATACTTTGTACTTCAAATGCATTATGGGGATGTTACTGCTTTTAGAGGTAAGCCCTAGATCGCTATTATGTTTTTTATTTAGGAGGTGTTATTAATATCAAGTGATTTCCCGTTTGTCCTACAGATCAACACAAGGATTGCTCAGGGCTCTCTCTGACTCTGACAACTAAACCGTAAGTTTGAGCATTTTCTTTTTTTTATATTCTTCATTTAAAAAAAAACATGTACACTTCCTCATTAGGCAGCCATTTATAGCTGGTATCTATCTTCTGATGACAGTAGATACAGTCATTCCTCCTGGAAACAAGGGTAAGAGTTTTTTATCTACTGTAAATTAATGAACATACTGTAAACACAACACATTGTTACCTTTGTTTTGATCTATTATTCTCACTCAAAACAGAGGGGTTTTGGACAAAAAACAATAATATTAAAAACTGTTTTGCTTTGCCAGTCACAAATGCAGATTCAGCTTGTGATTACACCTCACCGCCCATGTACCCGTTTGCCTTCAGGACCCACACCCACCGCCTCGGTAAGTTCCAGACATGCGCGCATGAACGCTCAGTAGAAAATTATTACTTTGTGCTTTAGGAAAAGTGGTGAGTGGCTACAGGGTCAGAGACGGCAAGTGGACTTTGATTGGGAGACAATCGCCCCAGCTTCCACAGGTGGGAATTAGTTGATTTTTAATGGACATCTTGATTGATTTTGAAAATAATTAAAACTTATGGAACACAATCCTACATATTGTAAACCGTAACATTGGTTTGTCATACCCCCCCTTTGTTTATAGGCTTTTTATTCTGCTAATAAAGGTGTGGATATTCAGAACGGCGATACTATTGCTGCTAGATGCGTTTTTACTGGTGAAGGCAAAAGCTCTGAAACGAGAATTGGGTATGTACGATTCTTTATAGACATCTAATAGATATTGCCATGGTTATGAAATGACGACATTCTTTTCCTCATGCAGTGGCACTTCAGATGATGAGATGTGCAATTTCTACATAATGTACTACATGGACCGGACAGATGCCATCCCTTTCTTCACCTGCATGAAAACAGGCTCTAATGAATTGTTCCAGGAAATCCCATCTGAGGCCAATATCCCCATTACTGTGCCTTCAAACCTAATGCATTCTATGATGCATATGGGACATTCAGGTACTTCTTTTTACCCGACTTGCATGTCAAATAATGCATGACGATGGGGGGAGAAGGCTTATAATACTAATCAGCAATGACTACAATTTGAAATCTAAAACAAAAAACTGCAGTTGCCTTTGAAGTCTGCAACTGCAGTAACCAACTACTTTCCTATCATAGATCACCAAGATGGAGCACCTGAAGATGCTGCTCGGAGTCTGGACCGAGGTAGGCGAATTATAATGATAATGAAGGGCTGTATAGAACTTTTAACACTATTTTGGTAATCAAATGGTCAGTGCAATAGTTATCTTGAAAAATGTATTGGTTTGGTTTTATAGGTATTGGTAATCTTATGGAGAAATTGTAATTTGACTGATCACTCATACTGCTGAAGCAGTTACAATAAAGTTAATTGTTAAATCAAAAATGGGCAAGGCAAGTTTATTTGTATAGCACAATTCATACACTTGAACAAAACAAGATAGAGACAGTCACACAAGGCATTAAAATCATAAATAATAGAGTACAGGTAAAATCCCTCAGTTGTATGCACAGCTAAAAATAACTGTTTTTAACCTGGATTTTGACATTGTCAGCGAAGAAGCCTGTCTAAGACTCTCAGGAAGACTTCCAGATTTTAGATGCCATCCATTCATCCATTGTCTTCCCCTTTGTCTATTTTACTGGGTCGGGATTCACTGAGCACCAGCCAGTGAATTTTAGATGCATGAATCTGAAATGCAGCCTCCCCATGTTTAGTCCTCACTCAGGGGTCCAGTCCCTGTGCTCCTCAGAGTCCGAGTTGGTTCATATGGGACTAATATGTCACAGATGTACTTTGGTGCAAGGCCATGGAGAGACTTTTTTTTACAAGCAGAGCTGTTTTAAAGTTTATTCTCTGAGCCACTGGAGCCAGTGCAGAGACCTGAGGACTGGACTATTGTGATTGTACTTCCTGGTTCTAGTCAGGACTTGAGCAGCAGCGTTTTGAATATACTGCAGAGGATAGATTAAAATTAAGTAGACAATAATAATAGAAACCATAATGAAATAGTTCCCTAAATATAAGTTTGTGTGACAGTTCTCCGCTCTTGAATTTGAACTCTTCTCCACTACCACCAGTTAACCCCCACAAATAATAAATACAATGTGTTTTGCAGTCGATGTAATCCAGTAATGCGTTGGTTGACATTCATCATTTCGTTTCCATTTTCTTGCTGGCTAACCTGTCCTTTATAATTGGAGCTTTAATTTTGACGGATTGAAGAATTGGACCAGCCTTCTCTGTCTGCATATATAGCTGTAGCTGTCCATGTCTTTTATTCCTACTCTTTACTGTCTCTGTGTGCAGGTGACCTGTATTCACTATATTCAAAGCTTTTAGGGCACAGCAAGAATTTAGGTTTTTTCCATAAGTTCAGCCCCAGCAAAATGCTTAGACACCAGGACGAGCTGGTGGCGCACATTAGAAACATAATGCTCAGCAAGGAGCTTGGCTCTCCCAGTGGTAAACTAATCTACAGAGCCAGGGAAGATCCCGTTTTGGTGAGGGACAGAGTCCACAAATTCCATCAGCTTGAGGATATTCCAAAGCCGCTACGAAGCAAGCTGCTAGCTGAAGGACAAGGTGGGTCCAGCAAGTGTTGTGGACTTCATGCTGTTGCCCTCATATTTTTGTTTTTTGTACAGTTTAGTGCATCTAAACTGTTCTTTATCCCCACACTGCCACTCTTTCCCAAAAGGGGCTTGAGATACACTGTGTTTATACATGATCCTCAGTTAGTCATTTGCCAAAGCACTAATACAACTTGAATTTGTTTATGAAAGGCCACAACAAAGTAACAGACAACTGAAGTGAAACTGAGCCAAATTGACTTGTATGAATGTTTTACAATGTCAGACCTATTACTAGAGCTGTGCAACATTATTTCAGCATAATGCAATAGTTGAGTCATTACTCTAATCCTGCGTTATTGCGTGATCTAACACTTGACACATGATGAAATCCAAGAAATGTTATTTTTCTGTCTTGCGTCAGTGTAAGTAACCAAGGTTTTCCAACACGACCACACCATGACCGAGTCACTTTGTGTCCTGCTCTATTGTCCTGTGTGCTGTTTTTTTCACGTTTGGATTTTGTTTTGGCTTCATGATTGTCGTCTTGTTATTTTCAACTATGTGTCCTGTTTGAAGGTGTTAATCGATGCTGTTGTCCTTATCATATTGACTGTGCGTACTATTTCTAGATTATCATTTGGAGCAAGTGATAAATTGGCCACAGGGACTTCTTCTAACGGGACAGGTGACAGGACTCGCCATAGATTCTAACTCAAACCTGGTCATTTTCCATCGTGGTGACCACTACTGGGATAACAAGTGGGTTTCTCTCTTTCACATGACCTTTGAACATTGACTGAGATGCATAGTAAACAATAATAGGTTATCGTCAAACATCCTCACAAATGTATAACTTCTTTTAAAGATCTTTTGATTTGGAGGATCGATACCAGCAGAAAATTCTCGGACCAATTCAGCAATCCACCATTTTGGTTCTGGACACTGTAAAAGGCGACATCTTAAAGGCGTCCGGCAGAAGCATGTAAGCAGTGCAAATGTGACTAGTGCTGTTTCACATTCTACTTTTACTTATGTGGATTTCCCGTATTTTAAAAGGTTTTATTTGCCCCATGGAATGACTACAGACGGAGATGATTACTGGGTAACCGATGTTGCGCTTCATCAGGTATGTATCAGACTGTTGTTAATTAAATTATTCAAATGGTATAGTGTTTCACTGTGTGGGTGCATTTCTCCAGGTGTTTAAAGTGAGCGGCGATGGCAAAGACCAAATACTTCTTAGTCTGGGAGAGGCTTTTGTCCCTGGAAGTGACCATGACCACTTCTGCAAACCCACTGATGTCGCAGTGGACACTCAAAATGGAAACATTTTTATATCCGATGGCTATTGCAACGCCAGGATACTCAAGTTTTCTGCAGATGGAACGTACTTATCTCAGTGGGGCGCAGGTAATACTGTTATTTTTGAAAGTTTCTACACCCAGGCATACACTCCGTTCAAAACACTTTTCTCCAATCATTGTTAGTGATTGTGTGAAGCCGTTTGTTGTGAAATAAACATGCTTTTTCAACGTATTCTGCAGCTCTGGGGAGGTTTCAAACAACAGAACATGAAAGGCGGCCCAGCAATTGACAGGGACTGGAAGGATGAGCTTTACCATCAAAGAGGATAAAGAACCTTAACAACTACCACAAAATAGATGACAAAAGGGTTCATACGATGGTCCCATGTTTATCACAGGGGTTACATTCTGAAAAATAACCTGCAAAATCCATGAAGTAGCGGCTATATGTTTTAAGGTTGTGAACTCCTGAACTAATCACCTCCGTGCACACAAGCCACAAAAGTTTTCTTCTGACTTTAAATGAAGGTAACTGTGATGTTATACTAGTGGTATATAATATTGCTGGAGTAACAAAAAAGCAAAATTTCTCACAAAAAACTCGAAACAAAAGGTAAACCGCTTGGGACTCTGCATGTTATATTGAGAACTGGGGGATAGACATTTCTAATTACGGTCATTTGAGTCATGTCTGATGTCATTACATTTTGAAAATAGAAAACATGTTATTTTGACGTTCAATGGCTTCAAACAACTACTAACAATTCATATTTTTGGCGTTATCGTTTACAACCTCCGAAATACGGCCACATTTTGCCTCTGTGTTAACACTTTTCTTTATTTGGTAGGGTACTCCGACAGGCGGCGGCGCGTGCCCTTCAGAATACCCCACAGTCTGGTCTTCCTTCCCGACAGACGTGAAGTGTGCGTCGCCGACCGGGAAAACGGACGCATCCAGTGCTTCATCGCTGAAACTGGGGAGTTTGTCAAAGAAATCAAGAAGGAGGAATTTTCTGGCGAAGTCTTTGCAATCGCGTACAGCCCTGTCGAAGGTAAGAGAGACGTCATGTGTTCGTGTGTTTCATAATGACCATTTGTAAGCGTCTTTTCTAACGTATTTTTATGTATAGATGGGCTGATCTATGCTGTTAATGGAAAGTCTTCGTTTGGCCTCTCTGCACCGCTGCAGGGTTTTGTCATCAATTATTCTACGAAGGATATAATAGACACGTTCCAGCCTGACAACAAGGTAAGCTGTTCAAAGAGAAACAGTAGCTCCCATGCTATGGTATGCACCTGGTAATGGCAATATTTTCTTCATGACAGGACTTTATTATGCCACATGACCTCGTAGTGACAAAAGATGGCAGTGTCTTTGTTGGAGATGTAGGAACAAAGGCTGTGTACAAATTTACATCTGAGAGTAAGTGGAAAAACGTCTCTTAACTTAAAGTCGTGCCATGGTTTTTTTGCGTAATTACATTGATGTCATGTTGTTCAGAAGCTCACCGTTCTGTCAAAAAAGCTGGGATCGAGGTGCAGGAGCTTGAAGGTACCTTATTTTGTCCATATTCTTTGTTAGTATACTTAGTTCATATCAGTTACTTTTCAATCTGTGATACAAAGATGAGCACTGGAGAGACCCGCCCATGCTCACCCTCCTGATTGGTCAAAATTATAATATTATTATTGTAATATTTGAGGTCCTTTGTCATTGGTTTAACTATTCTCCTACAGTAAGTCTCACTGGGGGAGGGTCTATTCTAAATCTATTTTTGTTGAAACATTCTCACTGTACATAATCTTGTAAAGTAAGTAAAACATTTATGGTGAAACAAGTCTCAAAGGTAAATAATCGGCCTGCTATATCCCTGGGTTACCACCAGAGGAAGGTGTACAATTTGTTTTTGAGGTTTTTAACACATTTAAAAATTAACAGCTGCAAACTCAGGCAAATGAATGAACTTAATATATCGCCTAAACACTTACCAAAACTAATTTATGGGCAGTACTTTTGTTTTAATAGGCAAAAAAAAAGGCCCAGAGTGTGATGTCATAGTGATAGAATGACATCATTCTGTTACAGGACTGAGACAGGAGCTTTTAGATAGAAGGGGCGGAGTTACATGTTTGTTTGAGAAGTTTTAGCATGGCTGGACCTAAAAGCATCTCCTGGTCTGTTAGTGACAAGGGAACGATGCCTTAAAATGGTCGATTTTCATAATATGTCTCCTTTAATGCATTTCTAACTGTATAATGTCTTTCAGAAGTGGAGGCATTTGTACAAGCCAAACTCAAACCAGAGGCCAAAGTGAGAATAGAATTTAAACCCGAAAGTCCGATTGTTGGGTCAAAGACGCCGGCCGTGGTTCACCAAACGCAGAAAATGGTTCTGGACACGGAGCAGAAGGAGGAGGTGAAGCTGGACAAGGACCAGAGCGTGTTTCCTGTCGTCATGACCACCCTGCTGCTTGTGCCGCTGCTTTTGGTCGTCATCATTGCGAGTGTGATCTGCTACAGGAAGAGAAGTCAGTGCCTCTCATGAGCCTCTCGTCGACATGCATGTGCGCTACAAAACCACTCATTGTTACTTTTCCTTTACAGATCAATTTGAGGTGAAATCAGAACCAACCTCAGTGGGAGGAATCTTGGGTAAACTTAGAGGTGGGTTGTATTGTATTATTTAACCTTCATTCAACCAGGAAGTCCCTTGGGATAAAATCTCTTTTACGAGGGAGACCTCTATGAACCCATCTGTATCGTTGACGATACCTGCGCACATGTTTTACAAATGATCAATTTACTCGCAAACGGTAACACGTAGCAACTTACTTTTTTTTCCTCTGTGAAGTACATATTCAAAACTAGTTTTGATTTGTTTGTGCGATGCACAGAGGATAAATTATGTTTGTCTGAAAGTCCGTGTCCAATTGGATCTTAGCGGTGACCCGTGAGGTACAAACAGCTGTGAGATACAAACACACGGGGACTGCCAAAGATCGTCGGAGAGTGAGATGTCTCACTCCTCTGTGTGTACTTGTTGTCCCACAGTTGAAACTACAGCTGCGATTGCAATTACCGGCTGAAGAGTGCGCATTATTGATAAAGACGATAATAAATACAGTAAAATGACATTATGTGTATATGATGTATATAAATATATGTATTAGATGTTTTTTTTTCTTAGTTTATGTTTTACGTTTTTTACAGCTGTGATACAGAAGCAACCCCAGCATCATAGACAAACTGCTTCAGGAAGGGCATCAGGAGTACAGCGTTTTTTGCTTTTATAGTGGAATTTTGTAAAAAGTATAATAGTTAGAGATTCAATTTTTTTCCCATTATCCCCAAGTCCCTAAATAACATTTCTATGCAGTGTAAAAAGTTGTTCATAGCATTTCAATGGGTTTTTTCTATACATTTTTGTTAAATTGATTTTCCGTTAATTTTTTTCTTTGTCTTCATGACTCCATAAGTTTTATATAATTCATATGACAGCTTTACAATATGAATATTCTAAAACCCCAGGTTGTACTGAAAAAAACAAAGTATACTGCTTGACTCTGCATCAAAAGATGACTGTTTTATGAGCAATTATACACAAAGAAAACCAGACGAGGAAGGTTCCCCAAAATGACCCATGTGCTTAGAGGGTTATTAATGTATCAAAGATTGTGTGATGTGTAATCCTGTATTCTTTACCCGCCCATGCTCGGACCCACTGCTTCCTGGTTGGATGTAATGAACATTATTTCTGACAAGCAAGCTCTTTCCTCTGGGGTCTAAAATATCCTCCCCCAGAAAAACTTCCTGGCAGTGGTTATGCCGTGTTTTTAATATTTGATTTACATTATAGTAAAGAGCCATGAGCAAAGAAATATGAAAAACGGTTGTCCCTTGTTGATCGCTGGGGTTCAAGATGTGAATTCAAGTTTAATGCTAAAGCCCTCGATATGATGGTTATGGTAGTATTATGGTATTGTTTACTTTTTGGTGGCTTTTCAATATAAATTATAGTTCTACACCAATAAATCCAGTTCAGAGCAGAGTTCTAGAAGTGACTGCACCACAGGAGGGAAATTCCGTATCCATCTTTAAGTATGGCACGCTTCACGCATTTTTAATGATTCACTCAATTAGATAAACATATCTTATTCTATTTTCCAATCAGAATTCCAGTAAAGTACTTAAAGACAGCGAGGATGATAAATATTAAAGAAGAATTATGATACATATTTTGGCTACTAACAATGATCTACGGAGGTTTCCTTCGGGTACTCCTGTTTCCCCTACCACTAAAACATGTACAATAGGTGAGGGTTGAATGAGTGTTTGTTTGTGAGTGTGACCGGGACTGGGACTACAGATGGAAATTAGCTACTTAGCTGCAATCTGGTGTATTTATAGCTCCTGCTGTTCATTAATACACACTGTCCAATCCAAACAAACAAATCAAATATATGAGTATGAAGGGTAAAACATGCTTTCCCCCTTTAACTCCCCGTGCTAACATTAGAGAGAAGTTGAATTTTTTCTGATAGCAACATCTGTGTTTTGTATCTTGTATAAAAGTTCCTGCAATTTGAAAAGCCTAATATGTGACATTGACGTTCTCCATGTGGTCGTCAGGTAAAGCAGTGGGGAGTCTGAACCTGGGAAACTTCTTTGCGACTCACAAAGGCTACAGTCGCCAGGGCTTCGACCAGCTGAGCACGGAGGGCAGCGACCAGGAGCGGATCGACGAGGACACGAGTGACTCCGAGAACGAGGAATACTCTGCGCTGCCCCCGCCACGCACCTCCTAAAGTCTGCCCATGTTTAAGGAGGTTTCTGTATTTATATATTCAGTGTTATGTGCTTTATTTTATATTGTAAATACATTCAGAATAGTTAAATATATTTAATTTATAAAGGCCTTGACGAGTACATTTATAAATCCTAAACAATATGATATTCAATATAGTTTAATGTAGTTTTCAGATGATTAAGAACTGGGACATCTGAAAACTATACAAAAATAAAATCATTTACATTGCAAGAGGAAAAAATCAGTTAAAAAGAACCTGTTGCTGTTTTTGTTTACAAGGGACCAGGATGAATCCGTCTGTGGCATTACAATCAGAGTGTTTGTCTAAGTTGGTGAAATGCTGTACATAGCAAAAGGCAGGGTATTAATTGTGTTTCTGTACTAAGAGCACTCACTATCTCAAATACACGGGCCCATTAACTTTAATGTTGTTATGGAGTTTTTCTCCTGAACAGCACATTGTGAGTTTATTTTTGAACAGTACAAAGTAATTGTATTAAAGCACTAATGTAGTGGTGCAAATCTAGATTGCCCTAAAATGTAGTAAAGCTGCAAACATCAATATTTCATTTGTTGCCATTTTATGTTTGTAGCATTTCACTTGGAATTTTGTGCCTTTTTGTCTGTATTTTGCCTTCCTTCAGCATTTTCAATTTTAAAATGCACAACGGGAAATATAGCTGCTGCTCGACGAGCTTGTAAATTGATCTTCTATTTCAAATGGAAAAGAATATTCTACATAGATATATGTATGCGCGTGTGTAGCCATTTCTTCAGAGTCCTAATCACTGTAACTGGACTGGGCAATGTGCAAATTCATTCCGCTCTGGCTTCTAGATTTTAAAGAAATCTAAGCTTAAATTCTGTCCTTCAGTTAATTTCGTAATGTTTCTGATCAAATGTTTCTGAAAATTGTGTCAATAATTATTATTCTTTTCAAAGTGTAAAGGGACATGACAAAGCTACTTTGACATTTTTATTGTTACCAAAACATGACGATTGTTTGAGCTCCTAAAGCCTTAGGTTTACTTTTGCACACATCCACGGTGCCATCTCATAGTTGCTCTTAATCTTCCAACAAATGATTTGCCTAAACTCGAAAAATATGTATGGTATAAATATAAAATGCCTGAAAAGGGTGTCCTCTTTGTTTATTTGTCTTTTCAATATTTAATTTACTGATTGAGAGCATAAATCAGGCCATGGACATTACCAACAACAATGGTTTATGACATTGATGTGGATCGAGTTGTGCTGTTCTGAACATAAAGTTTGTTCATTGTATGGATGATTATCTTAATAGCATGCCATCAAATTAGCATTTGTAGGTTTTGGCCAAATGTGGACTATAAAATATTTATTGTGTCACACTGGTTTTGCTGCAAGAGTACTATTTTGAGTAACAATTGTATTTGTGTAATAAAGTGTTTGCAAAGCATCATTCTCTGGTTGCTGGTGTCGTTCATGGATTGGGAAGATGGCTCTGGCTCACATGGACTCCCCCCTCCCCAATACTTGGTTTCTGCCCAATACTTGCAATTTAACAACTATTGTTTATCACTGAAATGACTGGCAGTATGAAAGGATTGTTCCAATTCATAGCTCTTGATTAAAGTAATTGATGCTCACATTGACATCACAGGAGGCTCAGGAGCTTAGACCTGTAATCAGCTTTGAGTTGAGAATAGTTTAAATAAGAAGTGGAGCAGTCTGTGGCCCGTGTCGCGCGTGACCACACTGTTGATGTTCCACACATGGACCTGGGGGATCTGACCTACAAGGTATGCCTGCTTTTTATCTCCGCTTTTCACTTCTGAATAATGTAGTAACAATGGCTGATGTCAGCAGTCTGCTATAACAACTATTTTATTACTCTACCTGAATGTTTGAGAGTTAAATGCACCTCTTGTTGCTCTACTGCAATGGCACAAATCATCCTGTATTCTTCAAATCATTAGAAATAATAAAGGCTCATTTATCAACTTTTTTGAACATCCTGCTCCCAGGACCAAAATAAGTCTGTCATCTTTATTAATATAGTGCTTTTTCATTGACCAGAGTCACATGTGGGCATTTGTCTCTCCTCCACATAGAGATGGGAGTGGGGTTGCCGTACAGAAGTCGCACACCAGATCTATTGTACGTATTTTTAGTGGTAGGGGAAACTGGAGCACCCGGGGAAACCTACGTAGACACAGGGAGAACATGCAAACTCCACACAGAAAGGCCTGGAGGTGGAGTCGAACCCAAGATCTTCTTGCTGTGAGGCACAAGCACTGACCAATGGCTCCTATGTGTTTGTTGTTATTGCATTTCCTGTGTTTGAACTGGTGTTGGCCTCTGAGACGACAGCTGGTGTGATTGAGGGATTTACAGAAAAAACTCATTTAATTGAATAGAATTACTCCTATATTTACAAATATGTATAATTGTAAATAGGTTTATTTGTAAATACATATTAATATTGTAGATATACAACACATGGTGAAACTAGGGCAACTATTGCTTAATTGCATGGTTATGTTTATATATTTCCATGTATGAGTATATACTGTAAGTACAGCAGGCAACATGTATAAAGAATCATGTCAACTAAGAAATGAAAATATTGTAAATACTTATGATTGAAACATTTCTGCTCGAATGAATAAAATCAATCAATCAATCAAATAGTTTCATAGAACAATGCATTTGTCTCATTGTTATTTGTCAAAGAGAAGGCCTTGTTTACAGAAAGATTTCTTGGTCCTTTAGATAGTATTCCTCCATAAGAAAAGACAACTATGTACACAATCTACAAAAATACAAACTTATGTCCTATGGTCACATGCCAGCATAACTATTATGGTTGTTTTTTTTATCTGGTTGTTATGGCAACTAGATTTCAATTACTGCAATGAAGCCTCCACCATGCAGAATGAATGTTTTCCCTCTGGCTTCTTTGTTGGTTGAGGTTTGCAAAATGTTAAAACTGAGTTTAAGAAAAATGAGCTGCAACATTTATGTTCAATATATTAGTTTGTGTGAGTTTTAATGGAAAAGGACAGTGTGTAATAATTAAAGGAATGTTTCAAAAGTATGAATAATTGGCTCGCAATGTTTGCCAAGCAGAGGGTGGATTCACTTTACTATAATGTAGCCCACATCGTAATGCTCTCCCAAATCAGATAAGGCAAGGCAAGGCAAGTTTAATTGTATAGCAAAGGTCACAAACAAGGCAACTCAAAGTGGTAAATAAAACAAGATAAAAACAATCACACAAAGTCTCAATCACAGTACATTAAAAAAGAGTGAAGATACAATCCCTCAGTTGTATGCGGTGTTCACTGTTTTGAGTCTGTCTTACATTTTCAAGAAGACTGTTCCAGATTTTAGCTGCATAAATCTGCGCCCGACTAGAATAAAGAGCCTAACTCTGCCCTTTGTTATTGTGTGTTTCAGGATGAGTAAACGAGGGAGGAGGAGGACCAGCCGGCGGAGGAAGAGCTCCAGCAGCCGCAAACGTGAGTCAAAGCTTTTGGCTCACTTAATGTTAATCTACTGCTTAGCTCAGTCACATTTCTAGCCACGATTCACCAACTCATTGTCTGAACTTCTTTCAGAGAGTGCCTCTTTATGCACAAACATTAAGACAGACAACAACATCAGCGAAGAAGTTGAAAAAGATGAAACACATTTTTTTGGAAAAGATAATTCACTGTCGGAAGATGAGGAAAAACACATCCAACCGAAAGAAAAAAGAATTAAGTATGATAATCAAGTGAATGTCTTTCCAAACCAACGAAACATCTATCACACCACAACAAACGATAAAGCCAAGGGTGTGAAGATAGTGACTTCTGTGTCAGTGGAGGACATGGACGGTTCAACTCCAAACATAACATTCCAACAGCTGCAGGAACCTCTGGAGGCAAACCCGGTCAAACCAGGAGGCAGCATCATGAAGATCAACTGTGAAGGTTCAAAGGTGAAACTCGAGCTCCAAGAGACCAATACGGACGGAGTTAAGACATTGTTTGTTTTCTCTAACGAAAAAGATTATGGGCTCGAGGCCGTGTCGTGTGAGAGGACACCCAACAGGGACCAGTCATCCCAGGCCTGGACCCTTCACAGCCACTGCACCCCAAACTTTAGCTTCTCTTACAACTGCAATAGTCATTCGGGGCAAGGGCAATCCAATAGCTCCTCTACCTTTTTGGAAAGTGCAGGCAGCCACCAGCATTGTCTCAATCACCAAAACTCCCCAGCATGGCAGAATAACCATTTAGATCAACCCTCATTCTCTCACTTTCAAACGAGAAGAAAATATTTCGGCCGAAGTTACAGTAGCGATCAATCGTCTGACGTCCCTTCTCTTTCCCAAGAATTTGCAAGCAGTCAATGCAACACTCTCGATGATCTTATTCTTGGTGTGTCGTCGTGTAGGATTGACGGCTGCAGCTCAAGTTACAAACAAGAGGAATGTTTTACTAAATCGGAAAATTCATATTGTTTAGAGGTTGGAGGTGGACTAGAGCTTGAGCATTTGTCTGACTCTGGTTATGACCCTATGTCCATGAGGCCTTCTGTGTCCACAAACAGATCCAGCTTTACTAAAGATTATATAAACTGTCAGAAAACCAAATCATGGATCAGGAACAACAGCATTGCCACAGTGGAGCACAAAACTTTCTTGTTACCAAAGAAGAGGCGGCAGACGTTTCCAAGACTAATGCATACCTCTGGATCTTTGCCGGAAGACCACCTCATGCAATTCAGGGAGTCATTTTCGTCAGACACCACCTCCTCCTTGTGTCATCATACCAGAAAGGAGAGGCAAGGAAGTATAAATATGGAAGTTGATAAGTTTGCAGTGATCAGAAGTTATAATGCGAGTAAAGTGAAGGAGAAGACGAGTAGAGTCAGCAGTAGAGGGTATGCTTGTGTTGATGTGCAGGACACCGACCAATCTTTTCTATTTGGAACTAAGGACCAAGGTACCAAAGAAGACGGTAGGTTTGATCGTGAAAATTGTCAGTGGAGCTCGCAGACTCCAACAGATTTAGCGATTCAAGTCATTCCTCCATCATGTTGCACATCAGTAGAACATATTCTACCACTCACTCACTCTGCTCTGACCAACGCAGAGGACTTTAATCACATTCATTCAGAAAATTCAGAGAATGCTTTGTTTTGTTCATCAACGATAAGTGAAGATGTTTTTGAGCTTCCTTCTGAAAGTGGCCAAAGTGACCCTCTGGAAAGAAGATCTCAAGCATGTCTTGCTATAAAAGAGCAAAGCAGCGAAGAAGACAAGAAGGCTCTTCACAGTCGTAAGTGTCAGATGTTGAGTTTACACACAATTTTAACTTGTCTGTGAATTCACTAAAGTCTGGTTTGTCTTTAGCGGTTTCAGATGCCAAAGAGTTCCTTAAGCCAGGGGACAGTGCGGGGTCGGATCACTGGGCCCGAAGGCGAAAACTGTTCAAAGAAAATAAACAAAAGAGCTCTACAGGAGAAGGGTCTATAACCAGTGACATCACTGATGGTTCTGGTGAGTGTGAGAGAGCGAACCAGCCGCCACATTCTCAACGTGTAGTTAGTCATTTTTGAAGGTGAGGTTTATTATCTAAAAATATGAATATGCAACACAGTGGGCGCGATCACCTGTCGTCAGATCAAACCTGTTATTTGGCCATCGCCTGCTTACCTCCGTGCCAAAAAGTGCTTTTGCCATTGGTTTTACTTAACAATTATCTACCACCAGTGTTTGTCTGGCTGGGCGCTCCCTTAGAGATAGGGTGAGGAGTGTCACACGGGAGGAGCTCGGGGTAGAGCCGCTGGAACTAGTTGAGGTGGCTCGGGAGTCTGTTCTGGATGCCTCCTGGAGGGCGTCCCTGTGGAGGTTCTCCGGGCACCTCCCTCTGAAAGGAGACCCCGGGAAAGACCCAGGACACAAGCTCGGGGGACTATGTCTCTCAGCTGGCCTGGGAACACCTTGGGGTCCCCCCGGACGAGCTGGAGGAAGTGTGTGTGGATAGGAAAGTCTGGGCGTCTCTGCTTAGACTGCTGCCCCCACGACCTGCCATCAGATAAAGCGGAAGAAAATAGATTGATGGATGTGTTGGTCTTTCAAAAAACCATCAAATCTGTAGTCGTAACATAAAACTGTGGCATATATGGGGGTATGAATACTTTCCTAAGGCCCTGTGTGTGTGTCTTTGTGTAGTCTCAGAGGATGGTCCCTCACTGAACATGACGACTCAAGACACTGAAGTCGGAGCCTTTTACACGGAAACCTTCCACTCCGTAGCGTGGGTTTACCAGGGAGACGAGCCCAACGAGACCGCACCCCCCACTCTGAACAGCAGGGGCAGAGCTGTGTCAAGTAAGTCCACTTCAAACTAATGCAAAAGAAAATCTGCAAGTACATGGACAGTGATTTGTGACACAGCAGTCAAAAAACAGATTTCATGGACTGTTGCTTCACTGTCGCAGGTTTTGAAAACAAATTTAAGATTCAAAATCTTTGAATCTTTCATGAAGGGCTTTGACCTTAAATCTTTGTTTTTCATATAGTTGTGTGGTTTGTTTACGAGCAGTGAGAACAGCTCGAGCGAAGGCAAAACAAAAGCAATGACAGTGTCACTTGAGCCTCAAATGCAGCCAAATAAAGTGTGTTTATTTTTTCTGTATCGGAAACACATTCCATCTTCCTGTGCAGCCTCTGATGCCTCTGATTTATGTGACATCAAGGAACATCAAGTTACGGTTAATTGTCAAAGTCCATTCAACTGGTTTGTACAGTTAAAGTGGAGAGTACTAAGTTTTAGGAAGTAATTCTCATGTTCAAGAAAGCTGCGTGTTTCGAAGTGTGGCTTTAAATACATCTACAGGGAGTTCATCTTCCTCGGTGTAAATTTATGTTGAAGATGTTGAAGAGGAAACCTAAAATAGTTTGAATATGCATATTATTTTTCTTCAGACTAAAGTCTCAGCGGAAAAAAAATATTATTTATATACTTACATATACACAGTGTAAGTACATTAACTCTGATTGGTTGCCGTGATATGTTAATTTCAGTGTTGTAAAAATAAATAATTATAACAATAATAATAAGGTTAGCTTTTGTTTTGACTTTTTCCACTGCTCAATAGTGAAAGATTTACTCTATGTGATTTGTATGATTACAGTTAGAGAAAGGACCGTCCGAATAACCAATGGCTCAGGAGATTATCCCTGGGGCTTCAGGATCCAGTTTTCCAAACCCATTCTAGTCACAGAAGTCGATACCAGTGAGTGTAACGCCATGCTGTTGCTTGTAAGAGTTCAAAGACTTTTGCAGTTCCTCTTTAAATGTTTGTACTTGGATGTCAGACGGGGCAGCAGAGGAGGCCGGCCTGATGGTGGGGGACTGTGTACTGGCCGTCAATGGGACAGATGTCACCAGCGTACCCCACACAGAGGCAGCTGAACTGGCCAGACAAGGTGAGGAGACATCTGGGGACATTCAAGCTAAACCTGTTTGAGAGCCCTTTGGAGAACGCACACGCACACGCACACACACACGCACACACACACGCACACACACAGGCACACACAGGCACACACAGGCACACACAGGCAAACACAGGCACACACAGGCACACACAGGCACACACAGGCAAACACAGGCACACACAGGCACACACAGGCACACACAGGCACAGCTGAAGCATTTGTAAAGCTGAGGCCCCTGCAGTTTTGGTTTCTGATACAAAATGGAATCTTTAAGAGGTTACATCTGCATAAGCTGTTCACATCTGCAAAGATTTATGTAAAATGACTGAGAACTCTGAAACTAAGCAGGTCAGGGCCTGGTTAGTACTTTGACTGTTGTTGTGTCCTTATGCAAGACACATCACCCACTTTGCTTAGTATGAGTCTGGTGTGTGCAGGAATGATGATGTTCATCATGAAAATTAATGAGCTCTTCTCTAAGTACTATTAAAGAAGAAATTATTTGCATTATTTTGGCCATTAAAAAGTGACGTGACTATTTGCATACACTATTTACATTTAAGAGCCGTCATTGGAGTACTCACATTCAAACCAATGGAATTCTGAGAAATTCACCCAAAGAATGTTTTGTTTAGAATGTTCACTTTTAAAAAGTGTTATTAACATTGGCTCAGTTGGTAGAGCATTGGCCTTTGAGTCTGAAGGTCGTGGGTCCGAGCCCACCACAAGACCTACTTCATGACACCCACTGATGACTGCTGTGGTTGTGTCCTTGGGCAAGACACTTAACCCCACTTTGCCTGAAGCCCCTGATGAAAGAGCTCAGCTCCTGTGGACTCACCACCTGCAGGAGGATCAGTGAGGGGCTGGTGCTATGTGTACTGGGTGCAGCTCTGACTGCCACACCCTGACCCAGAAATGGATTAAGGGGAAGAAAATGGATGGATGGATGGATGTATTTACCAGAACGAATGTATGGGAAAAACCTTTGTTTTAAAAAGCAAACTGCTCTGAGCGTGATGTCATAGTGGTGCGACAACTTACTTATGTGTGCTTGTTTTCAGGGCCAGATATTTTAACACTCACGATAGGATCAGACATTGCCCTTGGCCCCAACACGCCTCGCCCTGGATGTCGGGGCTACCTGCACAAGCGCACTCAGTCTGGCTTCATCAGAGGCTGGAGGAAGAGGTGGTTCGTGCTCACACATGACAGCTGTCTGCACTACTACAGACACAAGCGGGTGAGGGGCAGACACATCCTTAGACACACAACATACGTTTGCAGCAGATTCATTATATGTGTCCTCAATGACCAGGATGAAGGCAAAAAACTCGCTTTGTCCACAATAAAACTGGAAGGAGCTGAAGTTGGCCCAGATCCTTCATTGGGAAAGCCATTCGTGTTCAAATGTCGCCCCCTGTTGGAAAACCGTGTGTACTTTTTCTGTGCTACATCGAATCAGGAGACGAAAAGGTATCATACATGTATAGCAATTATTTTCCACTAAATAAATTCACTGAAATTATGTTCACTTATTTGAATTCAATGTGCATATTCTTCAGATGGATAGATGCTCTGGAGAAAGCTGTCCACCCAATCACCCAGGTAATATCCATGTGATTGCTGAATTGAATAGTTATCAATGTTTTGTGTTCAGATCATATGCTGTAAAACTAATCTCTTGAATGATCGCTGTTTCAGAATCATGTGTGGGTGGATGTGACACAACACAACTCGAACCTGCCTCCTCTGGCTGTGAAAAACCCAGAGTGCCTGGGACTGCTCCACAAACTGGACAGAATCAAAGACACGTGGGTCCAGCACTACTGTATTCTGAAGGACGCCTGCCTGTACCTGTACAGCGGCATACGGGCCACACATGCACATGGTATGACCCTCATCTTACTGTGAAACTGCTTTGCTACCCCTTTAATTGTACTTGTGCTCTAGGTGGCATATATCTTCAGGGTTACACCGTGAGAGAGCAGCCACATGGATCCAGGAAGTGTACAATTGAACTGAAACCTCCATCTGATGGATTCAAGAGCTTCAACCTCTGTGCTGAAAACCCCAATGATAATAAAAGGTGAGGAATCTTTATCAACCTTTACATCTTATAAACGACAGCACGTGCCATCATGAGATAACGTAATCATAATTTGTTTTACAGATGGATTGCTGCCATCAAGGCTTCAATCAAAAAATGGTTGCCTTTGCATCAAGCTCTTAAGGAAAATGTATAATACTCGCCCCTCTGAGGAATCGAGGATGTGACACACACATGCCAGGCTGCTCCAAAGCCGTGTGGCCTCTTGGAAACCAAAATATGATTTTCAATATTTTTGTTTTGCTTTGATGCAAGTTCTGCACATGTTCTGACACCACTCTTGCATTGGCGTGCATAATAAATGAATACCAATATTGCCATACATACAGGAAATGTTGAGTAAGGCCTTTATTTCGACCAACAACATGAACAGCACATTCTAAATGACAAAAACTGGATATAGTTAAGAAAACAATGAAGACGTTCCCAGTCCTGGTGCAGTGACATGAGTCCACAGGTAGCTCGTGTAATGTGACGGGTAACTCCAGTGCATTGACAGTAAATGTGACTGAGAGTGCACAAGCCAGGAACAATAACATATGAAGAATTTAAAAAGTGAACATTTAAGACCAAGAGGTTTCCTGAAGACAGTAACTTCCTTTCCACACAGCAAAAAATAATAAAATACAAGGTAATAATTGCTTGGATCGAATTTTTATGAGAACATTCTGACTCTTCTTAAAACAAGATTTGCCAATGAGACAAGCCATTCAGTCAAGGGACACATTTCTTGTCTCTTTTAAAACATTGGCAAATCTCGTTTTAAAGCGTGACAATGTGCTCAAATTAAGACACATTTTGCCAAATTTGAGCAATTTTTTTTACTTATTTTTTATCAGTGTTTGCAGTGCAGTTATAATTAGATTAATGTACTACGCTTTGCAGTTTGATCTGATTGTCTGAAATAAATAAATCAAATTAAAACACCTATCCACACCTAAAACAGAGGGGCTCAACATGAAGATCCATTTCTATTGCTTTTCTTTAGTAAAATAATAAACTGTTCTAAACTAGTAACTGAAGTGGTGTCGCCCATGAACTGAAGCATAAACAAAATCCAGAAGTATTTCTAGCAGAGGCACTGAGGCCACCCCAAAGACAAACATTTTAAACTTTAACAAGATTATAGTCAGTGTGTCACTCAGTCATGATGATGATTTATCTGTTTTATGTAAACGACATACTGTTGAGTGCACCTAAATTTGAGGGCAGCAGATATAAATGATGACATTGTCCGTGGCCTTCTACTGGTTCAAGGCACAAAAGCCACAAAAGCACAAAAGAAATATGCTTTCATTTAGGCACCCACCTGTGATACTGATTGTTTACACAGTCTCTGCTGACACTTTCATATGTTACTGATGTAAAGATTGACAGAAATACTATAATGAGGAAGGGGGATGGTCAGAATACTCCCATTCAGATGGCAGTAAAACTCTTATGTTGCATTTAAAGCTGACAGTCGGTGATATGTGCTTCCATCAGCTCAGTGCTGACACATCAATGCAAATCTGTACACACCCGCCCATACACACACACTAAAGTTTCTTAAATAAGTTACCAGTTATTGCTATTTTCACATTTTAGCTCCAACAACCTTGATACAGTGTAAGGAATATTTTAAGGATCCACACACCTATGTTACGAGGTATACCTCAGTGATCTAACAGGATTAGAATAGACTGCTAATCACCTCAGGTGAGGAAACAGAGCTGAGAATAGCACCCAAATCCCCAGGATGAGGAGAGGTCTAAAGGCAAAGTCCTGTTTTCATGTCTTGTTCCTAGAAAACACACGCTCTCCCCGCAGTGTGAGGTGCTGCAGCTGGTACTGTAGGACCTCAGTGTCCGTGGACTCCTTTATTGTCATCTTGTCCAGATTCAGGTAGTCCAGTGACTTGGACTGGGCCCTGTTACCCTTGAGCAGACAGAGGGGCAGTGGGGTGTGTAGGGTCCTGACTGCGTCCCCAGGGCCCAGAGACTTGAGCAGAGTTTCACTTGAGCTGGGCATGCGGCGCCGCCTCCTCCCACTGACGGCAGGAATGTTATATGGCTGGTAGTAACGATTTTTGGCTTTAAATATTCGGGAAGTGTGATGTATTCCCAGGGGTAGGGACTTGGGGACAGGGCTGGGGAGAGGGCTTGGCAAAGCCTCTAACACAGAGCCTTTATCTGGAGAGCTGTCAGACCATGAGTGGGCCAGTTGAAGCAGCTCCTCACCCGTGGTGAAACCCACCAGATAGTTAGAGTCCATGTGGAGGATCTGATATCCTGCTACGGTCCCTCTGATGGGAGAGCAAGGGGTGCTGGCGCAGCGAGGCCTTTCAACCTCGGGCTTTAATGTGGCTTTACCTTCAGCTGACGGGCCAACATGTGTCCTGGACACTCCGCTCACATCCAGTTCCATCTTCAAAGACATGTTCTGTGTTGGGAAGACAAACAAGAATATTATTAAGTCTTACTTAATGTGATTTCGTCCGTACATAGTTACAATGTTTTAAGAAATTACAGCAATAATGATAGCACTGTAACAATACCATATAACAATACCCGCAGAGCACCCCCTATCGGGCACCCGTGGTAGTATCAGAGCTGCGACAACAAACGTTCGTCCCATAATAATAATAGTAACACAAACCACTAAACATTGAAATGTAATAACAAAATTGTAAATACTCTGAACCTTATTGTTACCAATAAATTCCAAATTTCAAGGAGGATTTAGGAGTGGGATAGACGCTTTGTCAATGTCATGGTGCGGATAAAGTCCACACGAGATTTCAGGGAGGTGGTCGCCGAAAGGCTGACCAGTCCAGACCGGAACCCTGTGTCCCGGACCAGTCCAGACCAGAGTCCTGAGCTCCTGTGTCCGGGACTGGTCCAGTCCAGGTTCTCATCACGCTGCGCAGAGATGCAGCAGCGATCCGCGCCGGGGCCAGAGCAGGTTCCAGCGGTAAGATGGCTGTGGTACAGGCCCACCACATATTACCCAGAATAACACAATCTATGGATAAAACACAGCCCTGGACGCTAACATAGAAATGTATTTAACCGTGTGTTATTACGAAACAGCAGGAAGGATGCTATAACAGGTCTAACAAACCAGCCTGTCCCACATCACCCACAGCAGCAGAATATGCGCCCCTCGAACCAGCACCAATTCACCAGTGTTATCATGTATTAGCAATGTAAATGAAAGCAGATAAATACAAAAGGTGAAAGGGATGTACAAACCTGTCCTTGTAGGGAAAATCCGATATTCTAGCTTCCCCTGCCTCCTTCTCTGCCTGCGCGAGTCCTCCTCAGTCTCACCCACAACTTCCGGTGGAACTTCCACAATAAAAGCTAATTATTCTCCGGAAATGCGAGGTGTGGTGCAAAAATGTGACAAATAAGTGATCCTTCCAGCCTGAGACCTTTAAGGACTGGAATAGACCGCCTGATTACCTCATCGTCTGATTTAAGAGGAGCTTTCAAACAAATCCGGATTAATCAGATTTGATCTTTAAGGCACTGTACACTGGTAGTTAAATAACCAGCTTAGAAATTAGCACAACTTGACTGCTCACCCCAAAACAGGTTCATATTCTAAAAATGTAGTATTGATTTTATACGAATAGGGATGGGTCGTCTATGTTAGGGTAGTACTGTTATTTGCTGCAGAAACTCTTTTGAATGAAAAGCATTTGCATTAAACATGCTCTGTCACCTCCTGAGCTACTATGAGCTCTGTCTCGTGCCTTGTGCTCTAGTACCTCCAAAGATTCACTAAAATATTAATGCTCACAATTTCCTGAATAGTCTACTGGAGTTCTACGGAGGTTGCTTGGCATATGGGTTTATAGGACAGGAAACATAAAGGGGAGAAGGGAGAGAATTGTGTTCTCGTTTTTATTAGAAACAGTATCCATGTATGTACACATATTCCTAAAAGCGTTTTTACTATTCACAAAAAAATCCAATAAATTTAAAGTAAAAGATTCACTGAATTAAAAATGTACAGCCAATGCTACAATGTTACAGCATCCACTCAAAACAGCCACACATGGTTTCTTAACGGCTTCACTGCATGTTGTGTGTCTTGAGTTTACGGTTTGTTTTGTCTTTGAATCTTCTACTGACATGCAGTGTGTTGCAATGGACCCACAAATAAATTACATTTATCCTTTTGTATTTTTAAATCCAATGTGCATTGCAATAAGCTCAAATGTGTGATTTAGTTTTGCACAGACCCTCCAGTCGTGTTTGTTCTCTTATGAAGGATATAAAACAATCATGCCCCAGACAGGTCTCTCTCAAGTGCATTTCTAAAAATAGGTTTTGTGAGTGAGTATCAGAGGCTGAAACATCGGTTTGTGATATATTAACAAATCATCATTCCATTCACAGCATTAAGTCACATGCATCTCTGCAGCCGCACACAGACACACTCAGTGGTACCTCCACAATGTAAGACAATAAGGCAGCCAGCATTGCTGAGTATTGTTAACTGGATTAGATGAATATATGCCCCAGTGTGCGCTGCTTTCTTAAGCATCCAAACAGAAAGGCACCTTTGTTTTTCTTTCTGCGTGGAACTGTTAACATACTTGAGTATGGCACATTACCTACAGCACATGGACACAAGTCCAATTTGATATAAACCCTTTTACTTGATTTTGTCATTTACTATATAATAAATAAAATAAAAAATATTTGTATAATTTTATGACACAGCAAATAATTTATAGAAAATAAAGGTTTGTGGTACTACTCTTCTTTATTCAATGCAGGGATTTCTCATCTTTCTATCTCACACAGCAACTTGACCTTGTTTTATTGTAATGTCACTTGACAGGACTTGTGGAGTATCATTTGTTGGTCCTGGGGTAGTCCTGACACTGTCAGTAGCCCTTAGCAATGGGGCAGTTGTCACAACACCATTGAGGAGTGTAGATATATGCTCCCGGTGCAACTCCTGCATCTCGCTCTCATGCGCGTCACTGTGAGAGTAGTGCGGGGCAGGCCCGTTGGCCACTGTGGCGTCTTTATAGTTGTATTCATGTATGTTGTTGTTTGTCTGAAGTAACTTCTCGGATATCTCCTTGTAGCTGGCAGCGGTGGGGTTATGTTCACTGGTAGAATTATAGTTGCTGTGCTCCCTCAAAAGCTGCGGACTAGAAGGGAGGCTGAGAGCGTCGAGTCCGTGGTTGTAGTGGGCAGAGCTCCTCTTCTGTTGGTTGTGGCTTAAAACATTGTGCTGTCGTGCATGTGACAGCAGCAGGGGTCTTTCGTCTTCAGTAGAGGGGCTAAGAGCCACTGAAGGGACAGAGATGGCCAGGCTGGACAGAGGAGCAGACATCTCTGAGGGGGGAGATCCCGGGGTAACAGGTGACGATGCAGCGAATACATACCTACAGCAAAAGCAAAAACACTTCAATCACAGACTGAAGAACTAACAATAAAAGTGCACAATGTTGTTTTCTGACGTACAGCCCATCACCTGCTTGTCTCACAAACACAGGTTTCAGAAATGTTCCATGGTCTGGTAAAAAGGTAATTTCTTCCTACATGGTTTTTGAACATTTTATTTCTATGGAGATTCTTTTAGAACAATATCCTGCGCAGTGAGATTCGAATGTTCCAGACCAGGGATGTCAAAGTCAAATACATCAGAGATCCAAAACAACAAATTTGCTAAAAGCCTAGAGCCGGACTGGTTCAATGTTTATTAACATATTTGAATGATTTTGTATAATCTATTGAACCAAGACCTACCACAGTGTACCGTATTTCATCAAATTATTCAATGAATAATCCAATATTTGAGTCTGTTGAAAAAAGAAAAAAAAATTCAACAGACTCAGACAAAAACAAACTTCCTTCAAAGAGAAAACACATGTCCTGAACATTAAACAAATAATCCAATATTTTCTTGACTCTGTGCGGGCCAGTTCTAATACTAATCAAATATCATCCCAGTGGCCAAGAAAATTCATTAGCGGGCCACATTTGGCCCCCGGGCCTTGACTTTGACACCCATATTCTAGACCCACTACAAATTACATAGTGCACCTTTGAAGAGATAATAATATTTCACATTCAAATTTACATGCATTAACATTGATGAAGCAGAAATGCAAATAAATGTGCCATAATAACACTCAATTATTGACCATGCAAATACAGAATAACACATTGCTTAACTCGCTAACACATGCAACAATAGCTAGTAGTGTTGAAATGTATTGTTCCGAACCATACAGGGGTGGACTGACTGAGTGCTGACGTCCCCATAGTGTTTGCCGAATGTGGAAGAAACTGGTTTGAACATAAACTAGCTGGAGCTAATTTCCATATATGGGCATTTGTTCCGATTTTAAAGCTAATTTCTGGATATACAAAGAAAAAAAATCCCCAAATAAATCCAGGATCATAGTGAGCACTAAACCACAGATTTCTTTAGGGGGTTTACATTATCCATTTATTTAGTGTATTCCTTTATGTTCCTTACGCATTTTGTCATCTAATTGGTGACAGTAAAATGTTTTCTGCCAGAATGATTGCTAAACTATAGCAATAGCAACAATAAAAACATGAATCCATATCCACGCATCCAGAACCTGCTCCCAATTCACTTACGCCACGAGTATGATTCATCGCAAACCCTCAAACCATAAATCCAACCCGATCGGCTTTGTTTTGTCTCATTCTTTTTACTTACAGCTGAGATCAATGGGGGCTTGAGTTCAGTGACCAATCATTAGCCTAACCCAATCATGGGGACATCAGCTTCTGGACGTTTACCTTTCCAGTTGTAATTCGTTTAGATCGCGAGGTTGCTTTTTATCTTGTCTCTCGATGCAACTGTGTGACAGCGACATTTTTGTCCCTTGGATTCACATTCAACAGTTTAGATCACATTCATTAAGCATATACATATTTTACACTGCAAAGAATGATAACACATAAGGTAATACATGGTTGAATCCAGTGGGAGTATATTTTGACTGTATTAAAACCAGAATTAATGGGACAAGCCGTCTAGACCTATTTCAAGTGCCTTATAAATTTGTGTTTCTCATTCCCACAGAGACATTTCTTTGATTTTCTCGTCTGGTTTTGCTTGCATTGGAAAATCTTGTTTAAATACAGTCAAAATGTACTCAAATGAAGATAGACTTTGCCTGTATTAAGAATTTATCGACTTGTTTTTGTCACTTTTTGCAGTGTAGCGTTGAGTCCACAATAAAAGCCAAAGGATAATCAGCTGAAAACCGAGCCACGACAAAAGGTTATTTAGTTGAAATAACATTAATGGCATGGCTGGGCGCTGAACGATGAAGAGGTATAATTCTGACCCATTTATGTGAAAATCACTTGTTCGATTACCTCGTATTTTAAGACAAGTCCCTGTCGGAGCTGGGTGTGTCTCTGCACTTCTGTGAATGAGGATTTATGTCTCTGGTGCCGGCGGTGGCATAGAGACGACCCCGGCGGCCCTGTGTGTCACGCTGGCTACTCTCCGCCAATGACATCACCGACACAGACTCAGTGTCAGACAGGACACTGGTGCTCCACTCATTACTCCAGCTGCGGAGACAGGGATGGCTCGTTTACATGGAGACACGATTCAGAGGCCGCAAGTCCAGAATGTGATTGCATTTTTCTCTTTGGGTTTCTATTCATCAGAGAGAGGATGGATACAGTGCCATATCGCTATAGTAACAGAACACTTGTGACAAAATAAATGAAAGCTTGCATTAAGCGGTGCAGCAGCAGTTCCATTGTTTTCTCAATTAAAGCTGGAGTATCTCACCTTTTTTGTTTCATGATTATATGTTTTGGAGTTTTTGAGTTTTTCGTTTGAACAGTTTGATTCTCTGATCTGTGTTGCCGAATTCAATGATTGTGTAAAGTCCTCTGAGATAACTATTATTGTGATTTAGGGATATACAATAACAAAATGAATTGAATTGAATTGCCTAATTAGAAAACATTTTGTCTTTTACATCCTGAAAGCTGATTGGCTGAGTTGAGTTTTCCCTTTTCTGTCTGAAAAAGCTGATCTGAAAAGGGCCACACAAAAAATGCATGTGCTTTTGTACAGTTTCATATAAATGCAAATATATTTATCTGTTTTGTAAATCAGATCTGATACTTGCGCTATTGCACTTCTGGTAAGATGCTAAACTGCATTTTGTTGCATTGTTCTGGGGGAAGCAGATCCCTCTCTCAATATTCCTGAGGTTTCTCACTTTTCCTCCACTGTTATGTTAGTATTGTTTCTCTTTTTGTTATTAGTAATCTTTTTGTTATATTTTGTTAATGTACCTAAGTTGTTTGTGATTAATATGTATTCATTATTTCTATGCCCACTTGCTTGCTCGAAATAAATACATGATAAATTCCTTGCCAATACAGGAGGGTCTAAGGACAGTGATGATCCGAGGCATTTAAGGACATTTATGGACATTTATTAACCTTCATGGACATTGGTCATCCTGCTGCCTATGGACCAATGGCTCCTCTGTCTTTGCTATTATTGCCTTTCTTGTATGATCTGTTTTTGGTGAAACAAACGACAACTGCTGTTGTGATTTAGGGATACACAAAAATAAATGTAATATAATTGATCTGTGTTACATAGAACATTCTGTGTGGTTTCAAAGTCAGGTACTCCAGCTTTAAGTGTTGTGCCTCTTGCATTCTGACATATATAGAGCATGTTCCTCACCTTTGGCTGATGTGTGTGAGAGCAGTGGGCTCAACTGCAGACGAGGCACATTTACTTGTGGAGACAGATGTTTCCGCGTCCTTCTCTGCTGCAGTCTCGACGGCCTCTGTGTTGTTCTTCTGTTTGTAATAATAATAACAATAATAATAATAATGATAGATTTTACTTGTAGCGCACCTTAGATATGCAAACACATCTCAATGTGCCACAGAAAGTTAAAAACACAATCAAACCATCAGAATATAAATATGAATAAAAAGGCATAGGCTGCAGAGTTTATATCGGCAGTCGATCGTACAAACAGTATTGATCAGATGGCGGGGTCCGACTTACATTTGGCAGGTTCTGTAGAGCCAGCTGAGGCCGTCCTCTGCTTGAGCTCTTTCTTTTTCTCCTGAGACTCTGCTTCAGGCGATCATGGAGCTTCTTCCTCTCCTTCCTGGAACAAATACAATATGCTGCTTATAATGATGATTACTTATAATCAGAGAGACATTGAGTTGACATGTTTTCACTCATCCATAGCTCTACAACATTTACATATAGTTGCAGTAAACAGATATTTTGAAATGTCAGCGAGTTGTTTTTGCACGTTTTGTTGTTGTTGAGAAATAATGATTGTTTTTGTGTGTAGTATTCTTGAAAGTGCAAATTACTTTGTTCTGCAGTAGGCAACCACACACATGATTCCAACTACCAGGAGGGCAATGCAGATCCCTGTAATAGTTAAAATACGTTTCTGATACAGCTCCTCTGCCTCTGAAAAAAGAAGATAGTTCACTTTAAACCTCAACGCAAACCTCAGTTTCACTAAATCCACACAATGCTATTCTACAAAACGTCGTCATCACAGTGGACAAGTACATGCAGCATATATCTACAAATAGATATACGACTCTTTCTACAAGTTGATTCGTTTTTTTTTAAGACCAGAGTGTTTTTTTTTACATAATGTGGTTCTTATGGATTAGGACGAAGCAAATATCATAAGAGCTGAGGTCAAAAAACCCAGAGGCTGGATAATTATACTATAAACCGGGTCGAGGGGGATGTTTTACTCCCACACACCTGGGGCACATTTTTAGGGCAAAAGCCCTAAAAATGTTAGACTGCAAATGGCGCTGTCGTCCTGCCTCTTGTTACCCAAAGACAGTGCCAAAAACTGTGTCACATGACCACTTTGAGGCTGCTCCCCCCGTCAAAACTCTAAGGTACGAAAAAACCACTCTGGTCTTAAAAAAATTAACTTGTAGAATCTATCAGAAGACCAAATGAACCACGTTGGACTCGACAAATGGGACTCTGATGTAGTTTTCATGATGAGCTGGTTCTACAATGTAAGCATGCATTTTACCAAAGCCACTTTCCATTTCTTTTTTTTTAGCAAAACTGAGACATGCAGAACATCCAGCTCTGAGGAGGGAGTGTGAGCGTGCTGTGGGTCCAGCTTTGACATACCCCCACTCCTGATTCTGTTCATAATGCTGCGGAAATGGTCTAACTACTATGTTCATGTACTGACATAAATGCCGGTCAGTAAACTACTACTGCTGTTTGGATTACCTATTGATTTATTGCTCTGACCTAAGTGCATGTTGACAACAAAAACTAGCTTTGGTAGAGAGTCACGCTACTAACATTTCAACCTAAAAAGCAAAAAAAAATAAGTCATACCCATAAAATCAATCCCAAGACGTTCTGCTCATGGTAAAGGAACATAAGAAGAGTTAAAAAGCTCCATTGAATTATTTCTATTATGAACAAGTGAGTGTTTTATTCAACTCTACAACTACTTCTACTTTATAGAGTCAGTGTTTAAGATCTTTTACGGACAAGTAAACAAAATTTACAAATCCCACGAATCAAATCTCTCTCTACTGATATAAGCTGAGATTTAGCAACAATCTTGTGGCTGTCTTTTATTTCATTGTCTTTAAAAGTAAGCAGTCCCGACCAAATTATTCTGAACCAAATCCTGGATATTTAATGATTACATACAGAAATACAAACTAAACAGTAAAAATCTACCACAATGTCTTTAAAGCACAGAGGCATTGACAATTAAGACTTTTTGTTAGCTCTGGTCAAGAGCCACATATTGTACAGAGAGGGAGATCTCCCTGTCATAAAAGATCAAATATTGATAGAGAAACTTAATACACACACAGTTATTTCCGCTGCATCAGGATCATGTTCACTTTAGGCCAAAGCTCCATATTATTAGAGACAGAAGAATGAGGCTCTAGATCAAGGAATATGTCGTAACGCTGAATATTTAGCAAATTTTCCAATTACCAGTAGTTATTGGAAACACATCTTAACAGCAGCATAAAGATAATGATTATTTACATTCATTTCAATGAATATTTCTATCCTGTGATAGAAATAAAGGTGAATAAGGGAAGTATTTAGAAACAGTGGGAAATCTACAAAGCGTTCCACATGCAGATGTGTGTGCCTCAGACAAGCACCATGCTTGTGATGAGATAAAAGAGGAAAAGAACATACTGTAAAAGCTGGCCATCACATAGTTTTGGCATCGATCACCAGTGAATTCATTGGGACACCTGAAGAACAGAAGAGAGGAGAGGGAGACAGAAGAGACCAGATTAGTCCATAGAAGCTACGGACGACCCACAACAGTCATCACTGGTGTTGGCGACAGGCCAGCTAGACCAAAGTGTCTAGTCACAATCTGATACATACGACGGACAATTTGCGATTGCTTTGAAATGAGTCCAATTGAGCCGAATGACTTGCTTTGTGCATGTACACATTTGCCTCAAGATCATCCTAATAATTGTTTCACTAAATGAAGTAATGGCTCCTCCATCAGGAACTGCATGAATCAGCACCAGAAACAAAGTGTTTGAGCTTCTGTGAAATGGCCCTGTGTTTATATGACAGCAGCCCGACCAGTGATTACCAGGGTCTCCCCCCATACCTTCAACACTGCTGTATAACAGCCCAGATGCATGGAGTTAGTGTTATGCCCTAAGTTAATGGGAATGGAGCTAAAAAAAAAAGGGCATTAGTTCAACAAATCAACCTTAAATTAGAGACTGGTGGGAAAAAATAGGATGGAATGCGAGGTACATGCAAATTTCAGTCAAGAGATACACCCGTTACCAACTAAGTCAGAACTGGACAGCCAATTCCAAACTACTGAGGGAAAGTGGGAGTTCCACTTGTTCTTTGTCAGAAACATGAGAGGTGAAACACCAGTAATGACACGTGGGGCTGAGATCAGGGTTCACATACGTTTGGGTTCGAGACTCTCTTAAGCACAGCTCGTTCACATCGGTGCCCAGTGAAGCCTGCCAAGCACCTGGTCGGTGGGTAGAGAGGGAAACATATAAACATATCAAAAGTCGGCATCTTCTGTAACAATGCTAGTGCGGTATGTGCTGCAGGTAAAAGTGAAAGATTGCTGACCTTTTACGTAAAAAAGGAGGTTTTTCATGTTAATGTTGATGTTCATTCTTATCGTGGTAGGATTAAACATGTGGTAGTATTTTAAATCCCAGAGAAAGTATTGAGAGAGTGAATGTCAAAATCTCAGTGGAGGAAATCTAATATAAGTATACTTTAATTTAAAAATAAAGTAAATTCATACATTATTGTTTAACCTGCCAATCAATAAAACAAACGGTTCTCAAACTGTGAATGTGTACCAATGACAGGTGGTGATAGGTTTCTTCTGGATGCCGCCTCTGCTGTTAGTTGGAATTTAAACTTTTAACAAGGAAATGAAAAGGGATTTGAAGGACTCTCTATTTAGGTCAAGACTAAACCAGTATTTTCCCTTGAATGAAAAAAATAAAAAGTTATTACTGCACCGTTGGAAAACACTGGACCAACCCTAATTTAGAACTTGGATAGATGAGAACATTGAAAAACATTAGATGATTGTCAGTCTCATACTCCATGCACTAATACCACTGTGGAATGTCAAGTTGATCATGAGTTTATTCAAATAGTGAATTTTAAAACCTGATCGTAGCGGACAAACCATTACTTCCTGCACTAGCCCCACCTGCAGAGGAACTTGGTGCTGCCCGGCATGATTTCGAGGGTGAAGCATTCGCCTCCATTCACGCAGTAGTTTTTCTGGCTGTCGCTGCAGCGGGTCACATGACTGGAGGTCTTTAAAGTTGTGGTAGTGCTGGTGGCGGCTGTAAAAGACACCCATCATTAGTGCAACATAAAAGGCTAAATACACTGTGTAAACAATACCACAGATTACACGGATTACATACTAAGCACGAGCTAAGCACTTGAACCTCAGACATAAATCTTACACCAGACAGGATATGCGTGTGTATACAAAACAGTCAAGTCAATTTAAATCATAATTAAACCCAGTCTGTCGATCTATATTATGTGGGTATACATTCTACAAACATTAAAGATTTCAAGCATTATTATTGGCTATTTAAAATTATATTGAGAAAGTTAACTATTAATTCAATGTTTTAGAATGTGAAATAATACCTGAAGTAAAAAGTATAAGGTGAAACAGGTATGAAGGGTAAAAAATGCTTTCTGCCTGTAACTCCCTATGCAACCACCAGAGGGAGGAGTTGAAGTTGTTTTGTTATATATATATAGATAACATATAATTGTAAAAAAATACAAATAAAATAACAAATAAACAAAATAAAAGGGGCGACAGTAGCTCAGTTAGTAGAGCAGTGGCCTTTGAGCCTGGAGGTCGTGAGTTTGATTCCCACCATGGGACCTACTCCAATTGCTCCCACTGATGTCTACTGTCGTTGTGTCCTTGGGCAAGACACTTAACCCCACGTTGCCTGAAGCCCCCGCTGAAAGACCAAGGATCAGTGAGGGACTGGTGCTATGAGCATTGGGTGGCAGCTCTCATTGCTGCCACTCTGTAATTTTAGAAAACAAAGTCATACAAGAATAATTGACAGATCAAATATAGCCAGTATCTATCCAGACATTTTTAAATATATACAAAATAGTGCTAATGATAAAATTATAGTTAGTTATACAAACCCAAAGCACTCAAAATTCTGTTTAAAATACAATTACAGTCGTTGCTAAAACTGCTGGAGAGTGACTCAGCTTAAGGCGCAGTCTTTTCTGTCTTTATTATACATTTGACAGCCCAGAGGAGAATACAGATTCCCTGCTTAGGTCTGGAGAAACATTAGCCTATTGAACGTGATACAGGGCTGGAGAGGAGCCAGCCAGCCTCCCTTTCTCTGCTGATATTTGCAGATGCATCAGTCTACTGCAGTGGATGGAGTTTCTCTCACGCGTTATCAAGGACAAATCGTGATGCACTGCACCATCACACGTTTATCTTGCATTCATTCATGACCCTCGTGGCTTTTCACATAATACACCAACATTTGTATGAATTATGTGTTTTGACAGCTTTGATACATGAACTGGAAATTAATATGGCAACGTTTCATCTGAAAACGGTCAACTTTCCTGTTGATAAAAGTTGTGAATGAGGAAATTGAGACGTCATTATGAGAGACAGGAAGATCTTCAAAGGGCCATTACATTTAGACACATGCTTTGGCATCCTATTGATCTGTGGCGGGACACACCCTCCGCTCCTGAGGCTAATGGCTGAAACCGCCACTAGAGGGAGAAGATCCACTGCACAGTGCACTGGGCCAACCCTCTATGCAGCCCCAGTCCCATTCCCACTTTAAAACACCTATAAAACTACAAAGCAGATCCAGGTTTTGATTTTAGGACAAGAACATATAGAATAATGTTGAAAATAAGTAAGGCTTCTACTGGCGTGACGACGATGCATTCAGTTAAAAACCTTTATTATTATGTGATGTGTTATGATAGAAAACTAAAAACATTTCAACATGATGACAACGGCTGATATCATTCATGTAAGCAACCATTATGTAGACTCATCCTGTAATTACATCAGTGACAGAGAGCTGAGGTTTTCACAGAACAAAGAGGACAGTGACCTGATGCAACCACCAGCCTACTCCCAGGAAACACTCGCTCAGGCCTCGGTTTCACAAGAGTCAGACACAGAGGAGGGAGGAAGTCGACCAAATGCAAGCATTGGTCAGTCGACTAACAAGGGGGCGTGTCAAATGCTCTCAACGGAACATGACCTAATGAAAAACTACTATTCACATATTCAGTGACAAATACAAAACATTGAGACAAAGTTGAGAGTTTGATCTGGCTGGAATTTGAAAGTAAATGCTGACATATTCAGCCATTTTCCTCCATGTCTTGTCCATTTTCTCGGACACTTAAAATTTAAATAAAATTCAATTCAATTTCAATTAAATATATATAATTCATTAAACAAATAAATATGGACAGCCCTACTGTTTTGACCGTGTTTTGGACCACTGCTGCCTGTTAATAATGTAGCTTCTGGCGTATGTATAATGTTTTGCAAATAGCCATAAAGATAGTTGTTAGTTTCTAATTTGTTGCAGCGATAACAATGATTTATGTACAATGGTATATATTAATTATATACGATGGTATATATTTATGTAGGACTTTTAAAATGGAAGTGCTGGTAACTTTATATATTTTTATACTATTGTATAAGATTATATAAAGGGGCAATGATACAATAACTGAATCTTTGTTGATCATTCAGCATGAACGTAGGGCTAGGATCTAATGCATCAATGGTACCTGTTTTTTGGCACCAGTTCCAGAATGTTCTTTTTGCCTTCTAGAATAAAAAATATTGTACAAAGTAAAAACTTTAGTTTTCATCATTCTCCCAGAATCCATATTAATCCAGTTTTCAATAGAACTATCTTTTTCTGGTTCAGGACCACTCGTTACAGAGGAGCCCTAATCATGTGGCTCTGCAATCAATGCTCATATTGATGTCACACATCCATACTGAATCATCATATGAGCAATACTGTTGCATATTGCATTTTGATTTGTTTTCACAGGTTTTGATAAGTAACATAACATAATATGTCGATTGTAGAAGTCAAATGAAGCACACAGATAGTTTTTAAGTTCTGTACATTGCCTTAGAATTATTTTGGACGTTATGCCGGAAGAGTGAGAAGAGTGCAGTGACAGAGGCCTTGTAATGGGGCCTGGGGCCTGTCAGAACAGGTTCGAGAGCGCCTCATATGGGGCACGTGCACATACACTTGTCCAAAGTGTCACTTGTGGGGCAACTTTGTTCTTACTTAAATTTACATTGGAGTCGCAGACACAAAGACAAGACCGGAAGTCATGAGGAGACTGATCCTTTTAGCAGCACCTTATGAGCTAACTCACTTATAGAGATGTAAATCACCACAGATGTGACTACAACAGGGACATGACGGCGGTCTGTATTAGTGGCTCTTCTCCCTGCGGCTGTGGAGGGCATCAATTAGCCTCCCGCCGCTCTGACCTTGAAATGGAGCTTGGTCCTGAACAGGAAGTCTCCTGTACCACAACCCCAGTTTCAGTTTTGTTCATGCATCATTTATTGATTTTCACTTTTTCTTATGACTGGAACCATGTAAAGGAGGAGGGGTTACCATGACGGTACAGAATGGTTTCTGTGACAGTGATAAACAGACCCTCAGGTGATATGTTCAGTGTGACATTCAGCCGGGTTTAGTCATCCACATCAACAAGTCACAACACGTCAGCTTCAGGCAAAGTTATGAAGGCTGACACTTCCCTAAACCATGCACACATTTCAAAATTATTTAACTACTTTAATATGCATGTGATTATACTTCCTTTTTGTATAATCAGAAAATAAATCAAGGTTTCATTAAAAAGAAATAATCATCAATAAGGCCTTTGACAGATTGTGGCTCCAGGGTCCTATTATAATAATAATAATAATAATGATTTTTTTTTAAAAAGGATTGCACGAATTGGATAAACTCCTTCTCAAAGTCAATCCCAAAGAAATACAAAAGACAGTGCACTGGGGACTTTGATGTGTACTCGGTTGAAGACCTGAGCTGAGACTATAAACCCAAGGGACCTGGTTGGCCCCTGGTTCATTCACCAGGGGCCAACCTATTTTGCTGAGCGGGAAATAATGATAATAATAATAATAATAATAATAATAAAATAAGTGAATGTTTTACTTACATATAGTCGGGATGTCGTTGCTGTTTAACCCCTGTGTGGTGTGGGCCATGGGGGTCTGCCTTCCAGGGGTGGTTTTTTCAGCATTATATTTCAGTGTCACTGAGGAGTCACTCTGAGTCACTTTAGGAGAGAGAGGCACAAGCGGCCGCTGTGTAGATTTGTCCTCCACCAACACTTCAGGACGTCCAGAGGTGACGGTGAAGGCACTGGAAGGAGAGTGTGTGGACCAAGGCAAGTGTGGAGGGGGCAAAGTGAATCCCAGGGTGGGATCAGCTGATATGACGAAAGGGTCTTGTCCGATACGTTTAGGGTCCAAATGTGTGGGAGGCTCATACTCAAAAATCTTATCCACAAAAACCCACTTCAGGCCGGCTGTACAGAGGGCTAGGCTAAGCAGACATGCCAGGATGGGCAGAAGGCAGATTTTCTCAGAGTGAAGGCAGTTGTTAATCTGGTCCCTTTGTATGCACACACAGCAAGTGACCGGCAAGGCCAGGGCTCCCTCCTGCTCTTCTGCCTGCTCCTCGTCTTGTCCAGAGGCGCCTTCCTGCACATTTCCCTCATCAATCCCCTCTTCTGCCTCATCCGCTGCCCCAGTCTCCTCTGCTTTCTCGTCAGGGACTTGTCCGGTATCAACAGTTGAACCGGTAGGGGACACCGTCCCAGTACTGATATCTTCCATTCCCTCAGTCATTCTTCCCGTACCACAATGGGAAGGCTCTAGCAACTACAACTATTAACTCAGAGCATTGCACTGAGGTTGTCCATCCTCCTGTGTTGTTTCCATGATGATTAGCTGGACTATTTGAGAAAAGTTTAATTTGCTCTTGAGACTCACTGTCCTGACCTTGTTCACAGAAAACGCCTAAAGCCTAAAATATAAAAAGGAGATCCTTATTCTGGCTTTCTTTGAGAAAAAAGAAAGTGCCCAAAAATAGATTTATCATAAATGCTGCAGATGAGATTGGAAAAAATAGGTCAATATACCTTTGCAAACTGCACATGAGTGATGGGACAGTAGTGCTCTACTCACCTGGGAACTTGGAGGAAGGATGTAGGGTGGACCAGCTGCAGAGGCTGCGGTTGCAGTAGTGTAGAGGACAGGACGGCCAGGCACTGCAGTGGCACGAGGGACATGCTGTCTTGTCTGTGGAGCTCCAGGCAACAGAAAGGCTGAATCATCAGAGAAAGGCAGGTGCCCGTCCGCGCAGCTAAAGCTACAGAAAGAGATGAGTAAGGAGAAAGCAAAAAAAAGAAGATATAGAGTGAGGCAGAGGAGGGCGGGAGGGCTGCAGCAGCACTGAAGGGCAGATGGGATACTCCCCTTTTCTACTGCTCACTCCTCCTCTCTCTTACTCTCAAAGTGGTGTACAGGACAGCCTCCTGGCCTCCTCCCTGTGCTGCTCTTACTCTGCTATACTCTCATTGCAGACTTCTCTCAATCCATGTACAAAGCATCCACTAAGCAAGTTCCGACTTGATCCAATTAGAGAGCATGTCAGCGAATCACAGACAGCCTATGGCCACAGCCATCCCTATGTACCACTCCCCATTGTGCTGGTCCTATAGTGTGTTTTTTGTCAAGGGGAAGGAGCCAAAGAAGCCGACATATGATCTGTCCCAGGAGGACTGCAGCCATTGTGCTCTATTCCTTTCAAGTTATTAGTGTAATAATGTACACAATTAATAATTAACAGGATAGTTACAGAGACACTTAGAGATGCTTCAGTCATTAGTGATGCATATTCAAATGCACACTTTAACAAGGTGTTGAATCTATAAACACTTCATCTAGTTGAAACCTGTCTATAATACTTAATACAGCCTAACCACATTGGAATCTTTCTATTTAAAAGGAGGTGTGTTGTGCAGTTGTGAAGCGTATATGAAATGTATTACAGCATGTTAATGTAACAGAAGCACCCAGACCAACCATAAAGTCTGAAGTCCCAGCCCCCAAACATACCTCAATGAGAGTGTGGCAGGACAGTGCAGCTCAGATACGATGAGGACAGGGAGAGAGGTCAGTCACACTGTGACCCTTTAGACAGAATTAATACCAGTAATGGTATCTGCCACAGAGCACTTCCTGTCAGACCCTTGAATTAGGGAGCTGCTGCATATTGATTAGCTTTGTCTCAGCCTTTTCATTTTATTTTCCAAGGGTTCTTGGTTTGACGCGATGTATTTATCATAGAAGTTTCATCGGGAGAAGAAAAAACAAAACCACTACACTGTATACAGTGTATAACCTTAACATAACACATTCATAGGTGTAACATGTGTCGTATTTACGCTTTTAGAGTAAACACATCCTAACTGCGAAGCAGAAAGGATTATACTCATAAATATAAAGCTCAAAATGAATACACTGGTTTAGTTTACGGAATTGTATTTTGTTGTGAATATATATTTAAATTCATATATATATGGATAGTAATTCCCCTATGCTAAAGTCTTAGAGAATACTGACCGCGTGGCTTATATTCTTGGTCAGCAGCAAGATCTAATAGATCCATGAGCAAGATGCACAATCAAAAACTAAACAAAAACTTGACACAAATGAAGCTTCAGGTGAGAGCCACAGAGCGCCCCCTAGTGGCTATATTTGAACAAAAGCCTCGTGTAAAAGGGCTGCATGTGTGATGTAGTAACACAGCATCTGTGTGAACTGAATGCAAAAAAGATACGACTCAATAATTATTCGATTATTATTTGACCACAAACAACAAAAACATGTGGAATCAGTATAGTTTAATTTTGATGATGTCCATTTTACATCCACATTGATTCCCTTTGTCTATCCAAACATTAGTAAAATCGCTTCAATACAATACCAGAAACAGCATATTAAAAACCATTTGTGTAAACCAGATATAGAATAGCATTACATTATAAGAAACAGATCTCCTTGTAAACGACATGGCGCATTATGAATCATAGATGGGGCGATAACTGCAGTGACAAAATCCTGCAGACACAAAAGCAGTAGTTCTCTTGAATGTTTCTTGTGTGAAGTGATACAACAGGTAACAATCAGCAACAATCATGTGAAAGAGTTCAAAGTCTTTTTTGGTGGTTTTACAAATACCCCACAGGCACAAGTGAGCGTTGAGTAGGAAAGAGGATCTTCATGCAAATAAGATATAGATTGAAATTAAAGATTATTCCTCCACAAACCTGACCTTTAACACAAATGTGCCTTAACCACTTTAAGTGTGTCTGGTAAGTCTAATCCTTTAATCATGGTGAGGCGAGGGGCTACATGAAGAACTGAGCCAGAAGGTTGGCTATTCCCAGTAGAATCAGGAAACTGTGGAAGACGGCAGATGGCCAGGTGAGCGTTCCCTGCCGATGATGAGAGATCATGTGGATCAAAGCCGGGAATACGAACACTAAAGCCAGACCACACGTGGCACCGGAGAATCTACAAAGAAAACACAAAAAGTGTGCACACACTCTCAATAGTGTCATGGTGTGGGTTTTATTTTTGTACTTTTGTTTTATTTTGACATTGTTCTCTGTGGTTTGGTTTTAGTTGTACTTCCTGTCCTGTCTGCCCCTGTCTTGATTGTCTGCCCCGCCCTGATGTGTTTCACCTGTGTCTGTGTCTATATGTACCCTGTGCTCCTCTCCACATGTTGCTGGTCCATTGTGTTGTTCATGTCTTTGTCTGTTCCGTTCCACGTCTGTTCCTGTTTTGTTGCTGCTTGTGCCTTTGGATTTTGAGTTTTAACCTGGACTTTTATTTTGTTTTCATTAAATGTTATTTTTTTGGCATTCCTGCATTTTGAGTCCTTCCTTCATTCACCTCCCCCCATGACAAATAGTCACAATAAACATTATGTTAGGACACAATTAGGAACGGGTCACACTGCAAAAAGTGATGAAAAATGAGTCAAAAATTGCTAAAATGTGAGCACATTTTGACTGCCTTTAAACAAGATTTGCCAATGGGACAAGCAAAATTATCTTATTTCAAAAAGATACAAGACATTTTTCCCTTGGAATGAGAAAATAAACACTAAATGATTTGTCCCATTGGCAAATCTTGTTTTAAGAAAGTCAGAAAGTGCTGTACTTAAGACACAAACCACTTGATTCATTATTACCTCATATTTTATAATTGTTTGCAATGCAGGTTGAAATATTACTGTACCTTTCCTTAGCATTTCAGAACTAGTATAAAACATGCACGTGGCACAATAATAAAAAACAAATGTTTCAAATTGTAAACATTATAATCACAATTATAATATTTATAACTTCTATAGTTAGGGTTGGATGGGTTTCTGCTGCTACTGGAAACCTAAATGTATCTTATCGGTTTATCTTTTTAGTGCTTACCTTATGATGGAGCCAATGTTGGGATAAAACATGGACGTCAGGACCCCAGCTCCAACGATGATCATGTTCAGCAGCAAAACATGGAAAAAACTACAGGAAACAGAAGCATGATCCTACTGCAGAGATGTACAAGTCCACAATACTGCAGTTCACACGAGTACCTGGGGTAGGTGTTTCCAAAGAACTGACTCATGACCTGAACACGCACCAGGTATCCCAGCAGAGGGTACACAGTCACCATTTGAAACAACAGAAATGTCCTCGCTACAAACACCAACACATCACTGCTGGGGAAATTGTCAAGAAAGTTCTAGGGGAGGGAAAAAAAGTTTTAGTGAGTGATCGAAAGATTTTTGCTGTTAAATAAATGAAGTGTACTTTGTACCGGTTCAATGCATTCTTTGGTTAAGGGAGGAGAAGGAAAAGCAGAAAAGATCAAAACCCCTACATAGAGGTAAGTTAGTCCAACCAGGAGATAGGCCACAGATAGATCTCGTACCTAAAAAAGAACAAGATACATGTGTTTATTTGCCATTCGCAGCAAAACCACATTGGAATAACTGCGCAAGGCTACCCCAGTGTGCACCAGGATAGTACACACCAGAGCTCTTGCGCTACGCCATTTTTTCCGCCGCCATGCAGACATAACACATAAGGTTTTTCACAATACAGATTGGCTCATATGAAAACACTAATTGTCACTTACGTTGTTTCTTTGGTCACGGTTGCTCTTCATTAACGTGATGATGCAGTTGTGAATAAAAAAGGCCAACGTGAGAACGCCAGTCAGTTGAGGAAACATCAGTCTAAACTCTGGAAGGACAAAACAAACATGTGATGTATATTCAGGTGCTGTAGACTAAGAAGAGAATCGGGGAATTATCTTTAACCTGGGACAAAGAACTGTGTGTGATCAAACCAGTGGAACTCCAAGTGAAATCCAAGACGGAAAGCTTTGTAAGTGACAAGTGTGAGGAGGTAGATCACAGAGATGGTGCCTAAAAAACAAAATAGTTCAAGATTCACATTCACGACCTGTACATTTGTATTTTCTCTTACCCAAAAAAGTGAATCTTGCAAAAAATGACGCGGATCGGAAGCAGAGCAGCGGCAGCAGGACCACAATCAGGTACAGGGGGATGGTCTGCGTCTTGCTCCACCAATGTGCAAAAGCATCCGAAGTGTCGTTGGCATTTTGGTCCAGATAGATGAAGGTGGCGTTTGAACCAGGGTCAACATTTGGAAAAGGGCAGATTACTGAAAAGAAATGTGTTATTTAGTACAATATAAATCTGATATGGACCACATGTGTCACTGTCACTTCACTTCCCTCATCTGTGCAATAATAACTTTAAAAATGTCAGAATGTATAATATGGAACCACATGTGTTACTGTTACTTTACTGAGTCACTTTGTCCCATACCTCATGCTGCTAACATGTACAGATGTAAACATACAACTATATATTATTACACTAGAAAATACAGCTTTTTTGTCTTGCTCCTTATAATGCTAAAGTCAGAGGTTTTTGTACCTAATTCTTGCTTCTTCATCATTCTAAAGTTGGAGATTTTAGACTTCTTATTTTTATGCTAATTTTATTTTAGTATAGAATTATTGGGCCTCATTCACGAATAACTTCGTAAGAAACTACTCAACTTTCTTCTCAAGTTGTCCTTAAGTAGATTTCTAAGAAATCCCTACGTGGGATTCATCAACGCACTCGTAAGCCGCTGAATTGTTCGCAGCTGTTCTCTCAGATTGATGAATCCCATTTCAGCGTAAGTACAGCGCGCGTGCCAGGTGCTTCATTAGCATAGGTACTTAGCATAAGTAACCGCCCATTAATGCCCATATAAGGGGATGCAGGGCCGTTGCAGACGGCTGAGGAAACAGCAACAGGCCTAAAGCAGGCCTTTTTTCTTCTTTTACCAGACTGAGAATAAAGTTATAAAATGTTGACTTAAAAGTCGAAATATTATGATAATAAAGTCGAACTAGCAAAATTATGAGATTAATCTAAGAATATGATGAGATTAATCTCAAAATGTTATGAGCTTAATTTAAAAATATATTATGTATTATTTTAAAGATGAATCTCAAAATGTTTTGAGATTAATCTCAAAATATTTTGGACCCTGGGAGGAGATCCAGCGCGGACCAGCGCTGAGACCAATGCAGACCCGAGGAGAGACTGGAGTGACCAGCACACAGAAACCAGCGCGGACAGGAGAGACCGCATAGACTGGAGTGACCTGACTGGAGAGACCGGTGCGCAGAGACCAGCGCGGACCGAAGATAGACCGCATAGACCAGACTTGAGAGACTAGCGCGGACCCGTATGGATCCAGGAGCATGAAGCACGGACCCGTATGGAGAGACCAGTGCAGACCCGTATATGGGAGAGACCAGTGCAGACCCGTATAGATCCATGGGAGAGACCAGTGCAGACCCGTATAGATCCATAGGAGAGACCAGCGCAGAGACTCAGCGCGGACCCAGTAACCTCCTGCAGCAGCAGTATATATGCCGTTGTTCTGTGGCCCGTGGATAAAGAAATGCCCCCTATAAATAGGAAGGGGTCACTAATACACGGCAAGATTTCCAATGTATTTGATAAAGCGTTGGCACATTTCATTTCAAAATGAATTAAAAAGTAGGCCAGATCTGCAGTGAAAAAGGCGGTATATAAATAAAGATTACTAATAAAGATTACTACAAATAAATAAATACATACATCGATATGACGGACATATCACTGGAATGTTGTATTTTTATTCAACTTCACCAAAGAGGACAACCCCGGCGTGTGAACATGTCGGCACTGAATGCGTACGAGTGCTCCTGAGGACTCGTAGGATTTGTACTTGCCCAAGACAAATTCTGGTTACGAGAAATATTCGTGAATGCCACTTTCTTCGTAAAAACCGCGTAAGTAGGATTTACGTACAAATCTGTTCCTAAGAACCGTTCGTGAATGAGGCCCATTGTTCTATATTTGTGCTGTGTGCTCCTCATTCCAATCGTTCTGTAATTGTGATCTCTTAATCTTAACATTCTTTGTAGAAAAAAAAAGAATTGTCTTTTATTTACCTTTATCCGAACCGTTTGTTCCAATCTCATCGTCTGTCACAGTGACATTGTGAGCATAGTCTGGAATAATAATAAAAATGTATCAAACTCTTATCTGTGATGTGTGCAGTTCAGAATATTCAGCACTTACTGTAGATGAACTGCCCACTGTTAAAAAGAAAGTTGGACATCAGAACCCAGTACACCACCATGGCCCCTATGAGGGAAACCATAGAAAAGAAAAGACTGGACCATTGGCCAAACTTCCCAAAGTAGTAACGACAGACGTCAGGGAATTCCCAATCCGACGTGTCCATATACGCTGTAAAAACGAAGGAAACAAATAAATGAGGCCACCTTTGTAAAAGATGTTTCTTTTCCACTGTGTCAGCAAAAAAATGTGAGTGACATAGAAAGCATGACTTGCTAACTGTTAATCATTAAAACATTCAGTTTAGTTTTTATAGTATTAAAAACAGAGGTGAGAACAAATATGGCGGCATAAGAACTTAGTTTAAAAGCACAAGATGATTTCAAGAAGACTTTCTCAAAATGTGTATTGGATTTCACAAATTCTTTGACAAAAAACATCAGAATTGAAGTAATATTAGGTGAAAAAATAAATGAAAACCAGTGGGTGACGCATGTTCATGTCCTGCATAATCTTTGGAGAATGAACACATTGAACTCACGTATCGACTTTGGTGATTTGAGCACAATGTAACAACAGTACAGCAGCAGCAGACCGGTGAAGATGAGGATCAGGATCCCCATCGTGAAGCCAGCCTGGTGACAGAGCAAAGATTAACTCTACATCCCAAACATTTAGCACTGAACTGTTAGTCATATTGTTTGTACTGCACCTGTTTTATGCCCCATGGTATACTGAGAATGGAGGTACCCATCATCGTGTTCCATATGGCAAATCTGAAAGGAAAGAGCAGAATGAAATCTGTATAAATAAAATGAATACAGCAGTGGTTGTCTTTTGTTTTGAGTAAAACATGCTCACATAGTGATTATACTGGGGTTTTTAGCTGATTGGTCACTGCAGGTCACCTTAAAGGCAGTCCCTAGAGGGCTGTAGATGTAAATTTCTTCAGGTCGTGGGATTACGTGATTTGGAGGACTCTAGAATCACACAAAAAACATGTACATAACAAACACATACAATACAGATTATGTTTACTCGTTTGTATATTTGATTATCAGATCACCCCCCCAATGAAACATGCAGTAAAAAAAACAATGAAGCCACAGGAAATGAAAGGTCAAGGACGAGGTGTACTGCAAAGGCCGTGTTAGTCGGATCTGTTCCTTTTTTCGATCAGGGACAATACAATAAACAGTAGTCTTACGAGAAAATAAGTCAAATATGTCCACTGGCTTTATTCCCTCTGTGGTTTTTTGAAAATTTACAAAATCGAATTGTTTTTATTTTTTCTGTTTGGGGATGTTAAAATGTCTTTCACTCACTTCTCTGTTAACTCTAAAACAGCATTTCCATCCACAGTGTCCAAACCTATCACTGTAGCAAATATATATTTATTTCTATGTCACAGTGACAGATCAGGTCAATGAATGACAAATGTCAGGAACTAAAAACATTAAACTATAACATATATCATAAGTTGTAATGAGTGTGTTGTTCTGAAAGCACTGACCAGGAGTCGGTCCGAAGAGCCGGTCAGTCTGCTGTAGTAATGGACTCGACTGTTGAGAATCGCTGCTTCAGCGGACACTCTCTCCTGCGGATCGTCCGCTATAATGTTCTTGGGCTCCACATGGAAAGGTCTGCAAGAATTGACACTGGATTCATTTACAGCACTGGTCACGCTTCAAATGCAGCTTGTGAGTGTGAAATCATATTGGATTATGTGCAAAAGACCTTGTTGGATACTGTGAAATACCTAACTAGATTAAAACACAGAAATGCTAACAAGGCTGCACTGTGTAAAGCCCACGGTTGGCATTTCCTTGTCAAGTCACTTCCAGGAAGCTCAGAGAGCAACAGTGTTTGTCATGACAGAGGGTCAGGGCAAGCAATTCTCAGCTTCATAATATTAGTGTTAAATATTAAATATTATGATGAAAATGAATAGTTGCCTGTTAATATCACATGTATTTGTGAAGTTTGCCTCCTATAGAAAGTGCCCTGGAGTGAACATAGCAAAACACTGAAATATACTGTTCTAATTTGTGCCTCTTGTAGTAATAGTAGTATTTTTTATTTGAGCAGTTTTATAATGTATTTTAGATTTTTCACAGGCACATATAACAACTCTGGATGAGTATGTAGAGTTGTTCGGCTGGGAGATTCCTCTGTATCCGAGACTCCATTAAAGCAGCATTTACACTTTAATTAGTGTTTCCAGACAGACAAAGGTTTGTTTCCAGGAGCATAATGTCACACCTCAGTAGCTGATCCACAGACCCTTGACAGCAGCCTTAGTATGTGGAGAAAGTGTAAAAATCATTAGAACCTTGTACCTCTTGACTTTTACGTCCAGAGAGTCTGTAGACGCCCGCAGAGCGCTCTCTGGCTCTGCAGCCAGAAGTGGCTGACCATCGTCCTCCATGGATCAGACTTTGAGAGTCACTGGTTGCATCACCTGATACAGAAACCATTTTAATTTCAATACAAACACTACAGTGCATATTCATACACAACTGAATAAAGTAGCATATGCTTAAACAATTTAAAAATGAATTTAAAAAACAGCCGAGAGTGATACAAACAGATGTTAAGAAATGGGAATAATCTAATGGATTTCATGTGACATTTCAATCACAAATTCACATTATGAACACGGCAGCGTTTGTTATCAACATAGACATAAAGACTAGCTTCAGAGTATTACTGTTTGCATATTTATATTCACGTTGTATGTTGGTAAATGAACATAGTGTGCCATACATAGTCTTCATGTTTGGCTGCTCTGGTGGTGGTGGGTCAGAGCTGCATACAGGCAATATACACTTCATTATTCTTACCAAACATCAGAATGACAGGAGTTTTAATAAGCACACGGTCTGGTTGTAAAGAATGGTGGTAATATTGTGTGTACACAGTATTGTAGCGTGACTAAAGACGTGTCTAATGTTATTCTCACGGATGTTAGTTTTACTGCAGATAAAGAAAACATTGACAGAACATACCTTGCAGCGTTTTCTTCGTCTGGTTTAACTTATTTCACAATAATTTCATGCCTGCTTTGTCAGCAGGAGGTCAAATCTGTAGTTGAGCAAAAACATAAATAAAATAAAACAAGTCTAGTCAGCAGCAGCAGAAACCAGGAAATGAATTCAAGCCAAAGCGACGCAAAGATACGTACGTGAGAGAAGGTGGACGCTCCGATGTAGTCTCATGACAGAAGAGGCTTTATTGGCACTTTACTGGACCATAGACTCTTCACACTCTCTTGTTGTTCTGAGGGAGATGTTTTATTCCCCCTTCTTTCTCTGCTCTGCTCAAACTGTGAACTGACTCTAGCGCCATCTCCTGGTCAGAGGACGCACGTCTCTCTGATGAGGTACAAGATCCATGGGTATAAGTTAAAGCCGGGGTACTGAACTTCAATTGTTTATCTATGATTCACGTACGATTACTTTAGCCTTGTGTATCTGTGACGTATCAGTGCCATATGAACCAACTGGGACTCTGAAGAGCACAAAGGGACATCACTCCTGCTGGGAATCTGAGGAGCACACAGGGACTGGCCTCCTGCTGGGAATCTGAGGAGCACACAGGGACTGACCTCCTGCTGGGAATCTGAGGAGCACACAGGGACTGACCTCCTGCTGGGACTCTGAGGAGCACACAGGGACTGGCCTCCTGCTGGGACTCTGAGGAGCACACAGGGACTGGCCTCCTGCTGGGACTCTGAAGAGCACAAAGGGACATCACTCCTGCTGGGAATCTGAGGAGCACACAGGGACTGGCCTCCTGCTGGGAATCTGAGGAGCACACAGGGACTGACCTCCTGCTGGGACTCTGAGGAGCACACAGGGACTGGCCTCCTGCTGGGACTCTGAGGAGCACACCTCCTGCGGACTGGAGCTCAGGACTGCCTGCTGGGACTGCTCGCTGGACTCTGGGAGCACACAGGGACTGGCCTCCTGCTGGGACTCTGAGGAGCACACACAGGGACTGGCCTCCTGCTGGGACTCTGAGGAGCACACAGGGACTGGCCTCCTGCTGGGACTCTGAGGAGCACACAGGGACTGGCCTCCTGCTGGGGACACATGCCTCGCTGGACTGGGAGCACACAGGGACTGGCCTCCTGCTGGGACTCTGAGGAGCACACAGGGACTGGCCTCCTGCTGGGAATCTGAGGAGCACACAGGGACTGACCTCCTGCTGGGACTCTGAGGAGCACACAGGGACTGACCTCCTGCTGGGACTCTGAGGAGCACACAGGGACTGACCTCCTGCTGGGACTCTGAGGAGCACACAGGGACTGTTCTCCTGCTCATGCCCAGAGACAGGACTTAACATGGGGGAGCAGCATTTCAGGTGTACACCTTCCTTACAGATTTATGTCTCATCTCTGGTATTCCAGGAAATGAATTCAAGCCAAAGCGACGCAAAGATACGTACGTGAGAGAAGGTGGACGCTCAGATGTAGTCTCATGACAGAAGAGGCGTTATTGGCCTCTGGTATAAACGTCGGGAAAACTTGCTGAGAAGTACAGATGATGGGTGAGAAACTCTGGTATTGTTTTAGTTCAGGCTGAAAACTGTTATATTTAGCTGTGCGTATGATTGGGTTTTAATTATGTCTTTGTAAAGTACTTTGGGACTCTCATAAAAGTCAAATAGTGTGAAAAAATCAGACCATGACATCCCTTTAACAAACCGCAACTTCTGCCACTTTATCATATTATCTTATCATTATTGTGTTTATTTATGCATTAGATTTCATATTCATTTATTTTTTGTTATTGCAACTGTCACTGCATGTGAATTCCTAGTTTGTGACATAATCTTATTGGAAAACATTTTTGTCTTTCATATACCTATTATAATAATAATGCATTGGTTTTATACAGCGCTTTTTTGAACACTCTGGCTTCACATGTCATAATTTATTCACTCCAGCTTCACTTTACAGCCTCCCCAAGTGGCACCTGGTGTTTCCAGAAGTCTCTCATGGCAGTTCTGACCAGGCACTGCCCTGCTTGGCTTCTGAGGTATGACAGGATCTTAGTTTTTCATGATGAATTACAAAATTAGGTACTAGGTAAATATATAAAATATGGTATAAAAAAGGTAGAACAAAATCCTTGAATAATCCTATGAAACATTTAATGGATAATAAAAAGTAATAATAATCAGTACAATAAACATGTTCCCAAATTCTTTATCATCCAACAATCAGTGCAATAATTGTCGCCAAACTTGTACAACATTGACCATTTAGTACATATTGTTTCTTTATCAATAATTCTTAAAATATTGAACACAAAAACATTTGAAGAACCATGAGTGCAAAGTGATTAGATTGTCTGTACTCGACCTTTCTCATAAAGGCAGTGGTTTTGATTCTGGATTCTTTTGTCGGCGGTGGGTCCAATAATGACTCATTCAGGCCTTTATGAAAACGGTCCAATCTTATGGAATAAACACAGGTACTTTCTTTCAGACCAGACATATCCTGTCCTTCTTACTGGTTACAGCTGATAAAATAAAACATCTTTATGACATTTATAGCCGAGTGATATAGCTCTGAAGTGATTTGAAATGGACCACTACTACAAATGTGTCCAGCTTGTGTTAAAATGCCATTTCCCTGTGATCAAACTGCCGGGTCAGAATGTGTGCTTTCTTTGTGTATTTCCAGACATAAACTGGAAGGTCTACTTTAGGGAATCAGTGAGAATTTTAACACAAGTTGAAACGATAACATTTCCGACATCTTTGGAAAGCAGCACTATATGGGGACAGCAATAGGACATCAATGCTCTTTTTTTCTTCCTCTTTGCATGCATTCAGCTGGGGTCCATAAAAGCACCATTATGTAAAGTAGCACCATTTTTTCATATATTCCAATATATTTAAGTATATGGGACCCATCCTTAGGCATGCATACACTCTAACAGTTTTCTCATTGCCATTTCTAAAATTAGTTTCAAACGGTACAAGGCAAGTTATGAATATCCATACAGTACTTTACAGGTAGATGAACAAATACAGTTTACATTAAAGAAAGTGCTACCATACAAATATTCCTTTTTTAGCCTTACTCTACAGAGGACTAATAGGACACACCATGTATTACATTACATTTATGTATTTATACACCTTTTCACATTTCAGTAATCATTTTAAAACTAAAATTATATTATATCAAAACTTAAATGAGAAACACAAAAAATATGACATTTTGTTAGTATACATTCACATCACAAACACAAAAAATTACTTTAGACTTTGCAAAAGTTGTCACCGTCCCAGACACAATGAGGAGACGTCATAATTGGTGTGAAGAGCTGCTGAAACAAAGCACATGAATGGAAAATAGAGTCTGCGAAAGTGTTTTAAGGCGTCGAGGTTGGAAACAATCCAATTCTTTCCTTCATTTACAGTCCAACCACCACAGGCCTCTCCCAGTGCTCTGTGCTGACAGTGCAGCCACAAGGAACAGTATCATGAGCTTTCTCCATGTCAAAAGCTTCATACATAAAAGCCTGTGAACCAAAAAGGATATTAACCACTACGCGCTACACACTGAGGCAAGATTTCACACTAAAACACTGACAAACCATGAGCGAGCCCAGGCGCTAACACCACTGTGCAAAAACCCATGGTAGTTTGTATCATAACAGGTCATCTGCAAAAACAGATAAGTGTCAAGTGTCAAGTTTAAAAAAAAAAAAGCCATAACATTTTCAATCAAAAATAAAGTTGCACCCTTCTTGAGCAAATTCTTTGCTTCATTTCCTGCCAATAACAAAATATGTTGACAACTTTTTGACAAATTTTCAAAACGGAGATATCTATTCTTGCAAATTAACTCCTTATTTCCAAGCTACCAAGTAATAAAAAGGTAATGTGATTGCAAAAAAGAAGAACCAAAGCCTTTCAGTGTGTGGAAGAAATATTAAACATAATTTTTGGCTGTTAAAAATTATGAATTAGTCTTTTCACTTTGTCATTTCATGTTTTAAATGTGAAACAATATCTTATGTGTCATGGTCTGAGACAGGAGCTTTTCGAAAGAATGGGCGGAGCTAATGCTGTCAAATAGTTTAATAGCTCAAAAAAATATTTTTGCAGTATATTTATCAACACTCACTCAACATTGCCTTTTCTTAAATGTTTTCAAACTAGTCATGGATTTCTGCACAGTAACAGATTTGAACAATCTTTACAATGTATGTCTTAACATAACACGTGTTTTTATTTATATATGCATATTGCACAAGAGAGGGTAAAATCATATTTCAGCCCTTGTATTTTTGATCCTTGTGGTGAAACAGTTTACCTACATCTGCAGAGGAGAAGAAAGCACACTTCATATTTACACCTGTTACATTGTTGGCTGGCTATGACTGTATGAGGACTGCATGTCGTGGTATGAGGTAAAACTGTTGAAAGGAAAGACACATTTTAGAGCATTGTTTATGTTTTACAAAAACCTTCTTTACAAGAGTACCAGTAACTACATCGTATGCACAGAATATATCTCTTAAATCTATACATTAGTTCAATTAATAATCTTTCGTTTTGGACAATTGGAATGACTTCACCGCTAAAGTGCTTCATCTTATTTACTATAGATAATAATTACAAAGCACAATAATGTTTGGCTGATCTTGATTTGAGATTTAAAGAGACAGGGACATTATTGCAACAACGGTATGTTCACTACCAAGGCTGTGCTGAATCTCCACATGGTTTCTGTTCACTTTGTCCTCACTTCAACTCCAGCTTTAAAAATGAAATGTGTGCAGTTGCCTAGGCAACAGCACCCCGACACAGCCCGTTCAAGCGAGCTCTTCGTGAATGTGAACAGGCCGTAAACAAACGCCTCATCACTGTCGCTGTAATGAGTTGGATCAGGATACTTCACTCTTCTGCCATGAGCTCATAAGAACATGATGTCACATCCTGAACGCACTAAACCACTGCTTTAAGTCACGGAGATTCACGGAGTGCACGAGCACATGATGCTGATGCAGAGCGATGATTGTCACATTATGTCAAAGGCTTGACATGGTCCCTCAACAAATCAAGTCGAGCTAACTCACAACCATTAAAGTGCTCATTTGAAATAGATTTTTTAAACATAATAACCCTTGTCAAGGGGAAAGGATTCCTTTATTCTGATATTTTAATTCACACATTTTCAAATACATACATCTGGAATTTCATATTCTAGATACGTCTTTTACTTATACTTTAGACTAAAATGAATTGTGCTTAAATGATACTTTACACTTTCTAAACTATACACAAACTGAGCAGCTATAGTTGTGTACCGTCACACACTAGCATGTTTTGTTAAAATGAAAAAAGATTGTCTAACCTACATATCTGTGGGCACCTCCTGTACCCATGACTAGAATAAGGTCAAATAAGTAAACTCCAACAATAGCATTCCTTGGCTTCTGATAGGGTCTGTAGAACTTTGGTGAATACAAATGTGAGGACTGTGGTCTCCTTCATCACCGCACTGCTCTGTCCAAGCCTTTGCCGCTACGTTTAAAGCACAAAGGTTTGACGCTTCTTTCAAAAGTCAGGAGCAGCTGAAAGGATCACAGCACCAAAGGAGACATATTCTTAGTCCAAAGAAGGGTTGATCAGACTGATGAAGCCTATCTAAGAAGACCAAAATATTTAGCTGAAAATAAATCTTTCAAGTATTTTTCAAGGCTTCATTAAGGTCACTTTGTCAGTGCCTATGCATGTTTTCAACTCTTCCTGTTTTAAGACGCTTTGGCCCAAAGGCTTGATTGGAAAGCACAGCTGTAGCGTGGAATGGGGGAAGAGAGGGAGAGACATTCAGCAACTGGTTGAACAAACACCATTATGCTGAGATGGCAATTAATACACTATGTGCAATACCTTATACCACTGAGCAGATCGAGCGTTAATTTCAAAGGGCAAACAGGAAAGCTATTGGTGAGGTCCAGTGACAGGATATGGAGTATGAGTATATAGTGAGAGCCGTGCTATAGCTGACTAATGCACATTATCTGTTAAGCTGCCTTATCTATGATCGATAATATCAAACTATGGTTCTAGGCCTTAAATCCACATCATTGGAAACATGTTTAGTGGCCCAAGATACCCTTCAATAAATTCCATTATTTCACTTCAAGTATTATTAGTTGAGGCATGAATATTTTTTAACTTATATAAACTATACAAACAATATTTTCAGAAAAACACTGGATTTCGTTTTTTTTGCACAATCATTCCAATAAAAATTTAAACTGCAAATGGGAAACACACTCTGGAACTGAAGAATGAATTGGGATCTCTGTTGGGAAGAATGGTGTCCTGTCTCAGCCCAGTCTGCGCACAGCTCGTCATATCCAGTGCAGTCTTTGTGTAATGCTGAGCATCTGTGACAGCATCATTTCAAATCTAGGTTAAAGTCTATAGCACAACATTTCAACATTTACATGTAAGTCTACTTTCATACCATAGGCCATTTTATAATATTCTTTTCAGATCTATAAAATGTCAAGAGAACAGAAAGGCCCTTCTGGAGTGTGGCAGCAGGAGGTGCATGGGGAAAGCAATGCACCTGATGATCACTAAAGCAGGCTGCAGACTGGGGAGGACAGGACACTGCACTGCTGCATTCACACGGCTCAGCAGTCAAAACAGAAGACTGTTGAGATGGAATGAGATTTTATCTTAGCCTATAAAGAACAGGGCTGATATAGAATTTGATAAAATATGTTTAAAAATAAATGTTGCCGTTATCAACATTTTTGACAAGAGCATGAACACATGTCAGCTCCTAAACCGATCTTACCGGGCCTCCATATGAGAGCCGGATGGGGGCATTTGGGGACACGGCGCGCCGCGGAGGCTGAGGTGCGGACAGTGCCATGCAGTGTTATCATGCGTCCTGCTCCTCGCTGTCCTGGCGCACATCTGTCCTCTTATCTTTGTGACACGTAAAGATACGTCTCATTTCCTCTTCATACCTGATGAAGTTCTCCCCAAAGCGAGCCCATGCTTTGAGCGGGACAGTGATGGTGTTCCTGTACGGCTGCCGCACCTCGCTGATCTTTAGAAACACTCCGTACCGATTGGACCCAACATCAAAGTAAAACCTCTTGTTGTCCACTCGGAAGGACGCGGCTTCTGGGAGCTCGGGCTGTTCTTCGTGGTTTTTGATGGCTCCAAGGCCGCGGTCCTCGCTGTCTTCGTCCCCATAGTCCTCGATCAGCTGAGACAGCGCGTCTCTGAACTCGATGAGCCCCTGCGCGGGCAGCACGATGGTCTGCTCTATGCCCTGGCCGTAGTAGCCCATAGTGCCGTAGCCTTTGCTGACAGTCTGCCGAATGCGAAGGAACCGGCCACGTTGGTTCTCCTTCAGATCCAAAAAGTACTTTCTGTTGTCCCGTTCTATAAACTCGCTCTTGAGCACACGGTGCGCCTGGTCCTCAGACGCGGCGGACCCTGTGGGGGACAGCTGCTCTTGTGGTCTCCTGCGCGCGTCCTCGCTGTTGGAGGGTGCGAGGCTGCCCCGGAGTCCAATCCTGGCATAGTAGTCAATGAAATCCCCCAGACAGTAGCGCAAAGCCGGGGCCATGGACATGGAGAGAGTGAGCTTACTCTTCCTGATGTTGTCGTGGCGCCCCCTGCCAATCCAAACCTCTGCGATCTTTAGGAAGCGCCCGCGTACGCTCTGCTTCACGTCCAGGTAGAAGCGCTTCTTTTGGATGTCCACGCGTTTGGAGGCCAGCTCCTGGATGTCACTGCCCTGTTGAGGCTGTGTGGAGCCGGTCTGCACAAACTGCTGATGAGGATATGTTCTCTGAGCAGAAACATCTGATGCAACCTTACCCCTGACTCTTTCCATGCTTCTGCAACATCCATCAGCCATCATGATTTATATTCCCCCCGTACACAGTGCACCGCAGAGCGATGCCCCCATGCCAATGACAGCCGAAAAAGAGCGCTAATCCATGCAACAACTGCTGCTGGCTGCGGAAACAACTCCTATCCTCAAATGACCCGAAAATGGCAGCTAGTTTGGAGCCGTCAGCTGTTCCTGTTTCCTTGTCTTGATAAAGAGGTCACAATATTACGCTACTCTCCTGCAAACGTGCAAATCGTCTTCAAGCACATTTTTGCTTAAAAACTGGTCCTTTGCTGAAATAACCAGAGAAGCAACCAACCTGAAATGGGAGGAGGCGTCCAATACTACATGAACCCGTTGAACCTATCCACCCCCTCCGTCCTGAGGATACCTCTGTTAAAGGGACACGCTGTGCACATGCACGCGCAATATATGCACGCGCTTTACACATGCACGATATTATACATTCACAAACCATAACATTTACACAAAGCCATGAAGCTTTGAACACGAGATACGAAATGCACCAGCTACATTTCATTCATAAGAATCTATGGACCGTCTTGGCTAAATAAAATGTTTATACAAAAATCGGACTGACGCAGTAGCTCGGATCTATTATAATGAGTAGGCTGACGAGATTTTCAGGCTAACATTAGCCTTACATATGTAAATGCTTTTCCTGTTTTCTCTACGTGTTCTGGCTTACAGTCTATGGTTCTGCCTCATTGTAGTGCGGTTAAAGAGACAATATGTACTCCTGCAGTCTCCATAGGGGTTCAACAATAACAGTGTTGGGATAAATATGTTTCTGTAATAGTTATTTTAATACTTATTGATGCACAACAATATTCCTGATTTGAAATGTCACTCCCTAAATTCTACAACACTAATGCATCCAGAAATGTAAACTGAGGAACTTATTTTTTTGTGTTTTTTTCGTGACACAATGTATGAACATCAATTCATTACCTCGTAGCTCGAGTTGACCGGTTTTCTTTTCTTTACTACTAAGTAACCTTTATTTATATAATGCTTTTCAAAGACCAGTCAAAGTGCTTTACAAGTGTTTTTAGGCCTTTTTTGTCTCTCACTCTACACAGAGATGGGATCGAGGTAGTAATATTATATTTTTTTCATTATTTATATTTTTGTAATGAGTTACACGACTGAGTGAGTTACTTTCAAAGGAATACATCACTGCATTAGCGGCAAAAGGCTTCAGCTTAAGACGTAGAAGAACATCTGTCAAAGCAACTTCTTTGTGATCCTAATGGGAACTCCCAGCTTCTGAATCAATTACAGTAACGAGTTATCAACCATTAAATGCACAATTACAACTAAACCTTAAAGCGCCATTATATTCACCTGAAAACAGACTGAGTGTTAATCATGTGCTGCAGGTGCTGAGGTTTAAACACACGGGATCGCACCAAACTGGCAACCCAAATGAAAGGCTCAGTCTTATTTTTGATTGGAATAAACTTCTATAAAGAAACATAACTGTATTAACACAAACATTGCAGCAATTATGTTGTCAATTTAATTATCAATAAACAAGGATGTGTGCTAGGTTTTTAAAATGAATAATAAAAGATAGCATACCGTCCATTTAAAAGTGATATATCCACGCGAAACGCGAAATCTGATCTTTTGTCAATAATCTTGAGGAAACCTTTTTTAGGATATCGATCTTATTGGAATTTTAAAAAGACATGACATTTTGCTCTCAATACGTCCGAGTGAAGAATATGCAAAGAGCAATACATGGATGTAGTGTAAGAATCTCTGTAGATAAGTAACAGCGTGCAGGAAGCAGGTCAGTAAAGCCTGGACGAAGAACACGAGAGCAGCACGGTCAGTTCTTGCTGCAGTCCACAGCATTCATGCTCAGCTCAACAATCTGTAATGTGCAACATCAAAACAGTTTTCCTTTCACAGTTTCTTGAACTTGAAACATTTTGGTTTGAAGGAAACAAAGGCTTAAAAGACACATACTACTTGACAGATCAGTTTGTAGGTTTATTGTTGCCTGTAGCCCCCCAGCTGAGGCATATAGCTGGAGATAGGTGCCTCCACCCATTCATGTGATTGTTCATCAGCAGACAGCCTGTCCTCCGAGTCTTCTCCGACCGGACAAAAATCCGACGTCTTGGCTTCCCCGTCCAGCTGGCCGTGGTCAGAGTTCCCCTCACAGTGACTTAAATGAGGAAAGTGCCGGGACTGTCTGCTCCCCTCCAGCGACAGTATGTCTGGATTCTCTTCTGACTCTAAAAGGGGTTGAGTGGACTCAGACCTTGAAAACACAGCTTGCTGGGATGGTAGGCTTGGTGTCTGCCCCTTGTAGCCACTAATGGCCACCACTGAGGAGTACTGCACAGTGCTTGCAGTCGTGTCAGCTACATCACCGCCCTCGTCACTGTCAGACACACTCTGTCGAGGCGAAGACATGCAGGAAGAGCCTCCGATGCCGCTGCTGTGCTCCTCAGACATATATTTGTCTTTCTTCAGAGGGAGACAAGCCTTATCTTCTTCAAAGACAGACTTAGCATCACAAATATCCACTTCAAGTACAGTGATGCCAGACAAACAGTTTTCACTTGACGTTTCAGCCTGTTGACAATCACAGTATTAATTATAACTCATGCCGGTTAGCGAATACAAAATTACATTTCCATTTAGCGATTTTCATGTCTCTTATTACAGAATGCATTTTTACAACCGCTTGAACCTGTTAAGCAAAAAATCTAACAAAAAGACAAATAACTTAAAGGGGTGGGGTAAGTTTCTATATAACCAGGCATCCTAAATATGTTTCCCTATATTTCTCTGACATGTTTTTTGTGTATAATACAATACATTTTAGAAGACCTCTATCCCCTACAAAGTTCCAGGATTCCTTTGAAAAAGAGGTTCATAATCAGGGGACTACAGATGAAAAATACTTGGCTAATTCTGGCTTTTTTAACTCATGTTTAATCCTGTGTTTTATTAAATTGCATTGTCCCCTTTGAAATAAACTAAACTGAAATCTCAATGGGACTTTCCTGGTTAAATAAAGGTAAAATAAATAAGTACCAGGCACAGGGCACATTTCTGAAAAGCTCTGGTGCCTAAAATGTTATTTTTAAAACACTCAGGAAGGGAGGGAGAGTGATATGAAGCAGGAGGTTGCGGCGTTGCTTTTAAAACAGAAATATTCATAATAATATCAGAATTATTAGTGAGCTAATAGTAGTTGCCAATTATAGTATTATACTTATTATAGTTTTATACTTATAGTAGATCCATACCTTGTTAGGATAATCCGGAGACCAGGTCCCAATCGTGCTTGCTCCAGGATTTGGAATTTGAGGCCAAAAGCTTTCTTTGATGCTAAGACATATAGACATAGATAAAAGAAAGATAGACATAAATTTACAAGAAAAATAACAATCCAAGTATAAACAAAACAACAACTATAATATAGTTTTTGTACTTACACATCTCTTTTACTGATGCAGAAGAGCATGGTCAGAAAAACAATAAACAGGAAGCCGAGGCTCACTCCAACAACAATAGCCTCGATTTCACCAGGTGCTGAAAGAAAAGTACATTTTACTATAATGACTAAAATCATAAAGAGAGTATCCAGCCTGTCCAGTCTTTTACAACAAGAAGTGAATGAAAATGTAAAAAGATGTAAAAAAGGCCGGCAGTAGAATAATCTTTCCCCTTACCGTATTTGAGCGTGGTGAAAGAGTGGTTAGGGCCTCGAGCGGAACCCTTTATGTTTGACGCCTGGATCCACACGTCATATCTGGTGTTGCGAGCCAAACATTTCAGAGCATATGAAAAGGTGTCACTTGAGACTGTGACGGCTGAAAAATAAATAATCATTAGAAAGGCACATTCATATAACGCACAGTGTATAAATAATAGTAATACAATAATGAACATGTATCAATACTCATGGACCAGTACCAACGTGTTTTCTGTTCTAGTTCTAGTTCTCGCTGTGTTTTAACTGTTTGATTCTCTGATCTGTGTTGGCGAATTCAACGGTCGTGTAAAGTCTTTCCGAGATAACTACTGTTGTGATTTAGGGCTATACAAGAATTGAACTGAATACACGGCAATAAGTGTCTTACATTGGGTTTTCGTTCCATCGCTGTAAAAGATTGTGTAGTTTGTGATGAAGCCTCGTTGAGTTTTTTGCGGAAGTTTCTCCCATATCAAATTGGATTCTGTACATCCAGGCTTTCCATTGAGTTTGACAGATGGTGCGTCTAGTGGAGCTGGAATCACAACAAAAGCAGGTTTAATTCGATCTTTAAGGATGTGCAACCATAACTATATCATTCATTCATTACCTCCTTGTTCTAAATAAGCTTCTACTTGTTCTGGTTTTCCAATCAATACAAAGTACAGCGGATATACAGACACATTGTATCTGACAAACTTCTCCAGGTGTCCTAAAATACAAGTAAAAATATAACATCGACATTTGAATTTGCTACTGCGTTAAAGTGATCAATAAGCTTACCTGGTATGCTAATCTTGGTAATGTTCTTCTTTACTCTGTGCCAGTCCATCTCACCAGCGCTGGTCCACTGCACTAGATATTCGGACACAGCCGTACTGTTAGGAGCGCTCCATTTGACAAACAGTTTCTTTTTTTCGGGATAAACTTCTAACTTCTGCACCGGAGAGCGCGCTGAATTCAAACACACAGAAGAAGAATCACTCAGCAACTTACAATGAGTATGTAATGTCAACTACGACTTTTAACAATTGTTTATTTTTTGTTTTTTTCATCAGCAGACAGCCTGTCCTCCGAGTCTTCTCCCACCGGACAGTTCATATTGTGCATTTTTACAGACCAAGGTCCCCCAAAGTGCTTTACAATGTTCTGAAATCAGCTATAGTTTCAAGACATTTTTTTATCAATATGAAACTAAATTGTACTCGAGAAAATCTTGCATGTTTTGTTCCAGGCATGGCTCAAAAAGTGATTACTCGATACTCAATTGTTAAATTAGTTGACATCTCAGAGACGCCTTGACTTGTGCCAAGGCAATGAGGCATTTATGAAGTTTGAATTCACAATTTAGACAGAGCTGTTACCCTGTCTAAGATTTAGAAGTAAAATTCTCTTAATGCACCTGAAATGTGAATGCATGACTGTATGTATGTGTTTGTATGTGTATTTTTGTGTCTGTGTGTGTTCATGCGTGTGTGCGTGCATGTGTATAGGCACAAACCATGTTCTCTTATGGGGATCACAAGTGTGGAGACTGGAGACTTCCCCTTTGCGTTGACAGCAGTGACTTTGACGATGACGGGCGTGTTGTTGGTCAGGTGGATTTGTTTTAATGCAGTAATGTGCGCAGAGCTGTTGACTGTGTTGTGGTCTGTGATGGGGATGGTCTCCCAGACAACCTTTTTGTTTGATGGTTTGTCCTTGAAATCCTGAATGCTGATTTGATACTCTGTGATCTTCCCATTGGGAAACTCAGGCTCCTGAAAAGTATAATACACAAAAATTCAAATGTGAGAAATGTACTTATTTTAAAAGGCTCAACACTATTCAACCAATTAACGTAACTCACCTTGCAGAGCAACTGCACTTGCTCTCCATCTCCAGACTCACTTTGAGTAATAAAATACCAGACATCCGGTTTACTTGTTGGTTCTGTAAAAACATTGCAATGACGCTGGTTAACGAGAAATCCCAAACAAACACACAAAAATACGACCAATATTCTAATGTGATTATTACTCGATGAAGGGGTTCTCTTTGTTGAGTTTTTACTCCACTCGCTCCAGTAGCCGCCTTTGTCATTTTTGCAGCGCACTTGAGTGATATAAACCGTGTCAGGTCGAAGGTCTTGGAGCCTGAAGGATTGTATATCAAAACGTGTGTCTTCCTGAAGCACCTAAAGGTGAAATTCATATTATTTTAAGATAAGAGTTCCTTTATTCGTCCCACAGTGGGGAAATTTCGTTGTTGCAGCGCACATACAGGACAGTAGTAAGAGCACACAGCGATCACACAATATATACAAAAATGTAACTTTATAATTTACACATTTTGATTCCCATTCTTACGAACGATAAAGCACAGAAACAACATACAAGCAGAGAAACTTACATAAGACCAGGTGTGGGAGCCCTCTGCAGCAAACCTAATTTCATAGATCAAGTCTAACTGCGTTTCATGAATGGGACGTGTCCAATTCAGAAGCAGCGACGATGAGAAATTGTCCTCTGAAAGTATATCGATGAGAGATGGAGGATTTGTCTTCACTGAAAAAAAAAAACAAAGCCGTCAGACCAAAAGCCAAGATCTTTTCCCACTGTGGGACGAATGAAGATTTATTTTTATCTTAATCCATACATTTGCAGAGTTTACAAATCTCAAATCTCAGTTACTATTTAATATGTGTGATTTTTTATGATCTTGATGCTTGACATCTAGATCCCACTGACATCTGTGCTATGTAAATGGCACTAATAATTAATAATCTTTACTTACAAAGTGAATTGGAAAACGTTGTTAGATGTTCAGACTCCACTTTTCCAAGATCATTGATTGCTTCCACCCAAATGTCTAATGTCATAAAATTGGGGAAAACCTTGGTGTCTATTTGAGCACTACTCTCTTGTGTAGTTATATTGAAGCTTTTTTCATCACTACAAAAACAGAGTACAGACACAACAGAAAGGTGAGTTGTTGATCTATACTGTTCACGAAACAACAATCGACAATGTACTTACACTGTAATGTGGAGATGCAACGTGTAGTCCGTCTTGAAAACCCCAGGTCTCTGGTGTTTTGGATCCCACTCACAGCGAACGAATGGAGAGATCTGCCTGTTTTCTTGGACAGCGATACAAGAGAGGTTCTCAGGCTTCTTTGGGAAATCTGGCAATATGATGTGGAAAGTAGGTCATACAAAAATTATACAATATACTGTATATTTTGCTTCCACTGGAAAATCAGAACTTACAGCCTTTTTTTAGGAAGATGCCATGGTAAAATTGTCCACTTTTGAGTCTAACAGATTTCTTTTGGCTTAAGCAGAAGAGCCAGTCCGGGGTTTCGTCTGTGATTGTGATGGTAACGCTGAGGGCAGAGTCATTGATCTTTGTATACTGCTCAGAGGGGATTTCTTTTTTAGAAAGCTTCCAGTATAGGTCATCCGCTGTAACTTCGGATGTGTTCTGAATAAAACAGGTTGCTGTGAAATTTGTGCCAATCTCCAGCTTTGGACTCTGGGGAGCAGTCACCAAATAGTTCACATAATCTAGAAAAGAGACAATATAGATTTTAGAACATAAACTAATACAATACAAAGTAACATACAGCAGACGGAAAGAAATGTAACTGTTACTGTTTTTGTGTCACACAAAAAGTAGAATGATTAAGTAATGCTGTGTACATACATGCACAAGACATGTACAGATGTATACATACAACTGTATATTGCTAGCACTAGAATACACAGTACTTTATACTTGCTTTGTATTATGCTAAAAAGGTAGAGTATTTATACTTATTTACTAAGCTAAAGTCAGAGAATATATTTCATTTTATTTAGTAAAGAGTTGTGATGTGTGCATTTCCCCGAGTGTGGAATGAATAAAGGATCTCTTAATCTTGTACGTATATGATACTGTAATTATAAAACAATATTGGGATTATGATGATTATTAGATAACGTACATGGAAGTAACTTGGACAAAACTTGTCTACTCAGCAATACATCTTCTCCATATTCTAGTCTCTTCTGTTGCTTAACATGGAACCCGCTTCCTCTTCAAATTCAAATTAGTATTCAATGACCCACAGAAAAAGTAACACCTTCGACACTCCCCAAAAAAAATTGTAAAAAGTAAGAGTCAGAACTTAACATGGGGAGGCACAGGCAGCATTTCAGATTCATGTATCTAAAATCTGGAATAGTCTTCCAGAAAATGTAAGACAATGGCACATTTTCTGACCATGTTCAAATCCAGGTTAAAAACAGTTCTGCTTAACAGTGTGGGGGATTTTATCTTTTTAATGTAACGTGATTATTTATGATTTTAATGCCTTGTGTGATTGTTTCTATCTTGTTTTGTTCAGCACTTTGAGTTTCCTTGTGTATGAAATGTGCAATACAAATAAACTACCCTTGCCTACTTCTCTGGTGGATGTACTGACCTTTTACAGGGGCAGCAGCAGACACCAGACAGGCCAACACAGCCATCTGCACCACTCTCCCCACGACCATGACGCAGAAACTCTGACAAATACACACACAGGATTATATGAGACATGTCACACAACCTACAATAAACGTAAAAACACAAATGATACACCTTATCAATGTGAATGTAAGCTAGCGTGTTTGTTTATACGAGAAATGAGACGATAGCTTAGCATTCCCAGCTCACGCCGCAGCTGACGCCATATTGATTCGGTATCATACACACAAAGTGAAGTTACTCACCACAGAAGTCTTCAGTGGAAATCCAAATTCAAAGTTCTTATGAGTGAAAAAGATAGATAGGACACGATGCCTGACTTTAGCTGCGGACGTCTAGCTCGGGACTTGGCAGGAGATGATCCGCCCACTTCCCGTCAGAGGAGCACTCAGCCCGCCCTGTCTCCCCCATGCTCTCTCCCCCATGCTCTCTCCCCCCCATGCTCTCTCCCCCCCATGCTCTCTCCCCCCCATGCTCTCTCCCCCCCATGCTCTCTCCCCCCTTCTCTAAGATCGAGCGGATCGAGCCCATGGATCTATAATAATAACAATCGAGCCCTTTGCGCAGATCCGGATCTGCTCTATGTATAACACACACATATATGTTCGCGTGCGTGTGTGTGTGTGTCTTAGACTAAGTGTGCGTGTGTGTGTCTGTGTGTCTTAGACTAAGTGTGCGTGTGTGTGTGCGTGTCTTAGACTAAGTGTGCGTGTGTGTGTGCGTGTCTTAGACTAAGTGTGCGTGTGTGTGTGCGTGTCTTAGACTAAGTGTGCGTGTGTGTGTGTGTCTTAGACTAAGTGTGCGTGTGTGTGTGTGTGTGTGTGTGTGTGTGTGTCTTAGACGAAGTGTGCGTGTGTGTGTGTGTGTCTTAGACGAAGTGTGCGTGTGTGTGATAGACTGTAAGTGTGCGTGTGTGTGTGCTTGACATGGTTTTTATGGGGAATGGGTGGTGGAGACGCGACTGCGTTCATTTCCAGTATGTCTCCGCCCCCTCACTGGCAAAAACCCAAACAGTGATAGAAATGTAATGAAACCAAATCAAAATGCATGGTCATTATTAGTGCGCGTGTGTGTTTGTGTGTGTGCGTGTGTTTATTTTGTTTAGTCTTTATTTGAAAGGGACAGCAACATTAAGCTCAAAGCTCAGTGTATACCACCTGTGAATAAAGAGTGACTGTGAACTCTATAGTTACAATCTGTGCATATGAAACGTCTTTGATTGTCATGAAAAGTGCTATAAACATTATTATTATTATTATTATCATTATTATTATTATGTGTCACAATATTATACCCCCACTCCTCCAATAATTATAACGCATTGGTTTTACAGCTGCCCTATATATACAGTACAGACCAAAAGTTTGGACACACTTTCTCATTCGATGAGTGTCCTTTCTTTTTGTGACTGTAGATTCACAGCCAGGCTATTTGACCAATAAGGAGAGTGATGGTGCTGGGCCAGATGACCTGGCCTCCACAGTCACCAGACCTGAACCCAATCCAGATGGTTTTGGGGTGAGCTGGACCACAGAAAGGGCCAAAAAGTGCTAAGCATCTCTGGGAACTCCTTCAAGACTGTTGGAGGACCATTTCAGGTCACTACCTCTTGAAGCTCATCAAGAGAATGTCAAGAGTGTGTGAAGCAGTAATCAGAGCAAAAGGTGCTACTTTGAAGAACTGAGAATATATTTTCAGTTGTTTCATACTTTTTTTCATACTTTCATACTATTTTTTTAGTACGTACATAATTCCACACGAGTTAATTCATAGCTTTGATGCCTTCCATGAGAATCTACAATTTTCATAATCATGAAATGTGGCCCTACGGATGCAAATTAACCCAAGGCTCATGAGAATTATCTTTGGGTGTCATGACAAGCACTATGTAAGGAGTATGCGTTACTATTATTATTCATATTATTATTCATACCCATATTCATATTATTAGTGTTATTATTTTTTATAAACCAATATATCATACCCCCACTCCTCCAAGAGTTTATATAAGTCACACCTTTTATTCAATGCTTTTATTAATATTTTTTTAACATTCATAAAACTCCCACACAGGTTTTGTCAGAATTATCTCAAAGAAAATGTAATCACAAATCAGATGGTTTAGGAAGGCATGAGAGCACAGCTGAGCACTCTGTGGACAGGCATCTATAGGTTGTTGAGCTCCATAAGAGTTTGGTCCAAAACCTGGTGCATTTCCAAGTTTTCTTCTTTGGCTTCGGCCACTTTCTCTGGAAGATTGGATAAATATGCATCATTTAAATACATACATAATTCAAATACATTCATCATTTAAACATGAGATAATATAAAGCACATTGGGTTGAATGCACCACTACTGTATACTTTAACTCTTAATGTGCAATATAGAACCAGATGTATCACTGTTGCTCTACTGAGTCAACAGTAGAGCAGATGTAAACATACACCTATATGTTACTTGAATACACAGTACTTTACTTGCTTCTTTTTATACCAAAGGTAGAGATTCTATACTTCTTTATTTTATTTCATATAGAATAGAGTTATTGTTCATTTGTCTTGTGCTCTGTGCTACTCATTCCTACTGTTCTGTAACTGGTGATGCAACACTGACATTTCCCAGCTGTGTCACAAATAATGGATCTCTAAATCTCTTGACCGCTGCAAGATAAATTCTCGTGAGAATGTGATTGACATTCTGCAAGCGGTTCTTGCTGCCAGGCTACCACTAATCACCCGAGTAAACTCACTTGCCTTGAAACAGTTCAGTTTAAGGACATTTTCTTCTGAAGTAAACAAAGCAATAAGTGTGAACCCCTGAAACTCCAACGCCTGTTTCATTTACTAGAATTAGATAATCCTTGTCGAAACAGCCCCATTCACAAAAACAAAACAAATACCAAAAGATAGAATGCAACATTTAGATATACTTGTATTTTATTCAGTTAGTAAATAATGTTTTATTTACACTCCATTTCCAAGAAGTGTAACAATCAATGCTTTGATTGTTAATGCAAACTTTGTGTAGAGAAAATATACTATTAAAAAAGCTAATCAGGAACCTCACGGAAGACCTCCGCTTTTTTGTGGACACTCGGGCCAGTAAAGCTGAGGTCTTCCATCTTACCTTGATTGATAGAGAAAAGTTCAGCTGAATTAAAGGAGACATATAATCTGAATCTGAATCTGATTTCCAGTCTTATAAGCATTATTCATTCATGTCTAACTTGTGCCTAAAACCTCCTGTCATCATAATAGTATGATGTCATTGTACCACTATGACATCACACTCAGAGCAGTTTTCTGCCTAAAGTACTGCTGCCAAATTAGTTCATACAATTTCCCAGGTGAAATTATATTCTTTACAATCACATGTCTGTGTTTGCAAGCCGCATTTTACATATTTGAAACAAAAAAAATAATTCAGCTCCTTTCTCTGGTGGTAGCGGAATATTAGGGCAGATTGATGCATTATTTAGCCTCAACACTTGTTTTCCTTTCTACTTAGGATAAGATATTATCCTAAGTGTGTGTGTGTAATAAATGTTTGAAATAAATAAACAAATTAATTTCTCGACTGAACAGAATATTGTAACCAAATTACAGAATGTAGAATCGTTGATAAATATGCATTTTGTATTGTATTCCAGAACATGGAACTTGACTGAATACTTCCTTTATTTAGTTTATTTTAAGATGCCCTTAGACGCTTGAATTGCAAAATTGTCAAATAATGATTTTCTTCTTGCTTATACTTGTTTCTTTATTATACTAAAGTCAGAGATTTTGCATTAATTTAACTTTAACTTATTACAGATTATAGACTGCTACCTTATTATACTAAAGCTAGAGTAGTGGAGAGTTTTGTATAAAGTTTAGTATAGAGCTGTGTTCATTTACCTTATTCTGTGCTGTGTGCTCATTCCTACTGTTCTGAAAATGGTGACGCAACACTGTAATTTCCCCACTGTGGTACAAATAAAGGATCTCTTAATCTTAAAAGTTTTATGATAGTATTCTGAAAAGACAAACTGCATTCTTGTCGGCACATGTGTTCAGTTACTCACCAACACTACAATAAGCGCAGACTAATTTTTTATCCCTACAGAAAATGTGTGATGCAACTCATTGCTTCTCCCCAGCAAGGCTGCCAACCAGAAAGTGGATCAATAAAAAAAAAAAAAAAACATGAATAATAATAAAATAAATAAACCTCTAGGACTTGTATGTGTTCTGTCTGTACATGATTTTTTGTCTTTTTTTTTTGTCTGTTGTCTTAGCTGTTTACTATGCATCTATCCCATCTGCAAGCTTGTATATTTTGTTTTACCATAGCCTGGTAAGTGGGTTTTTGTCATTGTGTTATGTTATGATATGTATTGTATGTTTTGTATGTACATATTGTGAGTGTATGTCTGGTGACTGTGTTGTCTGAAATAAAAAAAATTTAAAAAGGAAAAGGTGTGGAAGCGACAGAGAGAGCCAGAGAAAAACAAGGCTTAAAAAGATTTATTACAGATGGAAAAGGGGACTAAGCATGAAGAGTGTTTTCAGAAAAAGTGGCTGTTTGTGTGACTCAGCCTTCTGCGATAAAACACGTGTTGAGTAAGACAAAAGTACGATGAGAGTTCACGGAGAGAGGTTCCGTTCCCACAGCGGAATGAGACAAACAAGAACAGAGGGAAGCAGCAGGAAACAGAGAAAGTTACAGCGTGGTCATATCATTCAGAGCCAAGTCCAGCTCCTCACTCAGAGCTTTGCCCTTCAGCTTCTGAGCATACACTTCATCTGCAGGACAAACACAGGTCAGAAAGAAGCAGGCATCAAGAGAAAGAGGAAAGAAAGGGAGGTTTATGGGAGGTATATGACATTTGTATTGTGTCAGCATCTGCTATCTTTATAAAATACTACTTTTAAACTCATTCGAGCCCATGGAAGCAGTTGTATTTTACCTTCTAAATCATCAATGGTCTTCTCCAGTTTAGCCACAGACCTCTCAGCAAACTCAGCACGAGTTTCAGCCTGGAGAAAATATACGATTGTTAATAATGTGGAAAAGATGGAGAGAATCACAGAAGAATCAACTCACTTCTTTAAGTTTTTCAGTGAGAACTCTAATTTCCTCTTCGTATTTGTCCTCCTTTTGTGAGTACTGGAATACAAAATGAACAACAAAGTCAAGACTAATATTGATTCATCTTCACAGTAATAATTATAGATTTGATTTGGTCTATTCTAACAGATACATTTGAAACGTAGACTTATTCAGACTGTTTCTACATGGTAATGTCCGATGGTCAATCTTGTTCCCACGTGACGCACAAAATAGAGTTTGTAGTGTCCTCTTTAATATTTACAGTCTAGTGTGTACATACTACAGACGGTAATAGGCACAGGGTCAGAACCACCACTAGAGGTCACTGTTGGGAACTAATACAAAAGTGATTGATAAAGAGAACACCTAACATGAATGACATGTTTCTTCTAATAAGCCATGGGTGAAGTTGTCCATGTGAGCACTGTCTTTGTTTGTACATGGTTTGTACCTTATCAGACTGGGCTTCAAGAGACTTCAAGTTGTTGGTAACATTTTTCAACTCCTCTTCAAGATCACCTGATTTACTAATGTTTTTAAAAGAGAGAAACGGAGCAAAAGGGAAAAGAAAACAGAGTCACTCAAACAAGACTACATCTACATTCAGGGGGAAAGTCATGCACTATAGAAGTCGCTATTAAAGGGAGTATCTGTAATGTTTTTGAGATTATCACAACAACAACATGATTCCATGGAGGAGTAAAGATAAGATAATAGTTTGCGGAGATTCAAATCTCATTTACAGTAGATCTGATGTTTTAGATCTATTGTACACATTGCACACAATAATAGTGAAAACATACTTCTCTGAGACTTTAGTTAACACATTTTGGGCCACCTAACTTTGCAGCGTAAAGTCATTTCATTTCCAGACATTCCCTTTAATTATTATGCTATTATTATACAGATTCAGATTCAGCAAAGGTGGAGCTGTAAGACATGAGGGAAAATCAGAGTATTCAATAGTTGAGTAATTGGCATGCATAAGAGTGATTTTAATCAACAATTTAACACAAAGTTCAATCAAGACAAAAAGTACATGACGGAATAAACCACTTTATTTGCCCCAATGTGGGAAAAATAAACTGCATAATATATTTTGCAGTTTGTGGGACAAACCTCAAAATATATGTTTCCCCCATGTATTGTGCTGCTCTGAGTATGATTGCTCTGTTTGTGAAGGATACCTCTTCCTCTCCACACATCATCGCCTTCAGATTCTGGTCCATGAGTCCGAGCTCGTCCTCCAGCTCCATCACACGACTGCAGCCGTTAGTGCGCAGCCAGTGAGGTTAGCAACAGAAGAAGCACAACACACTCTCATGCGTCCATGTCCAAATAACTCTCTTTCATGACATTATTCACGCGAGGAAATCAAAAGTGAGGGTGTTCAGAGCACATGTTAATTGAACAGGATTAATTCTGCATGGGGCTCCGGTGGCAGTGTAAGTTTCATGGCACAGGTGTTGACTTACGCTTCAGCCACTTCAGCACGTTCCTCTGAGCGCTCAAGATCACCCTCGAGGATCACCAGTTTGCGTGCTACCTGAGAGACAGAAAACCAAAGTCTTTATCTTATATTTTTCTGTCTCTGTTCCATATAAAATTGTTAAAAAATCCTAGGTGGATAGATAATACAGGTCGAGCAACAACAATTGAATTATATCCATCCATCCATCCATTTTCTACCCTTTAATCCATTTCTGGGTCAGGGGGGTGGCAGTCAGAGATGCCACCCAAGTCTCATAGCACCAGCCCCTCACTGACCCTCTGCAGGTGGTGAGTCCACAGGAGGACGGCTGCTCTCTGAGGGTGAGCATAGCCTTGATCTTTCAGTGGGGGCTTTGGGCAAAGTGGGGTTAAGTGTCTTGCCCAAGGACACAACGACAGCAGTCATCAGTGGGAGTCGGTGGAGAAGGTGCAGAGGTGGGAATTGAACCCACAACCTTCTGGCCTTCAGGCCAATGCTCTACCAACTGAGCTACTGTCGCCCTCAATCAAATTAGTTCCTATGGCTCTCAGTTCTGTCACTTGTTTTCATTTATATTTTGTCACATTGTTAGATCAGAAAAGAGAAGACAACTGCCCTCACTCAGAGAAAGTCCAGTGTCAAAGAGTGACTCACATGGCTTTTCTTTTAAGTATGCAATAGATGACTCTAACATAATGAAGACGGCATGTTATGGTCCGATTTGTTCACAATTGTTCACTTTCACAAGACTATTTATTAATTGGAACAAACTGCGGGATTTTATAATGAAAAAAAAAGTTAGATACCGTAGTTCTAAGAAACCCACCTCCTCATATTTACGATCAGCTTCTTCAGCGATGTGTTTGGCCTCTTTCAGCTGCATCTCTTGGATTTCCATTTTCTCCTCATCTTTGGTGGCTCTGTTTTCTATGACCTTCATTCCTCTGTTCAGTTGAAATAATACAGCGAAGCCAGTGAGTGATAACTATAGAAAACATCTAACTGACAAATGATAATGATAACAATGATTTTGGCCATTTATTTTTCCTGAGAGTAAGATGCTCATTTCTGCTTTTGATTAAGTCAAAAACACAAACTGGTGTTGAAGCAGAACCCAAACCCTAACTTGCCAAATTTGTGTTCCTTGGAATTATCTTTTGTGCATCCAACATGTGTTTGTTTGTCAGAAACTCAGAATAATGGGGAGGTCACCTTTCGCTCTCATCCGCAGCCTTTTCAGCTTCTTCCAGCTTCTGAAGAGCTGTGGCCAGCCTCTCTTGAGCTCTATCCAACTCCTCCTCCACCAACTGGATGCGTCTGTTTAAAGAAGCCACCTCAGCCTCGGCCTGTAAGGCACAAACATTATCAGTGTTTAGTTGTAAATAAACAATAAGTGCATTTGAACTGCATTGAGGATTGTGGAAAAAGGCAGTTGGTAAAAAAAGTAAAAGTTAGGTATAAAAAACAATTCTGTCAAGCGTCAATATGTCACTGCATGTGTAACCCATGGATCCATAATAATAATTGTCGTTGTCAGTGCAGTTACGTGGAGTGTCCAGCAGGGGGAGATGCTCTTGAGGTTCACCTTGGCTACTCTACTCTTTCCTCATTCATAAACCAGCAAGGCTTTAGGAAAGACGTGTCCTGGTATCATTTTTTATTTTATCTCCTTTACAGGTATGGTATAATATGCAGAATGTCATAAACCAGTCAATATTGTTTTAGATTACGTTAACTTATCTGTGAAATGATTCAAGTGTGATAATTTAGTCTAGTAGGCTGTTGTTTCAACGAGCTCCGCTAGTCATCAACAAATTAGCATTAGCTTGTTGCTAGCGCGGGAACAGTGGAAAACGTTGAATGTAAATGTGTTCAAAAGTAAGAACGATTGTTTTTCTGATTCATAAATGATTGAGGAAAGACGTGTCCTGGTCTTATTTTTATTTTATCCCCTTTTCAGGGCTGTTACATTTTGTTTTTGATACAGAACCGCTCCTAACCCTTTGTTGGACGTGTCTATACATAGTTCCCACAGACCAATGAATGTCACATGACCTCCTCGGAGACGCCATCTTTGATGGCACGCTGCTGTGTTTGTGCATTCCATTAAACAGAAGAATGAGAATAAATGTAGATATTCAAACGCAAATTGGAAAAAAAGGGCAACTTTTGAGCAAATAATTGTATATTAATACAATGGCACCACAGTTTAACGTGCTACGGACATGTTTTACATATTTGATCAAATTATGCAGCAAAAATTAACAAGCAATGCAAACATTTCTCAAAAACTTTAGATTTAATACCAGTTGGAGCTCCATTTAATTATTTTAATTATATTAACAATTAATTTAATTAATGCTAATGCCACACGGACACTCTGGATTGCTGTTATTGTTTATTTCCGCGTTTTTGACCGTATGTTTTGGTGAATGGTGGGCAACTGATTTTTCCAGGCGTAAAGAGCAGTTTATTTTATGACACAGATCTTTTTACAGAAGCAATGCTGTTTGTGAACATTGTTTTAGCCCACCACAGAACTATTATTATCTATTTAATACATTTACGTTGCCCTCGAGAGCCTCGGACGCGACACCGATTCTCCTCATAATAAAGTAATCTAACGCTAAATAATGAAACTCTCAAGTTACCAGATATCAGCATACACAAGTTAGTACTGAGTAAATTACGTCTGTCAACACATTATGAGATACGATACGCACCTGACACAAAGTGCTCCGAGCATATTCTTGCGTGTTTTGAGGGAGTTTCTTGCCTGTTTATCTTCGCAAGCCATAACCTCCGTGGTTGTTCTGACAAAAGCTTAGTCTTCTCACATTCATGAAGTCTAATGATGGGTATACTGTAAAATCCAAGTTTAACAGAACCTCCGGCACGATTTGAACATCCATTGACCCAGCAGGAGATGACCATTTTCAACTTTATCACGACATTAACACGTTTCAGCTTCTTTTTCTATTGTTTTGCCCACAGCATGCCAACACAAATGGCGCCGGGTCGGCAAATCCCCGTATGTAGTGACGTCATGTAGGAGGATATAGAGATATCTCACGTGACGTCACGATGCCTCGAACTCGCGGGGCATCGGCCATACTGGAGGACAAGCAAACGCTGTATGATAGTGGCGTGCACCCGGGACCCAAGCCCCGGCGATCCAAGATGGCGCCCTGTTCAAATGAATGGTTGTGCTCAGTGGCGCTTTGTGACAGCATGGGGGCTGAAAGATTAGCGGAAGTTGCCTGAAACTCGCAAAGATCTATGGGAAACTCGCCTGTATTTGGGCATCGTCTGGTCCTCCCGGTTCTGCGCAGTGGATGATCTCCCATAATGCGTTGCGCCAAACACGCGTGTGTGGGTCTCACACCGGGTCTCACGCACGTGCACAGAGGGGCTCGGCCGCGCTCTGACCAATCAGAGCAGTTCATCAGAGCGGGAGTTAGAGCGAGAGCCAGAGGAGCAGAGTTTGTGGCACTAAAGTGTGGATTTAAACAAAACCGAAGGATTTAAGAAGAAAAAAAGTTCAGGATGACAAGGGACACTAAAATCCCCACAAAATCCGATCTTTATTAAAGCTGTAGGTTCTCTGTCAGCTGAGGTTGAGCTGTTTTAATATGCATTGAGTTCTATGGGGAAAATTTCTGGGTAGCCCACGTGAATTTAGTCTGGTTCAGTCTGCAGTACTGCGAGAATCCCCTGAGCACATGAGTTATTCAGCTACAAGCTAGTAATACCCTATCCAGTTAATATAATACATTATGTTCAAAATTTTTGCCGTTTTTGGCTGCAGCAAAAGGAGTTGTGTTACTGACTGCCAGCCGTCCTTACTTCACACGGCTCCAAAACAGAAGAAATCTCAAAGAAACGAGAGAGAAATGGCACAACCATACGCAACAACAAAAAACTAATAGCCACCAGAGCGCCCGAATATGCTCGGATCATTTCATTTCTGCTAAGTGAAATCAATTTGATGGCGGATTTAGTGTTATTCCGAAACAAACAGAAGTTTAAGGATAAAACATATCTGTCTGACTGCAACGTGGGGTTGCTCCATAGACTGTAGCTTAGCTTGTAGCATAGCTGTTATATATTTAGTCTCACACAGGACCTCACCCGGTTCACAGGGTATCTGACTTACCAAAGGCCAGCAGACATGTGAACGACCGAGCCGTGCCCCGTACTAGTACTTATTAATAAAATATACGGCTCCTCACAGTAGACGCAGAAAGCTCCATTGATTTGAATGTAATCTCATTATTTCCACTGCAGTGTAGCCACACATAGATCCATGGTGTAACAATAAACACATTAAATGTTAATCGGAGAATACATTATACATATACATTCTTAATACACGTGCACAGAGGTTTTCAGAATTTTCTGTTCACGTTTTCATGAAAAAACACTGTTTTAATGCGACAATATGCGACCGCGGTAAACCTGGACATTAATAATACATTTTAGGACGCATTTCCAGAGGATCTGATTCATGAATTTAGGTTGAGTATATATTTGGGTCACTAACTGCTGAAGTTTCAAATTCTCTGTTCAGTTTTCATGTAGTTCGAGAGAGTTCTAGTTTTGAACGTCCAGTTATAGATAGCTAGCAGGGCTGTTACTCGCCGAGGTTGTCCTCCAGTATGGCTGCCGTGGCTGCTAGTCACGTGACCGTAGGATCCCTCTATAGGGTTGTGAATAGTCCGGATATGCAAGGACAGGTGGGTGCACTAAACAATCAGTGTGTTTTTACATTATTTTTGTTTTAAGCTACAAGCTAGCTGCGCTTATGGTTTAATAATAATAATAATGCATCGGTTTTATATAGCGCTTTTTTGGACACTCAAAGACGCTTTACATGTCATTATTCTTTCACTCCATACACGGTGGTGATAAACTACTACTGTAGCCACAGCTGCCCTGGGGCACACTGACAGAAGCAAGGCAACCAGTATGTGCCATCGGCCCCTCCGACCACCACCAACCATTCACACACACCAGACTCATTCTAGGCAATGCAGTTTGGCACTTTACAGCCGCAGCCACCCCACTGTGGCTGGTGTTCCCAGAGGTTAAGTGTCTTGCCAAGGACACAACGACAGTAGACAGTGGGAGTCGATGGGGAAAGTCGGGCTCGAATCCACGACCCTCTGGCTCAAAGGCCAATGCTCTACCAACTGAGCTACTGTTTAGTCACTGGAGAGTGACACCATGGGCTGTATGTTCACAAGCACACACAAAGAGACAGTATTCTTAGGGGGAAAGGAAAGTGTACGAGTTTAAGTTGTTATTTGTGAATGAAGATGATTTTTTCAGTAAGCTAGGCCTATGTTCAACATAACTGTTGAATTCTAAATGTTTATTTTTATTATTTTTTGCTAGAAAAGCACTCTCTTTAGCTTAAAGCCCTCAACATTACATTGGTTTTATTTTTTTATTTTATTGAATGCTAAACAACAATTGTTATTTTCATCTGAAAGAAGAATAATAAGATGCATTTTTTTCTGTAAGCTAGATGTGTTTTCAAGGCTTCAAGGTTTTATGCTACCTCTGACTAAGAATGTCTTATTTTGGAATTTTAAGAGCAATAAATATATTTTGTTAAGGAATTCATGTTTTTATTATTCAGATATGTAGATCAACATGTATACATTGATATTAGTCAATGGGGAGATAATCAAATCGAACTGAAAAAATTAATCGTTAGATTGATGCATCGAAAGAATATAATCGCTAGATTAATCGTTTAAAAAATAATCGTTTATCCCAGCCCTAATAGCAACACAAACTCTTACCTTTGTGGGATTTGATTTGAAGCAAATTGAAATTGGACAATTGTTTTGGTACTTATTTGTTTTGGTATTGTTTTATATTACGTTAACTTATCTGCGAAATGATTTAAGTGTGATAATTTAGTCTAGTAGGCTGTTGTTTCAAGGAGCTCCGCTAGTTGTCAACAAATTAGCATTAGCTTGTTGCTAGCGCGGGAACAGTGGAAAACGTTGAATGTTAATGTAAATGTGTTCAAATGTAAGAAAGATTGTTTTTCTGATTCATAAAACAGCAATGCTTGAGGAAAGACGTGTCCTGGTCTTATTTTTATTTTATCCCCTTTTCAGGGCTATTACCATAGACTGTATATATTACACATACATCTCATCATTACAGATATAAAACTATAAACTATTAAAGCCCGGGCTGCTGACTTTGCAACCTGGCAGCGGATAAAGCGGAAGAACATTTGTGGATGGATGTATCATTGTACTCTTGGTTTTATCTGTGTTGTGTGCAAATGAGGTTCTAGCTCGATGGCCTATGTCACACAATATTATAAACCATAATGCAATGTCTTGGACGTAGATAACCCCTATAACACCCTGTAACCCTACAGTCTTTGTGTAAACCCTCTCTGATGTCAGAATTCGTGCCATCATGACAGATCATTCAACTTTGAATGACTTTATAATTAAAATCAGACAATCAGTTTTCTAGGAAGCAGGCTGGTTGGTCCTACAGTGATCTGGTTTCCTTTTGGCCGTACCGTCTCTCTGGCCTGTCTCTCATGTTCCGCTTCTCTCTGCACGTACTCGGCCTGGTCCTCCGCGTCGTACGCCACTTGTTGAAGTGACATGATTTTCCTGCGCACAGAGTCTACGGACTTGAAGGCCGCCATCAGGAAGAAGAGGACTTTGTATGAAGCTCACCGCGGCCCGGCTCCGCTGAAGATGTGTCGCTGAGTTACTATGACAACGGGACCCTTTCCGGTTTCAGAATAAAATCGCGGATAAGTGTTGCGTGGTGTTTTTTTGTATGTGAGGAACATACTCGTGGAAAAATGTATGTGTAATATATTTTGTTGGAATAGTAAACAAAGAGACGGTCTGCTCAATTATTTATTTTGTATCGTGAATATAACTGTTTTCATAGACGTTGTTGGTGTTAGTTAAACAAAATAGCCGTAACATTGTTCTTCAACACCAGATTCAGATTCATTTTTTATTTTCCATGTGCAGTATAAAAACCACATTGGAATACATACCTGTCTATATAAATTCAATGTCACATTGCTTGGTTAATCTTATATAATTGCATGTCTTGTGTTTGAACTGTTTGATTCTCTGATCTGTGATGGCAAATTAAAAAGTTTGGTTAAGTCCCGCGAGACTACTGCTGTGATTTTAGGGCTATACAAGATTGATCTGATTTAATCTCTAACAAAGCAACAAATGAGCTGCTATATGGTTACAGCTTTGACCCCAGATGTGATGTCACACTGAACACCTCCAAAGGCTTTCCTGTCGCTCTCTGCCTGCTGACAACTTTATAAGAACAAGCATTTTATATGTGATCTATTTGTTTACCTCAGTGACGCCAATGCTATCCATCAAATGTGACCAAACAGTCTAATCAGCAGCTTACACAAGAAAGGCCTACAACATGAAGCCACCGTGCGGTCATCTGTCATCCAGCGAACATTTTAAGGGAAAAAGTGATGTAAACAAAGTCCCAGAAACGACTTTTCCTTCTTTGGAAGCATATCTTGGTACTGGGTTGTCCCAATGCCTTTTTAGGCCATAATTGAGACTCTCCTCCAGGCCATTTACCAGAGGCAGTCTGTGTTCTAGTTTACCACATATCTCTCTCCCCACAATCTTATTTACACTGTAGTGAGTCATGTTAGAGTATATTGTGTTGTCAAGGTCTAAAAGTAAACCAAAACATCCAACATTTCAGGTGCAAAATACAACATTTAGAGCCATATAAAGATTTTGTGGTAACAGTTTAACTCCCTCACTCACGTCTGTAGCTTTTTTCTCGGCTTGCTCCAGCTTTTCCTGAGCTCTTATTCTTGTTTCTCGTCTCTCCAAATTGAATTGGTTTCGGCAAAATATCATGAGAAGAAACTGACAAAGAACAATAGCGCTCGCTCATACATATGGGTTTGGGCTAATAATAGACGATCAAAAGTTTGAGTGCAGTTTATATTTAGACACGTCTGAGAAAAATGCTGAGTGTTCAGAAATATTATTATCCTGTGCTGAGAACTGCTCCGATTCGTCCTGTTAAGGTGAATTATCCAGTGCAGTCATGGGGGATCAGGTTTGTTCTGTGTCCAGAGCTGTAGGGGTCTAAGGGCTCTGGGGGTCTTTATGAGCTCAGGTGATCACTGATTTACGTTCTGCGTCAGAAGGCAGTGATGGTTTGACGAGGCTATGTGACGAACGGCTGTCAGCATTGGAAAGAGGGGGTGCGGTCCCTGCTGACTGTTGCATAATTTATTTATTTCACATTGGCTTTCATTCTTACTTTTGTCATAGCCTATTTTTATACGGACCTGGATGTTTGTTGTATGGTATTGTTGTGCACCTATAACTATATCTGCATCTATATCTTTTCTCCATTTATTATGGTTTTACTAAAGCACATAATGATTACGTTGAAAACAAATGTAATTACCTCTTTATAACAACAAAAGCATATTATGTGTGAATTTGGTCCATGTTGGTTTCTAACACTGGGATGTGACAAGAGGAATTTAATCAACATTGTGCAGCAGAACCACAACACGCTCTTGCTCAACTCTTAACGCCTCCACAAAAGCAGTTTTGTGATCAGACTTATTAATAGACTTATCAAAGCTGGAAATACACAATTTATTTATTTATTGTTTATTTGGTTGGGACAGTACATGTTAATGCACACATCACTCCGGATTGTAGCCATGGGCTAATTTGCATCCGTTGTCCCACATACGCACTCACAAACACACACTCATTCACCCTGAACTATTGCACATGTTGTTAGTGGTAGGGGAAACCGGAGTACCCGGAGGAAACCGGAGTACCCGGAGGAAACCTACGCAGACACGGAAAGAACATGCAAACTTCACTCAGAAAGGCCCTGTTCCGACTGGGATTCGAACCCAGAACCTTCTTGCTGAGAGGCGAGAGTGCTATCCAGTTTAACAGTTTATGTGTGTCTCTGCCTGTTCCCGATTCCCACAATCCTCTGTTTGCAACTGATGGATGATGATAATCAGTATTGTCCCTATGGGAAATTCAGGCCCCTCCCATTTATTACCCATGCATTATCAGTAGATGTCACAGACCACTGTTTTGGAGTGTTTACTGTTAGCTCAGTTAATCAAGCTGTCGAAACTTGCTCTTTTTTCGTATATTTCGTGTGTTTTCTTTGTAAAAAGAAAGCCCCCTCCTTGTTAAAAAAATGGTTTTAAAAGGGCCACTCAAGTTGTGACTGTGCACCACTTCCCAGGCACAGAATATTCTCAATATACAAGATACGAGTTCCAGATGACAACAATTGCAAACTTTTCCCCTTTCTCTTGATAGTGGCTTTATTGAGTAAGCTGATGAAGGGAAATTTTATGTTTAATTTAGGTAAGATAGCAGTTACCTCCATGGAGGCTTGCGCTACACTGTGTACTGTATATGTATAGATAAAAAAGCTGCTTCTGCAAATTCAACTGTGAAAGCTATTTTTGTCAGAACAAGATCAGATGATACGTCCCTGCTGCTTCTCTTTGTGGAGAGCCTCTTAAGGTTTGTGCCAGACCCTCTGCCTTCAGGGCGCCCTCTGGAAACAGTGTGTTCTGCACAAGTCTTTGGGGAGACTGAGGCCAGACCTCGGGGAGACAAGGTCCTGATCCTGAGAAAGGCTGGAGAGGTCTGTTCAAATAGAATAGTTTTAGTGTAGCATTGATTGTACTTTGTTTAGAAAAAATGATGTTGTGTGGAGTTGTCTCTTAGATTTAAAATAGTTATGAGTAGTCATTACCATTGAAAGATAAAGGTAAAGAGAAGGGGGTTATAAGGTTCACGGCTTCTGATTTTGATATGGAAACATTTCCTGATGAAACATATCATTGGTTGGATTTCACTGTACTGCATCAGGTTTCTGATCCCTGTTTGAAATACATATCACTGACGGCACAGCACCAAGGGCACTTTCTGTCCTTGAACTGCTATTTACTCTGGATACCTTTGCAAAAGTCTATCTGCTTATGTAAAAAGAACAGCATTTACAAGAAAGTATACATCATCACCAAATTATCTAACTAAGAATGCGAAAAATTAGATTGTACCCATTACTAAATGTATTTTGTCAATGTCTGACTGAATAGTCATAACTTGATTATTCATGGTTTTTGGTTTCTTTTGATAAAATGGGAAATTGAGATATGGCAGCCTTATTTCCATCAGTCTGAGGGCAGAAGGAGCGCTATGAGATAAATACTATGAACACTATGAGATAAATAAATATAAGCTGACTGGTGCCATATAATATATACATTTAGTATATACAGTATGTAGCCTTCAGAAAGAGTTGACATCTGGAAGGGCTCCTGTGGAAACTATTCAGGAAAAGGTGGGACCTTAAGTGAAGCACTTTAAGTTGATTGATTTTAAACGCACAGCAACAACAGAAATATGATCATGTTGGATTGCATTAATTTGCATGGCCAAATTTGGGCACACAACAAAAAGTTGTTTCATATTTTTAGATTTTCATAAACTACCGTTATAGTCTTTCAAATAATCATCAAGCAGCAGATGCACCCCAAAGGCAGACCTGCACCCACTTTGCTCTCCTTTGCATATCAGTTTTGCCACAGAAGTAATACAGTTAGTGAATCAGGTGTAACACAGTCAACACAGTTTTGTTGTCATTATGGCCTTTGGTGTTCCCTGCATGTAAATTGGAGTGTTGTGAATTGGTCTGTGATAAACCGCAGAAGCTTCATTGTGCCTTTGATTCATTTGGAGCGTCACAGTCTGCTCACACTGAAGGGATAAAGACTCAAATAAAAGCTTTTCCTTCCGGTGTCAGTCCATCTGGTCAATAGTGCAGTTTAACTGTCAGGGGTTTACAGGACTTGTGCCATCACCATCATTGGCCTCTTATCAGTGACAGTTCCTGCTGCTGTGTGCTAAGCCACTGCAATGATTTCTTCTGTGTGTAGAATGATGTCTTGTTAGTGTAGCCGACTTGCGGTGGATGACTTCCCTCACAAATACGCAGACTGCTGAAACACTGGATGAATTACAATCTTATTATAGGAAATCTGAAAGCAGCAGCATGTGATAAATGATCCCAGTTTTATTTCCTCTTTGGGGAAAAATAGAGAAACTAAATTGATTTATTTATTCATTTTGATCACATTAACAGTTTTGGTTTTCCAGTAGTAAGCACGTTGTTAAAAGAAGCAGTGGCATGATTGCTTTGGGCTGCCAATCAGAATGTGCAGTGTGAGTTGCTATCATATAAAGCTGGAACCAAACTTTGAAGAAGAGGTCGCAAACAGATAAGATAGACTTTTGTGAGATAAACCACTGCTGAGCCACACCAGTCAGAGCTGTGTTGCTTTGGCTGCTGTGTTTCTCTGGGTTTACACTCTGGTTATGGAGGCTTTTCCTGCTGAAGTTAGTTGATTTTTACAGTCCAGACAAATAATTCTGACCTACGAGTTGGTTGATGGTAATTCTAAAGTATTACTTAAACTCTGAGTGTGTGCTGACAGTTGTCATCTGCCACTCCATGATGAAAACAACTCTCTGTTCCTTGTGCTGACACAAACTTTCTGAGGACATGTCAAGTTGCTCTGAACCATTGGGGATAAAGTAAGTGCCTGGTGATGCCCCAGTGGAGCCCCAACGGATATATCTGCTGATAGGAGATTTCTTAAATGAAAGCCTGACTGTGTCTGTGCTTCTTGACCATTTTTTGTTGCTGTGTTACATTATTTATGAGGCTTTATTTTTAATGACAATAATCAAGAAGATTATGATCGTATTAATACTTGGATAGCAGAGAGTGTGGGGCTGTGGCATGGTATTGTGTATTTTCATTCTTTTGGCAAGATTTGTGCTTCAGTGATTGATGATTGTTGTTGATGCATAATGTACACACAAACTCTAACTTTCCATCCTTGTATCATATTTTCGATAGCAGTTTTTCTGGGTTCTTTTTATCTATATACAATCATGAAAGCCCTCTTTTCCAGAGATATTCACTCAGAAGGCCACAGTGCTCTTTTCCCCACACATCAATAAAAATGCCCTCATCAATAGAGCTCTTCTTCCTCTGTGTTTCCTTCTGTGGCTCTCCTGAGATGAAGCGTTCTCACCTCCAGGACAAACATTGAAGAGAATATTGACTGAGCTGTGTAGCAGCGGACACTTTCACACTGACAAGACATTTTCTCTGCTATTAGTCTATCATCAGCCACTTTGTGCTGCTCTTTTGGAAATCTTCTCACCCAATATAATCCACTTATTTAGACACTTCATTGATAAAAAATAAACTGAAATGGCAGTTGACAGAGTAGTGTCAAAAATATGTATACCTTGATATTAATCAAGATACTCTGTATCAATATTAATAATAATAATAATGCATCTGTTTTTTATAGCACTCAAAGATGCTTCATGCAGCAATATTTCTTCTATTCTTGCACAGTGGTTTTTAAGTTGCAACTGTAGCCACCCTACAGGAAGATAGCCTTCCCTGAGGAAGATAGAAGTGAGGCAACCAGAATGTGCCATCTGTCCCTCATACCACCACCAATCATTCACTCAGTCTTGCCTTTACAGCCGCAGCCGCCCCACTGTGGCTTTTGGTGTTCCCAGAGGTCTCCCATCATAGTTCTAAACAGATCCTGCCCTGCTTAGCTTCAAAGGTCAGACAGGAACTGGCTTTCCCCTGCAGATGGCGCCACATCTAGGACTCTTTAATCTTCAGCGGCTCAAATCAGTGGATGCCATTGTAGAACTTTTTGATAATGTAGCCTAAAGAGTATTGAACACAAGAGAGACTTGTTGTTCCACAGTCTCTGCACTCTTGGTTTGGTTTCTACAGGCCCAATATTCCCAGTTACAATTAGAAAAATGTTATTTTTGTTTATTTTTAAGGGCATGCTAACTATGCCCTGTTGCTTGTTTTCCGATAATGACCTGCGTACTCTACATTATCCCTTACGTATCTTTATCCCTTTAAAGACTAAATAAGAAAATCATCTTTAGCTTAAATGTAATTCTGTGAAATATGTCCATGTATAAATTAGTATGTCACATATTTACAGCCAAAAACAAATTTTCTCCAAGTTGACATGACACTAACACATATAGATGGAAAAATGGAGAAGTTTAGCCGTCTGTAATCAGCTAAATACATTCCTACTCAATGAGTGTTCACGCAGAGGACTTGGCTTCTTCATCTACTTGGAACCCTGTTTAGAAAAATACAAACAGGAATTTTACCTCCGGACCAAAGTGAGCTACATAATCTCTAGTCGTAATCTACTAATCTCTGAACATTTCCTTACCACCAACACGTGCTCGAGGAGTCCCAGATATCCAGTGGCACATTCATTTCCGTAGCGGAGAGCCCTCATCTGTACATCCCTGTTGACTTCTGGATGATAAGCAGCTTCCTGTAAATATCATTTAAACATGAAAGAATACAAACCATTGTGTTAAAAAACTGTTTTTTCATCATTTTTTATGGTCATAAATAAGATTGTGTTTTGAGTACATTCAGAATATGCAATGAAGTGATTGGAAACTTTTGACACAGATTTATCTTATCTTATGTTTTTACCTTGCAGGAGTGCAGCATGTCAGCGATGGCGCGTCGGCTGAGGTTTGCAGTAGCAATAATATCCTCTTGACGACACGAATTCCCAGCAGCCACTGCCTTTGCTGTTGCCATAGTGATCCCTTTAGTCATACGAATAAACTCTTCAGGTGTCGTCGTCTTTGGAGGCGGATCAGAACTTCTGAAAACCTAACGAGCCAAAGAATATTCAGCAGTTTGTTGTATATGATTCACTATCAGGCAATATGTGCAGGCAATGTATGTACAGTATATGTATGCCAAAAACATTGGGAAACACGCTCTCGAGAGACATCTTTAATCTCTGTAAATTATAATACGCACATAAAAGACACGCACACTGACTGTTGTGATTATATTATATTGTGTTTGCCTGCCTTACTGTATCATTTGGTGCCATTTCATTTCTAGAAGCTCATCCTCCAAACAAACAAATAAATACGTTGTTGCTCAGCTCCATCTGTATTTAATGTTTTAACTGTCAGGTCATAGAGTGCACCGAGGCTTTAGTAGCAGCAAACAAAGCTTAGGGCGTTTTCAGACTGCCACAGATTGTGGTGTGAATGTGGTCGACGTCTTCAAACAAGCTTCACCACAGAGCACTGTGTAGAGACCCTGCCTGCAAATGTAAACTTCATTGTTCTACCTCCTACCTTTTTTATTAACCTTAGTGACTAGATTTTAGTAGATGAAGCTGCAGCATGTCCTTTAAAAGGTCAATGTTTTATCCCATGAGTAAATAGTAACTTACAGTCAGCTCCTGCTTGATATGTTCAATAGTGGCCTCTAAGGCTCTGGTGCCCTTTGTCGCTTCATCCTCCACAGCCTTCACAGTCTTCAGGAGGGACGTGACGTTGGTAACCATCACCTACATTCACAAACATTTAGCATGAATTCACTTGATGTTCTTTTGTTGATTGAGAAGACAGAGCTTGGGGTCGAACCTTTGCAGAGTTCTTCAGCTGAAGCATGCTGGGGTCATCGTGAGGTTTCCCTGCAGCTGCTTTTGTCGCACTGATAAGATTTCCAAGAGCTTTAGCCACATCTTTGACAGCATTAATCAGAACGACCTGTAGGTAGTATATTTATTAGTGCCATTAATGGACAATACCAGTGCATGACTGTGTAGGGTGGTGACCTGTGTTTCTGGATCTTCTGAACCAAGACTTGCAGCCCCAAGTTTAACCACATCTGCCAGTTTAGTGATGGTGGTCACGGACGACTGTGCCGCCTGAGCGAGTTTCTCCTGACTGGCACCCGCCCCAGACACCAAGAGTTTGGTGTCCTCCACCAGTGCTTTTGCAGTCTTCAAAATGTACTCTCTAAACAAAAAAATAGACATAACCATAAAATGAACCATTTTACAAAGGTCTCAGATTTACTAACAGCTTAATTCTTAATATGGTTCTTCAAATACTCAGCAAGCCGCCTGTGGCCTCACATCTCTCTGATCATGACCAAAGCATCCATTCCTCTAACCTAATTAGTGACAGGATTTCATCATATGCTTTTTGTCAAATATATATATTTGATGAATAATAATAATGAGAAGAATAATACATTTTAAAACTCAACATAAAAGTACTGCTCCTCTGAATCTTTTAAACAGTCAAAAAAAGGACAGTAAAATGTCACCTGTGATCGGCAAAGGTCTCTGCATTTTCCCTGTTCAAAGACCCGGCGGTGGCGAACATGATCGTGGTGTCCAGGTCAGCAATAATGCCCGACACGGCGCTGGCAGCCGTGATGCAGGCCTGAGTCCCACGGTTACCAGCCTGAAGAGCTGCCAAAACATGACTCACCTGCAGACAGACGCCATACAACATTGAAACACTTAGACTTGAACATTAACATATGGTTGAGAGTTGTTTCTACCTTCTCTGAAACCTTCCGTGCACTTTCTATGAGCTCTTTCTTGGTGAAGGAGTCGTTGGGGCTGCACTGCAGAGCTCCTGCCTTTGTCACCAGACTGGTGCAGCTGAAACCCAGCTCACCCACTTGCTTCTTAATGTGATGGCCAATCTAACAGAAACAGATACACAAGAATGGCTGTTTTTAAAAGAATAGAAGGAAATGAAAGTCTTTGTTTACAAGGAAACACCAAACATTACCTCGTCACTCTCTGCAGTGACCGCTGCATATTTGGCTTCTGTGGCCAGATTACCAAATTCATTAGTTAGTTCATTGGCCAGTCCTCCGAGGTCATCAGGGTTTGTATTAGACTTTGTAACCTTGAGAATAAAGAGAAACATAATTATACATAGGTCAAACTGCTGGATAGGTTTGACTATAGTCATCACCCACGCACCATCTCCTGGACAGTGACTGCGATGGCTTTGGCCGTTCTGACCATAGTGGTCTGGTAGTCCACAAACGTGCCCTCAGGGTCAAGTGCAGGGTTTTCTTCCATTTTATTGATGGAATCGTTAATTGAATCCACCATGCCCCCTACAGCACCAGCAGCACTGGCCGCCTCTGCCAGAGTAGCTCCAAGATCATCCACCGCTTCCTTCATCATCTGCACAGACTCCTCCAGAGCCTCCTGCATGTGTGCAGCCTGAAGAAAGACACATGCACATGAAGAAAAAACCAATACACTGAGCATCTTATTGTCATGGTGATATTTTCTGTTCATGTACATTACACATTATGCATACAGTGTATATTATGTGTGAGCTACTGTGTCCAAGTTTGTAACAAAAACGCTTATTATTTTTAATGACTGTCATGAAATCGTCATCACTCTTCACACATGGTTGTGATTAGCTGCTATTTTAGCTCCGCTGATCGAACACAATCTTCTTGCTGTGAGTGTTGAGTGCTTTACTGCATATCATTGCAGTCAAAGTGTGATGATTCATTTAAATACCTTAGGGTTTCCACCCGCCTCCTTTGCTGTGTAGAGCATCTGTAGAGCAGACTCTGTGAGAGTTTTAGTCTGGTCTAAAACAGCCATCTGCTGTTGGCTGCTGAGAATCTTTGAGGCTGTGCCAATGGCAGCCATGATAAGGGGCTCAAAGTACGTGGCCATTCGGGAAACCTGTAAAAGAAAATGTGTTTTGCATATTGTGAAACAGATTCTCCATTATATGCATGAAATATTATATGCAAACAATATACCTTATGACCAAGTTGAGAGGCCTCAGATCGAGCAGCCACAGCAACAGGTTCAATCAAGTTACTGATTTCATGAACTGAAGCTGCCATCTGCTCATGGAGAGTCTAAAGAGTAATAAACAATATACACTGCATTAGTGATACTTTCAATATTGTATAGTTTAAATACATTTTCTGAAAGTACAACATTTCATCTGCAGGGCATGTGTTTTTATTGCATGGCTAATTGAACATCAGCATGAGGCTTGCCTCCATAGAGATGTCATCTCGAGGCGTGAGCTGCTGGCTGATGGCAGCCAGAGAGGCCTGGTCCACCTCTCGGATACAGTTGTTGAGGACTTCAATAGCATCGTCACACTCCCTCTGGCCAGGGGCCTTATCTCTGCACATCATGAACGGTTCATAAATAGTATAACAGTAAACATGGAGTTAATATGGGATTGTATCTCCAAACCTCATGTTGGTAATTAGCTTCTTGATAGAATCTGACACAGTCCTTGAGTGGCCTGCCAAAACAGACCACTTGGGGGGGTCTTTCGGGTTAACAGCCAGAGAGCGGGCTGTTTCAATCAATCCTGTGGAACTTTCCAGCATTGTCTGAGCTGCAACAACAATTGGCTCCATAGCAGCGTGGCCCTGTTTGAAAAAAATATCTGTATAAACAGAGTTTACCTACAATATTATGAGTGTTGAGAATTCAGATTGTGTCTGTACCTCTGGGCTTATTTGAGCAGGAATGCTGGCGAACTCTGGATTTGAGGCGAAAGCAGTGAGGTTGTCCACAGCTTCTATTAGAGGACCAGTCGCAGCCTTACACTTCTCTCTGTTTTCATGGTTAAAGGCTCCATCCAAAGCCTGTTGACGCAGAAATAAATGAATGCTCCCACAATTCTGTAAAAGTATTTAATGTATCCTTTCCCACGCATTAAGGAAGAATGGATTGAGATGCTCATGACCATAGGCTCCTATGGTCATGAGCTTTGGGTAATGGAAATGAGTTTGATCTACAGAGTGGCCGGGCGCTCCCTTTGAGAAAGGGTGTTCTGTAGGCCATCCTATGTCTCTCAGTTGTCCTGGGAACGCCTGGGATTCCGCTGCATAAGACGAGGAAAATGTGCAAAAAGAGAGAAGTCTGGACAGTATCTGAAGTCATAAAAAATAAACATGCCTCCTTCCATATCTTTCCTTGCCTCTCAGTTAATTGACATTGGTGGAATTAATTTTCAACTAAGGTTAAACCACTCAAAAATCTTTATTATGTTTGAGTGTTACATTTCATTTGACCAATCCTGGAATGACAATTTCTCAAAAGTATTTTTGCAGTAGTTGGATACAGTCTCAGACAGGGCTCCTCTCTCTGTGCACCCTTTGCACAGTATTTGACAAATCAGTGTGTTGTGTAAGATTGGAAAGGCCTAATTGTAGCTAGTTTTTAACACTAGGATTTGACCTTTGTTAATATAAAATCTTGTAGATCGGACTTGCACAAGCAGCAATTTGACAAACAAGATCACCTGCGGACCACCAGGGGTCGCTGGCAGACAACACTTTGAGTATGGATTAAGCCTGGTGTTGCCTTAAAATAAGGAAACTGACCTTAATGGACTTGACCAGATTGGCAGTGGTGTTGGCCACCTCTTTGGCCGACTGCACAAACTGCCTCTTGGCGACGGGGTTGGCAGTCTTGGAGGAGGCGAGGCGGCAGGCGTTGCACAGCGCAGAAGTATGTTTAGCCACAATGGTGGCAGCAGAAAGGACCTAAGCAAGAGGAATGTGAATATGAACGTGTGCGGCGAATAAGTAGTTTGTACAAGTAAAAAAGATGAATACCTGAGACTGGGTACACGCTGGGTCCACCAGGTTTTGGCATGCCATCTGTATCGACTGATTCGCTTTTGCAAATTGAGCAGGATCCACCAGGCCCTTCTGGCCAGCAGTGCTATTGGGATCTGACACTCCCACCAAATACGCAGCCTAAACGACAATCACGCAATTTATCTCAAGAGTCAAAAGATACAATATGAAAAGTGCGGTATGTTTTCTACCTGTGCAGCTGCTTCTGTGAGGCCACACAACGCTTTGGAGCCAGCACTAACCGAGTCGCCAAACTCAGGCAAATTGGAGTTCTTTGCATTGTGAGAAATACCTGCCATAGACTCACCAAGTACCTTTCAAATAATGGTAAGAAAGAAATTATAAAGGCACTAAGACACCCTAAATAACAGGAGAATAGAGTGTACCTTTGAGTTTTCCATGACACCGTCTATACAGTCAAAATAAGACATGTCATTGACTGCTTCAGTCGGGTTCTCGAGCATGCCTCTCACCGACTGCATGACACACATTTATTGAAACATTTTAAAATGGTTGAAAGTAAGCAATGTAACATAATTATTTTGGATTCATTTTACTTTAATATTATAACGTATCATGAACCTAGTGACACAGAAAGTAAGCAACTAAAACACTGTTTTAGGTTACCTCAAGTTCTCGAAGAGCATTGTCACACTCCTTCTGCCCTGGGGCTTGCTGTGTGCACATTGTGATGAGCTGATTGATACTGTCTGTAACAGCTCTGTTTTATGCATGAACATAAATACATAAGAAACAAGCTTCACAGTGATATGACACAAAATGAGCACAGTCTTACCGAGCAGCATTAGCGAGCTGGTTTTTCAGATTCGGAGAGTTAGGGTCTGTGGACAGAGCTTTAGCAGCCAATAAAAGTTTACTGGATGACATGGAGATGGTTTTCAGGTTGGACACAACTTGAGTTTGATCTTCCTTTGTCTGAAAAAAATAAATGAATGAATGAATGAATAAATAAATATTGTGCATGTCAACATTAATTCTGCAGTTCCAGACCTGGGATGTTCCTGCCATGTCCACCCCGGCGTCCAGGAAGTTGGTGAAGTCTTTGCCAAACTTTCCAGTGGCTCTGGCCAAGTCCTGAGTGGTGCCCCTGGAGGATTGGACCACTTCATTTGCCGACTGGTTTAGGCCCGCAGCCACTTCATTCAGGTGAGACTGAACCTCCGGGAAAGGCCTTCCACTGGATGGGAACTACAAAAGAAATAACACAAAGAACATTCACAATTTGGGAATCATGGGCTCATAATTATGGCAAAAGAGTCTTGGTGCATCCCAGCTGTCCACTCAACTTCCCACAGATCACTTAAATAATAGTTATAATATACCTGCCTATATTGTGATGCATGTGATTATGTATGTTATCCATGCAGTATATATATTCTCTTGTCTTTTCTCCAACACATTCCCATCATTGTCATCATCAACATTCTTTGTCCCCAGGTCTAACACCTGAACGTCTGTTCCCCTGGAAAACGTCACCTGTTGATATTATAGCTGCCAATAAAAGGTTTTCTATCAGGCCTGTAGTCCTTTATAGTGCTTTTCAAAGTGGGGGTCGTGGTACACAAGTCTGTTTGTAAGATTATGCCTCAAATGAGCTTGGTAATATTGAAAAATAATAATGGTATTATCTAAAATACATTCAGGAAAGCTGTTTCTCCTGCCACAAAGGACATACAATATGTAGTTTGACAGTTTCACTCACAGAATCCGAGAGAAGTGTCTTGCTAGCTTCGCCTACAGAGCGGATGGCATTGTCCACATCCCTCTGTCCTGGAAGGCAGTTCACACATCTGTTCAGGGCCTGAGACACCGCCTTAGCAACCTGCATACAAACATTGAGAGAAAGGTTGGGTCCACTTGGGTCCAGATTAAAAAGCTACATTCATTAGTCTATTTTCTCATACCTGTGCAAGTCTCTGCTGACTCTCTGCATCCCCAGGTTTTGCGATGGCTCTCTTGGTCTCTTCAATAAGGTTTGCAGATTTGTCCATAACGTCTCCAGCGCAGTCCAACATGGCACCACGAGCCGGGACGTCTGTTGTAGTGGCCGCTACCCCACGAGCACCAGAGGCCAGAGCCTTAAGAGCCTGAGCCACATCTCTGGCTGCCATTCCTGTGTTTTAACATTGTGTTTCAACATTCCATCTGACTGTTTGCGCTACATTTACGTTTAAAAGTGCAGCAGCATAAACACTGCAACACCCACCTGTGTAGTTCTCATTGCCCTGTGTGGCTTCACTCAGAAGCTGAGCGATGGCTGAACTCACAGCCTTTGTGCTGGTCCCAAGATCCTGAGAACACTTCTCCAGCTGAACAACAGAACTCAGAATGAAGATGCAGTAGGTTTCTGTAAAGTCAACAATATGAATAACATGTAGCCTCACCGTCTCTCCAGGGAGTGGCTTGAGTTTTCCCTGCTCAGATGAACTTTTAGCCTCGTGCATGTCCTTCTCCAGATCTCTGATCATTGACAAAGCGTTATCTATCTCAAGTGGCCCACATGCTTCTTGAGCCTGCAGCAGACAATTACAATTATAAAATAAAAGCATGAAATGTAAATGTATGAATCAAGACTTAGTTAATGCAAATATCTAAATTACCTTCTGGGAGGCCGTCCGCAGCTCAGCAAGGGCACTTGCTAAGTTCTTAGCACACTGGCTCAGCTGCATAGCAGAAGCTTGGTCACTAATAGTAGGAACAGTGGCTTTAGATGCTGTAACCATCTTAGCACCAGGCTGGCAGAGAAACAGACGACAAGTGAGTCATTCATCCACGTTGATCTGAAAGTTGATCTGATTTGACTGTGGCCGTTACCTGTAGAAAGTTTTGGCTGGCGCTGATGAGAGCCAGCTGAGCACTTGGACTGTCAGGCTGGGACTGGCTGCCTCGCACGCCCTGGACCAGCTGAGGGATTTGCTCCGCCACGACCTACACACCCCGGAAAAAAACAATAAACTCTCACATTCTCTGTTCTGAGGTCTGTAGATGGCGTTACCTTGCAACTCTGAACCAGCTGCTGTTGTGCTGCCAGGTTCTTGT